AAAAAAAAAAAACACGCGCCGGATAACATAAATGCTTCTGCTTCGCATCGCATTAAAAACTCGCGACGCATAACAGAAATGCTTCCTGCTTCGCATCGCATTAAAAAAAAAAACTCGCGACGGACTACAGAAATGCTTCTGCTTCGCATCGCATTAACAAGATTTATCAATCATTAAATATCCTTATCTTAAAGAATTTGATCTTATTCACACTTACAAAGATTATCATGCACAATTCTTATTATATACCAAAACGTGTCTACCATTTGATGTTCTTGTTTCTATGCAATATTAACTATTGAAAAAAGTGACACACAAGTTTCGAAGAAATACAATACGAGGTGATTGTGTCAAAATGAATTACGTATATTTGTCTAGAAAACTACAATTTTCTGGATGTATGAAACATTATTTTCCTCGTGCCAAAATACACTGATTATTATTAATTTGTTATTTAAATAAAATATGAACTAAAGGAGATTGATTTACACAGAATTAATACGTTGAAACAGAGATGGAAGTAATAAAGAACGATGATGGAAAATTGGCATTGGGTGGTACATTGTTACAAGTGACAATATGCTATCGGTCTGTGCATACACTTCAGAAAAAAATCGAAATGAAATTACAATTAAAAGGCAAGAATGTTCTAATTAATAATACAGAAAGAGATTTTTGTTAAAATAATGTTAACAATAGACCAATGAACTGTGATCTATTTTTAGAAATAAATAGTTTATGCAATTAACATCAAATGAAGTCGAAAAAGTTTTTGAAATAAAAATGTTTATTATCAGCATTGTGATACATAAATATTTTTATTATTATTTATAAAGTCAATTAGAAGAAAAGACCAACTTCTTCTCAGCGGCTTTCATTACCTTCGAGACAGATTAATTTGGGTGTCGGTGCGTATGGGTGTGGGGGAGGGGTACGAGTGTGTATTTAACTCTTAATCAGCTCATACCCACACCCACACCCAACATGTCGTTGATTTTATTTTTGCTTTAATCATCGACTTTTAACGAGTTTGTTGATGGAAGCAAAGCGTGCCTATTGATAGTTTATTTATATCTAGACATCTATATATACGTATAGAAATGTATATAGAAATGTATCTCGGCTAACTCTACAATCTATGAATTGATAATAATGACTAGATTATTGCGTGAAAAAAAAGAAAGAAAAGAGCGAGCAACCGATAAAAAGAGAGTATAATTAGAGATTTGTCATAGCTGTTGTATCTTCGTTCAACATTTGTTGAGTTGTTTCTTTATCATTACCATCTCGGAATGGATTCTGATTAAAAGTTGGTGTCGTAGATATTTTCCATCGCTAAATAAAAATAAAAATTTCGACGTTTCGAATAAACAAAGATTCTAAAACTATTGTTTTTACTTCTTTAAATGAACCAGTTTGTTTTGCAAAAAAAACAATAGCATAAATGGGAATAGTTAAAATTGATGAAAGTGCAATACACCAACCAATATATTCAGCCCAACTGGGAAATTGATAGTTTTTATATTTCACCGGTTCATATTCAATAAGACTGAATATGGCAATACTCTATTCCAATAAAATATGCAAAGAATGAAACAAATAAATCGTTTGTTTTTCTTACAGTACAAAGAAGTGGAGTGAATACAATCCAACACCATTTCCAAAATCTGCCTGGACGAAAGCCAATCATATCATGAATATTTTCATAAAATCGATCAGCTCCATAAAACCATGATACACTGATACATTCGAAGAAAAGTAACACAAGTAAACACCAACCACTTGCTGAGTAGTAGTCAAGAATTTTGAATACATACATCCCACCCTGTTGAAAAAAATAGTTCATACAGCTCTATAGGTTTCTTTTTTTCATGTTAAGAAACAATGTACCTGAGTAACTGTCGGTAAGCCGATTAAAAAGGATATTAGACAAACAAGAGCGATAAATAATTCTTTTCGACGACGTAAAATTGGCCACTCATCAACACATGCTGTAATAAATCCTTCCATTGTAACAAACTAAAAGAAACAACTTGTTGTGTTTGCTACGACAACAATTGACATAAGATATATTAATCAAACCTGACTATCAAGACCAATAAAAATGATCATAATAAAAAAGAGTGCTGACCAAAATGGTGAAAATGGTAATTGAGCTACTGCAGCTGGATAAGCAACAAATGCCAAACCAGGTCCTAAAGATTGTAAAAAGAAAAAACAACTTATCTCTAATGCGACGAAATTTCTTTTCTTTTTCCGTTACCTGAATCAGCGACTTCACTAATTTTTCGTCCTTCAGTTTTAGCCATAAATCCAATAACAGAAAAAATGACAAAACCACTTATTAAACATGTTCCTTCATTAAAAGCAGCTAGAATCAATGTGTCTCTAGAGTAGAATTCTATGTTTTAGATTTTGTTCGCAACTTTCCCATTGAAATATTTTACCTATAACAATTTTTATTGTATTTATTATAACTTCCGAGTGCAACAAGCGCACCTAAACCAAGTCCGTAACTAAAAAAGATTTGTGTTGACGCTTCAATCCAAAGCTTAAAAATAAAGGCAAAATAAATATTTGTTTTGCATTTTACTCCCAAAAAATAATATTACTGCAGAGGTTTTTAATTTTGATAGATCAGGTATAAATAAATATTTTATACCATCCATGGCACCATCAAGTGTGATACCACGTATAAGTAAAATGAATAAAAGTAGATAAGGAAACATTGATGTAAAGTAGACAACTTTTCCTGTCCATTTAACACCTTTCCAAATACAAAAATAGCATGCTACCCAAGCAATAGCTAATGTTATCACCAATGGCCACCGTAATGTACCTGGTTCACTTATGTCATTTGTAATTTGAAGTGCATTTCGTCTAAATGTAAAGAATTGTCATATATGAACATAGTAGATGTTGTCTTTTTTGTTCGAGAACATACTCCCAAAATTCTTTGACAGGGCTTGTGAATTGTTTAAGATGTTCACTGGCATTGTTCATGCATGCCATCATTGTGTCATTTGTTGTAAATTTCACTGGTGAACATGACAACACTGTTGTATAATTATGCATTTGTGCCAATGTACGACATGACTTCAAATTCCACCAATTATTACATGTAGACCATGGCAATAATGAGGAACTTATTGAATTATACGCATAATATAAAGCCCAAGCCAGTACAACAATATAATAGCAATTAAGCCAAAATGCTATGATTGCTGCAGCGTAGCCAACACCTTAGAAAAATTCAGCTCACAGGTTGATCTTTAATTAATTCGATAATTATCATTTACCTTTGAAAATAGGACAGATTTTCCATATACCAAGACCACCAATGCTTGTATATTGACCCAGTGCTACTTCAAGAAAAAATAAAGGGATACCACCGCAGATCAATGTTACATAATATGGAATGAGGAATGCTCCTAAAAAAAACATACAATATGATTATATTGAAAAATCGAACAAGATCAAAAAACTGACCTCCACCATGTTGGTAACATAAGTAAGGAAATCGCCAAACATTACCAAGACCAATAGCATAGCCAATACATGAAAAGAGAAAGTCAGCATTACCTGACCATTTTTCTCTTTCTTTCAATTCGACCATTATTCTATTCTAATAATCAAATCTGAATGAACAAGAGAAAAGAAAAGAGTCTCAATCTAATCTCTTTTCCTCAGTACACACTATGAGAGTATGACAATGCGTAGTTTTCTATCTAGCAGCTGTCGTAGCTACATAAATACTACTATATTTGATATGCATATAAGATCAAGATAATATTCCTTTTTGAATATTATTCTTGTTCTTTTATACTCACAAAACGAATTCAAATAGTTAGGCCTATTTGGCAGCTATGTAGGGACAAATTATATTGATCTAGGGTTGCGTTTTTTTTGTGCCTGGGTTCTCTTGTTCTTTTTTTATTTTATCAACGAATCGAATGAAGACATTAACAATCTACCAAGATATATTTGTTATTGGGTCAGTCAAAGTAATTTCTCCTGCTCTCGATTTGCTCGTTTTTTCCCTCTCTCGTTCGATTACTTCATTGTTGGGTACGTCAGAATAACCAAGGTCGTTTCTTTTCACTCTTCTCAATTCCATATTTATTTGCAATTAAAACCATGAGTTTTGTTTTTCTTATCAACTATATTTTTACCAATTAGGCCTAAAAAGCAATAGAAAGCATCATGCATATTTCTCTCTCTCGTTTTTTGTTGTTGTTGAATCTATGTTGTATTTGCACTCACGGAGATACTAAAGTGAATAGCACCCAACAGCAACAAACATTGATTAGTATTGCATTTTACTAAGAGGTAGTAGTGCTTTATAAAATGATGCGCACACAACATACACAATCAATATTATATTTGCAAACTCCTCAGAATGTGATGAGAAGTGTCTGTTCTATCAGAAATAAATAAGATTGGCCGATTTATATAAAGCAATCATTTTAGGTTTTCCTATTTGATTAAATCTTAAATATATAGTTGTACAAAATACTATTCGATTTGATTTCGATAGCATATACAAGGCTCATGTCTTTCATATTAGGGACATATTATCCAATAAGAACATTGCACTGTGCTGTGAATGTTTATCTATAATCAAGATGATTTCATTTTGATATCGATACTGAAGTAACATTTCATTTTCTCAATAGATCTGTTGTGGTTTAGAATTACATTTGTTTTGTAATGCACTATTCATCGATCATTTTTCTTTCCTTCACAAAATCGAAAGCATTCGATTTACCTACAACAATAATACTAGTGTTATCTATATTGAATTTTCGATTCGAACGATTACATAATCTAACAAATAATGACATAAAACCTCTATTTATCGTTATTCTATACTCAAATCTAATTCAATGAAACACATCTTTATTATTTGCTATGCCAAATAGTCCATGTTAATAAAAGAAATACTATCGAATGGACTCACGTTGTCACAGCTTGTAATGCTCCCACGTACTTAAAAAAGTGTGAATAATCATGTTATTAAACTATGTCTAATTCATAAATGTTTTTGGTGCCGTTCCGACAGATTAATTGCAATGTCCACACAGCAAACTGTTTGTTATCAAATGACATCCAGATGTGCTAGAGATCGAGAATATGTTATTAATGAATGATAATATCAGCAATAGATGTAGATTCTTTTGAGTTTAATCTGTGTTACATGAATCATCTACATAACTAGTTGCTAATAAGTAAAAAGTATTGAAATGACCACATCTGTGATGGACATAGAAATTTATATAAATTTTTTTCTATTCCATAACTACTCATGTGACTAATATTTTTATAGGATATTGTTTTTAGTTTCGCGAATTCTTTAGGCAAGCTCCAGTATGTTTGCATATTTCAAGGTCTACTTTGTATCTGAAGAGAAAGTCAATAAACACTACTAATGTATAGAAAATATATTTTATTGAATATGACAGGCAAACAAGAAACCAAAATGATTGTATGGGCAAGGCCAACTACTATAAAAATTCTCCATTATTTTTTCTTGAAAATAATTTTCATGATTAAAATATGCAAATTCAATGAATCTTTTTTCTAATCATTCCGTTTATAAACAAACTATTTGAATGCGACTTGTCAGCAGCGTCGCCTATAGAAAAACATTATAATCACATAAAAGTTTTGTAAAAAGTTCAAATAGAATATAATCATGGCCATGAATAAATCGTACATCATTGAATATGGCATTTTTTTAAACTTCTTTTGCAATAGAATTTAATCCAAGAAAATCGTTTTGACTTTGTAAAAAGATTGCTTCTGTAGTAATTGCATAGAATTTATTTGATTGGAAGTGATATCTCTAGTTGAAGCAGACTAGTGTATGAAGGCTATTTTATTTTTAAAACTCTGTGCATTCCAGAGAAATTCTATTCGAAAATATATTTCAAGAATTGAAGCAACTACGCTACATTTTATAACCCAGTAAGCTTTGTAAACTACTTTTTTTTACTTTCAAAAATAATCAAATTGTAATCCGCCGATGTCGTCAAATTTAATTATAGAAAAGTAGTCTATCTACTACCCATGTAAAAAATATCGAAAATAAAATCAGCTGTAGAGAGGTCAAAATCGATTATATCCATTCTTATGATTATAATCATAAAAATGTGGAAACTTCGGATTTCATCCGAGAATTATGTGTACTGCAAAAAGTGCATGGGACATATGAGTCATTCTAGAATGTCTGAACACCAAAATTATCATGAGAAACTACGTAATTTGATTTCTGGATGCAGTTTTTGTGCATTTTGAGACGTTTTTCAGGCGATGCTTCGTTAGAAAGCTACGATTTAGTTCAAAACTAATATCAGATTCGGAATCAGCGTTAAAAACTGAGTCGATTTATATATGTTGTGAATAATTCTGAGAAAAATCCCTGTAGTCCCCCTCAGGGATGGTCTGATCAAAAATGACAATTTTTTCGATAACTCAGCCATTTCTTGGCGGATCCCTCTCATCTTCGAACTCGACCTAGATATTGATAAGACGATTCTGTGCACAAAATTTCAGCTCAATCGAATGTAATTGTGAAGAGTTATCGAATAAACGGACGGACACACTGACCGATTGTATAGTGTACTCTTCTTTTTTTTTTTGAGTACACAAAAATGGAAATAATCTATTAAATACTGATTTTGCTATGATTATTACAGCTAAAATTATTGATTAAAAGCGTATGATTATAATCGATTCTTGAAATCAAGTTTTTTACATGGGTAGTTCCATCGTTGTTTACTCGAAAGAAATTTATGTAAAAAAATTCACTTCAAAATAACCTACAACTACGTTTTTGCTTTACAATTTAATTGTAAATACCTGATCGATCGTACGAATGAAATCATATTGAATGTGTAATAGAAACTATATAATAAAATTAACAAGTCTACTGAAGGACTATCATATTTCTTGAACCCATATCCTTCGATGGATTCATAAGGACAAAGTTAATGTTGAATTAAATCTATCTATCCATTCTTCATGGTGCCGATCGAAATTAGCATGAAGAATTACTATGCATTATAAAATTTCTTGTCAATCCATCATTGTTTTCTTTCTCTTCTTCTTCTTCTTCTTTTAGTGAATATTCTTTACTGCGTGGGAGATCTATCATAAAATCTGCCTAATTGAATTTTTTTTATTGTTAAACATTTCCTAGAAAAAAATATTCGAATTTAACATGCGTTTCTAAACATTGATAAATTTCTGTGCATGCTTATATGTCACCAAGTACGCTTCAATTATCTAATGAATAATATACGAAAAATAATATTCAATTGCTAGCATGTCGAAGAACTCATACTAATTATTTTTTGTCATGAACTAAGAGACCATCTGTTCGAACGAACTATTTTTATGACAGTGTACGATCGCAAATATTCACCTCTATTAATGGGTCAATGCATTTCTTTCATTGAATAGGTAGTGAGAGAGAAAAAACGGAACGATTATTTATATTTCATTTGAATACGTTGAATCCTGCTGGGCGAATAATTATTCAAAGTTAATAGCATCAGCAGACGAAACGTTTTATTTTCGATTAAAGAATCATTTCAAAGAAACATGCCAAATTCGTATAACAAATTTTTGTTTCAATGAGCGAATCGAATTTTATTCATTGCTTATGAATGCACATCAAAAAGATCAGTTCGATTGGTTTTTTTTTCGCCGTCTTCTTTCTGATCACTCATACGTTGACTTGTCATGGGTAAGAAAAGTCGTTCATCATATTCTGAATAATGAACAAATAATGAATACGTAGGAATCACATGGTAAGAATTTTTTTTTCGTATAAATATAGTCTATCATTCTCTGTCACCCCAGGAGATTGCATATTGTTTCTGTATGTAATCGATAATTTTTTAGCAGACATTTTATTCTATGTTGCACAGGAGACAATATTTCTTTTGCTTGCATTATTTAGTCAATATTTCAGATATTGTAAACCATTTCATATCGAAATCATGTTACTTTTTCAATCCATAGTTCTTGTTTCAATTTTATTAACAACAAACGCTCAATGGTATATTAAAAAAAACTATCGAAACAAATTTATGAATTATCCAAATCCGGGGAAAAGAAGTTTACCTGAAGAAAAATCAATTTTTACGGAAACGGATTGCGAAACGTCATATTCCCAATCGTATTCACATGAACAAAGAGCTGCATGGGCTTTTCTTTGTGGTCATAAGAAATCATCATTGAAAGCTAACGGGCATTCAGATGAATTGGACTTCGAATTCGCTTCTAAACCGAAACTCGCCTTACGAACAAAACAACAATCTCAAGATGCTGTATTACCCGATTATCAAGACTATGAAAATTCATTCAATAAGTACATTTTGAAACTTGCACGACGTGTAATTAAAAGCTAATAGAAAGTGTTCAAACAAAAAACAGAGAGATGTAAATTCATTCTAAACTATAATATTCATCTATGTTATCTAAATCTTCTTAAATCTGCATTTGCATTTTGAATTCTAATAAATAAAGTGCACAAGCATTTGTATATTTGTTATCATGACTGAACAGTGTATATTTTTATTTTTATTCCTTATTAATTTCGAAATCCTTTTCTTTTATCTTAATACAAATGACGTAGATTATTGTTCATTCATCATCAAATCCATTATGAATTGTATAATCGCTTGGAGCATATTGATGATAAAGAAGATAATCATCATTGTCTTCGTTCATTGCTAGATAACGACGTTTACCCCAACCTAAATTTTCAACAACAAAAAAAAAATAATAAATCATTTAAAAAAATCATTTAAAACTTACCAGCTTGTCGCTTATGCTCGGGATTTAGATGAAATAAATCGCCCTGATCATAATGATTGTTTGAATTTGGCCAATAAACTTTCCGCAGTTGTGCTGTACGCGCATCGATTGTTGTTTGGCTTATAATGTAAAAACAAATTATTAGAATGATTACGTAGAATTTCATTTTGAACTGTCTGTTTGTTAAGAAATCAGCGGAATGAACACAAAACTTATCTTGTGAAGACGACAGAGTTAGATTACAAGAAGAAAAAAAGAAAATTACTGGGGTAGGTGGACAAGTTGTTGACTTGAAATGTCCGTTCCATCATAGTCATTTAACGAGAAAAAGAACGAGGGATAATTAAATAACAAGAGAAAAGTATCTCCGCACACATCACCACGTTATTGTGAGTAATTTTCTATTTAATATTGTACTCTTTGATATCAATATGACAATGATTTTACTATAAATATTGACTTTTGTTTTGCGGAGTACATTGAGAATCACATCTATATAGAAATATATACGTGTATATGCGTTTATTGACCGTAGGGATGTAACAATACCATGTGGAGACACATATTGGCAAGCTTTACGTGTCTGTAAATGGCATTGTTACATCCCTAATTGAGCCTGTAATTTTTCAATTATCGTTTGTCTCGGTAGCTATTGCCATTTATTTTAACCTAGCAATATAGTCATCATGTATAACCATTATTTACTTAATTTGTCGATGTTTAAGATCCATAATATCAGCTTTTATTTTTGACATATATTTTTCTCGGAACTGATTGCAAGCACATTGGAAAAGGAAAAAAGTCAGAGTCACTGTTTACATTTCGGAAAAGAGAACAAAAAAAGAATTCATCGTTCATACAACAATTGTTGTTCGGTAGTCGTTGGCGATTGAAGTAAAACTAAACGACCGCATTAGATCTGTATAATCGTCGAATAGTTTCTCTCCTATTGTACCATCGTCAATAGAAAATTGTTTACAACTTACAAATAAACGTATTGCTAATTCAATTGCCCCTTGATTATGTAAAACTTCAATAGCACGACGAAACTGTCCACACGAGATTAGAATTAAAGCTGAATTCATTTTTGATGTCGGCGAATGCAAACGAATATATTCTGACCATCGTTTAATAACATCAGTATACTCATTTGAATTTGGTTTAAGTCGTAGTTTAGCTAACCATATTGAACGTTCCCATTGATTATGGTCTTGCAAATATCGGCATGCTTCAGCACATAAATCGATTGTACATAGTAGTTGTACGCCTTCATCAACTTTTCCATTCGCAATTAAATTCGTTGCAACTAATTTTGTGACAGTATTTTTAGGCGTTTCATTTGCTTGTTTTTGCATTGAAGATATGAGACAAGCTTTTATACAATTTATTGCATATGTATCATCAGCTGGATCTGTATCAAGTAGAAGTTGCACAGCACGATCGATTTGTTGAAGTGCAATATAGGAATCAATACATTGATTGATTGATACTGAAGAGGATACTGATTTAATATCACGACGAATGGTTCGTTCTAATTGAATTTGTTCAAATGTTTTGGCATCAAGAAGTAAATCATAAGTTGATAGAAGGGGTAATGAGGAATGATTTGAATTTTCATTCAATGTACCGTATGCATAGAGATAGTATTCAGTTAAACGCCAAAATGATTGTTCCCATGGATCATTAAATAGATTAGCAACAAATAAACATCGATCAATGGTTGAACTTGTATTCGTTAAGTATGTTCTTGAGTGTCTACAAAGATAAAGTTTAATCAGTCAGGAATCAAGAAAGCAAACTAGAATTTACGCGTCAAGTTTAGCGAGTTCTTTTTCAAGTAATCCCTGTAAATTTGCATCTTCACATTTGGCTATTAAAGCATCGATTGAACCGTTGTTGATGCATAACAGATGTTTTAATAAATTAGCATGACGTCCTGGTATTACATATGGATAAAGTGTAGATTCTAAAAATAAGAATTTCGATAAATACGCACGAAAATCTCATATATCATAGAAAGGATGATTATTTTTTTCAAATTTCCAATCGAAGTACATCGCACATTCGAAAGAGTTCAATTCTAATACATTTTCCTTTCTTTCTATTCGAAGTTATCAGGTAGCAATATTATTATATTACAAAGTCTATTCCAAGGTATTGAATTTAGTATTTTTTCCTTTACTTTTGAAAAAGAAATAAGAATGTCAAAACGCAAAGGACATTGTAGTATGACATGTTCGTTTACATGCAATAAATATTAAAATTAACAAATAAGAACCGAGAAAATAAGTCAAATTACCACATCAGCTATGTCAAAATATCTCATGAGAATTCGATTGGACTTCATGTGTGTATAGCTCAGGATCAAAAATGCTGACGTATTGAAGAAATCTGTTTTTCTCTATAGAAATTAGTTAGGATCATGTCACATACGCGGGATTGTTTGAAATTCAAGTGAACTGGAGGAATCAACGAGACTCATTTCATATATTCGTAAACAATGATCAGAACATGCTAAAATAATTTTATCCGAACTTGCCCAATCACCATCAGTAACTTGAATTGTATCACGTGGAAATTTTAATGTACTGATACGATCTCTCTATAATACAAATTATTTTTGTTTGCACATAAAAAAAGACTTCATTTAAAACAAAAATAACATACATCTCGTACATCCCATATATCAACACCATCATTAAATAGAACAAATGCACGAAAATTACCTTTACCAGGTGCAAAACGAACTTTACGAATAGAACTTCGTTTTGTATTAAAAGTTCTGAATAAATTAAATTAAAAGAAAGAAGAGCCCTAAAATTTACTCAATAAAAAATATTCCTTACTTGCTCTGTTTGAGTTTTATATTAAATATTTTTAAGATACCCTCGACATCACAAGATAGTAGATAATCACCTTTTAATACTAGAAGAAAAAGTACATTTTTGATTTTCAAAAAATTGAAATCAAACAAAATTTACCTAAATCAGTAGCCATTGATGATGAATGCTGAAAATCAAATCAAAAACAGATTAAATTACAAACAAAGAGAAATTTCTATACATCAGGCGGAACAGTTGCAACTTCTTTAATTGTTCGTCCTTCCACATAAAAATGGTACAATAAATTATATTCATCAGTGAAGATGAAATTTTCACGTGATAACTTTTTCTCAAAATCATTCGAAGTATTTCTATCAATAAGAAACTATTTATTTATAGAAAAGTATATGGCATTTATTTTGCTTACTCAGATTCGGCTGTAGTTCGATTAGAGTCATATTCAGCTTCCGTGCTAGTTTGTACTTTAGTAACAACTAACGGATTCGTTTCTCCAGTTGTTTTTTTCATAACTATAACATTTGGTGACCAATCCTACAATAAGAAAAAATATACAACACATAGCTTATTTTATCTTTGTCATGAAATTTTAAATTACTAATGCTAAAATTCTTGGACATTTTTTTGGCAAACGTCGTATGATTGTAAATGATTTCAGATCCCATAATTCAAATGGTTGATCACGAAAAAGAATAATTAAATAATTCCTTTGGTAAAGTAAAACAAAAACTAGTTGTAATTGCATTTATTGTCAAAACACATACTTTGTATGAGAAGCTTTTAAACTTTCAATAGGTGATTCGTCACAATTTATTTCAGATCGAAATGCTTCTTGTCGTCCTATCAGAACAGTAAAGAAACTTTGTATAACATAGACTTCAATAACAGTAAAATAACCTGATTGAAAATGAATCATAAATATTTCATTGCGAACTGTAGAACGACCATCACTAGGTGTTTGGTATGCCCAAGACAAAATTAATTGAGAGTTTAACCATAGCAATCCACTAGAACGAAAAATATATTATTATAACACACTGAATATAGAATGATTTTTTTGATTCATTGAAAAATGATCAAATCGAGCTCGTAGTTTTAATAAACCTTGCACTCGTGAATGGAATGTTTTTTTTACCAAAAACTCTAAATAGTTAAATGAGACTATATTCACATCTCAGAAGAGTTTGATGCTCTCATTTTCAAGAAGACAATCTCTATGGCGAAAATAAAAATCTGCGATTTTCCAAGAAAATGAGACATGCTACGTGTCATACAGGATCTGGTCCTTGTTAAAGCAATTTGTTTTTATGCATTAGATAAAAAAAAAATGCTACAGATTCATAAAATGCTTATATTATGGAAATGACACATTCATCAAACACCGCATCGTTAAAGAAAGAATGTAAACGGTATAATCGTATTCTGGTCTTATTTCAGTTTTCGTCGTTTTTATCTAACCTTTGCCTATATTTTATAATATGCTATCCGAGACGAAAATTTTCAATCTACATATTCTTATAGAGAGAGCGAAAGTCTGCTTCTACCTGCAAGCAAACATCCTACAAAAAGAGCTAATATGTCGCTTCAGATGTTACCCGCCCCAGCTTTTATCAATCAATAATAATAGCAACACGTACCGAACAGCACACGAATGAACAGCTAACTGTCTTTGAATAGTACCATCATTCAGATCGAAGACTACAACATCTCCATTCGTACAACCTGCATACAATTGTTGAAATAATAAGATTTTATTTAAGAATTTTTATTTTCATTACCAACAGCTAATAATGGTTGCCATTCTTTATAATTTTTTACAGTCATTGGTGGACACATGCTCAATACATAAGGCCCCGTTGGCGCAGCAAACATAACTCCACCTAATGGAATACGATTTCCAACATTTCCTTCAGTATAAGTTTCACCGCCGTGTGATGATGTTGATAAAGGTTTTTGATCAACATTCCAAAATAAAACTTTTCCATCCGTAAGAATAACACTTATCGATGATTCATCCTTTGGCGACACAGAAAACGAGCAAATACGTGTATTTTTCACCAAACGAAATGGGTCAGAATAATAAATCAAATCATAAGTTAAATCAATGACAAAATCATGCAACAAGCCTAAAACAAAAAAATAATAGTAACAAAAATCTTTTTTCCCAGCATACAATTTGCAGATTGAAGAGCTGTTATGGTGCTATTTTCTAAATGTCTATTTCGAACACTAATGGTTCCACTTTCATGAAAACATATAAATGTATCACGTCGACGACAACCATAAATCTATTTACAAAAATATACATTTCAGATTTAACAATAAGACAAAATGCAAACTTTATAAAATGCAGCTGAATGTTTTTCACAGGAAATTGTTCCTACAGTTTGTAAAATTTGTAAATCAAATATTAATATTTCACGTGGATAAACAATTAAAATCAAATGACGATGCATTGGATGAAATAAGATTTGTATACAATCATTCAAACTAACAACACTTGATGATGATTGATCATCTTGTCTAAAACAAAAGCATTTTCAATTATAGAAAAAATTCAAAAAAAAAATGAATATTTACTTGGAATGTTCAGTTCCTTCAATAATTGTTTTAAGACGTGTTGTTAATTGACTACTTGTTGATGATATTGAACTAATCGATGGCGTTCGACCGTTATTATTAGATGACGGATTTGCTTTATTGCCACTATTACTATTATTATTATTATTGGTGTTTGATATATAAAATCTTCGATTTTGACCGCTAGGAGTATTTATTGGTGAAAAATCTTCAATAAATGCTAAACTAGATTGACCCAATACTAAAGTAAAATTTCATATGATTTTATTTTTTATTCAAAATTCTATTTACAAATAGCTCGTTGATGATTAAATGGATCTTGAATAATTTGTTGAAATGTTTCTACATCTTTTTGACGCTCCTGATCGTAAACAATACGCCAAATTTTTGTTCCTGTTTGTGTGTTCCATAATATTACAATATTTGGTGAATGAACTACAAGTAGAAGTTGAGGATTATTATCACATGCATACCATAGCATATCTAAAAACAAAATGGCAAATATTAAATTTTAGTTTGGGTAAAAAAATTATTTATAGAAACCAGTTATTGGCTTGTTTCCATCACGAAATTCACATTGAACTGATGATTTATAAACATCCCAAATTAAAATATTTCCATTTGAATCAGCACTTGCTAATTTTAAACTATAGGAATCATCTAAATTGTGATAAAAATAATCCGGAAACCATTTAACCTATTTAGAAGAAAATCTTTTTATCGCATTAAAAAATAGGATTTTCAATACTTTAGTAATTATATCATGATATTTTTCCATACATTGTAAAACCTATTCAAAATATTGTAAATAGAAATACAAGCTTTTCTTTGCATAGAATTAAAATACTCGAAATGATTGCGAATCAAGTACAACTATAGTTGATTGACATCCATATGCCAGATGGCCATGATGATTCCAATCGATAGCATCTTTATTCGCATTATTTAATGCCCCGGGAATAATACGTGGTATAAGATTCATAGTTTTATTTTAATGTTATTTTGATGTTAAACATGATGAAAAGAGTCATCATCATCGTCCTATGCAAAAAAAAGGAACTCATTAATCAATGGCTCGTACTCATCCAATTGGATTTCGGGCGCTATATTCGCAGAGTTAAAGATATTTAAAAAAGTAAATTTTCCCACATTTTATATTTTAACATGGCTGTAGTAAGAAGAAGTCGAACTGCTATGGATATATTGAAATCCAATACTGGATGTATTTCAACATATTCAAAGAACATTGACGATATGCTTAGTAAAATTAATATAAATATTTTCCATTCCAGTTTTTTTCCCTTTTTCTTTTTTTAAAGATGGTGGTATTCGTATGGGTGTTCTAACTGAACTGTGTGGAAATCCAGGCAGTGGAAAATCTAATTTATGGTTTGTCTAAAAAATTATTGATTGAAATAAATTGTGTTTTTTTAATTAGTACTCAATTATGCGTTTCTGTACAAATGAAATATGGTGTAACAACGAATGAGACTGGAACAGTAATCTATATTGATACAGAAGGAAGTTTTGTGCCCATACGATTACAAAATATGGCAATGGCTGCTGAAAATCATTATAAAAATGAAAACGGAAATCTTACGAATACCAGTTCAGTGGAAGAAATATTAAAAAATGTGATTTATTTTCGTTGTATCAATGTGGCAGAATTAATCGCTTGTCTAATACAATTAAAACAAATAATGATACCAGAACGAAATGTTAAATTGATTATTCTGGATAGTCTTGCTCATCCTATTCGAAGCATTATTAATAGTGATCATTTAACTCGTCATAAACATATTGTTAGAATCGTTTCTATGTTACAAAAAATAGCTGCAGATTATAAATGTGCAGTAAGTTAAAACTATCATTTAAAATATTATATAATTACATTAATATTAGGCTGTGATTGTTAATCATATGATTGCAAAAGTTGAATCGCCGAAAAACGAAGCTTATTGTGCTCCAGGTATGAAATACATAGGATAGAATATTACGATTTCTATGCAAATAACACTCCTTATCACACTGAAATTCATATTGTAATGTAACCCTATGTAAAATACTTTTTTCTGAAAAACAATCTTATTGAAAAATTTGAAACCATCAATTTTTTGTACGTCAAAATAGTTTGATTGATTGATGATGTTTATTTCTTATTATTGTTCTCTCAAATAACAATTGCCAATTATCTATGAGACAATTTTTCTCACTTGATAATGTGTATAGTTACTATTTTTATGCCAACAGTAGGATTAGCTTACCTTACCCGTGTACGAAAAAATATCCTTCGAATAAACTTTACTATTTGATAGAAAAAAAATCAGTTCGTTCGCTTTTACCAACATTGAGATATTTCACTTGTTTTTTCTTTTCTTATCGCACTACGTATGATATTAATCTCTATGAATTTGAATAGCTCTTGGTGATACATTTGGTCATATGTCTCAATTACGGTTACAACTTTCCTGGAAAATGAATAAACGTGAAGCGCGTGTTCTTAAATCGCCACATATAGCGGAATTGTCAACATATTTTCAAATAACTGTAAGTTTATTTTTAAACTAATTGTTGATTTTTTTAATCGATTGATTGTTTTCTCTAGGATGATGGTATCCGAGACATAGATGAAACTGAATTAATGGATCAAAGCAGTTGTAATTCAGTATCACAGGAAAATATGCATCCAATTGCGATTACGTAATTGACACGGGGATGTAGCTCATATGGTAGAGCGCTCGCTTAGCATGCGAGAGGTATTGGGATCGATGCCCAACTTCTCCAGTTCTTTTTTGTTCTTTCTTTTTATTTTCGTCATATATATTTCAGTAAACTCGTTCAGATTCCGCTATTCTTTTGTTGTTGGTTTATTTTTGAAATTCACTAAATTCAGGGAAAAACAACAAATTTCAAACGACAAGTATAAGATAACATAGGTCGCTTGTTCTCTTTTATTTAAATAACAATAAACCAGCAAAGATTAAGTTAAAATTATGTGAATGTTCTTAACCCTTTACCGCCGGCTTTATGAAAAGCGTCGTATCCCTGTAGGGGAAAATGTTGCCATATGGCAACATCCGGCGGGAAAGGATTAACTATAAGATGAAAAAGAAAAAGAATTAGCTGTTTTCTATAATTAAACATATTCATATTTGTCGACGATAAGTTGGGATTCACTTGAGTATAAAGCTGATTTACGCGTGTCAACAGATTTAACATCAGCAACCTGGCAAAAAAAATGAAAATTTAATCAATATTAATCATCAAATGTATGTTTTTACCTTGATATCACAATATGCTGTTTCAGAAATGAAATCTACTTGAATTGGAAAGAAATCAGCAGATTTTCCGCGAACAGAAAATTCAAGTGCTCCTTCAGAATTTGATTGATCAATAACAGGCAATGTCCATACTAATGATGTTTTTCGACTATCGAATTGATAGTCACCATCGATTTTTCCTATAACGGGTGTATGTCCACCACTCCTGTAAAGAAAAGTAGAATTAAAAAAATCTCGTTCTTTTTTTCTATAGGATTCATCTTACGGTAATGGAACAGTGATTTGAACATCTTTTAAAACGAGATTAGTATTTTGTAATTCGTATTCAATATTAACATCACAACCACCATTTGCTGTCTCATTAGGCCAACAATTAACTATAAAAATAAAGCGTTAAAAAATACATTACAAAATAAATGTTTCATATTTTTGTTTTAGAATTTATCCTTGATACGTTTCAGAATATAGCTAAAAACTATATCTGTGGTCAAAACCTAATAAATACTATGCGATTAGTAGTCAAATTTTCAAGATCTGCCAGAGTACAGTATAAACAGGTTTTGTTCGATTGTGAACCACTTTATAAATGTTTGAGTTCTTGTCTTCTTACTTGTAAGCGGAATTTCTTTAGCATCAGCTGATGTATAACGCCATTTAAGTACACCAACTTCTTGATTAACTGGAAATGGTCTATCTGAATTTTTCAAACCAATTAATGATTCATTAGTAAATAATTTCTTATCAATATTTGGATGAGTCTACAGAGAAAAAAACATGAGTAGTCAAATGATTCAAAACAAGAGATAAAATTATTTTACCTGCAATTGAAGATTTCTCGAATCTTTATTATCAATAGCAACAAGAATACGGCCATATTGTTCAGATTTAACCCGTAACATAATCATACCATGTACTTCTAAACTTTCTAAGCCTCCGTCACGTCCACAACGTACAGTTAATTTTTCTTCCTGTTTCAAATGAACACTAAACAAAATGAAAGATTTTTATAATGAACTAATATTTTTCTAGATGAAACATACTCTCCCTTTGCATTGTCAGGTAACGATATACTGTGTGTTTTATGTTTAGTAACTGCTCCGCCGGCACCTGCTGTTACTGGAGCATTGTTAGCAACGATTTCACCTTCCGATTTCAGTTGATCGACAAATGTTTCAACATTTTTGCCTTTTGTACCTAATTTCATTGCTTTGCCTGTTGTACTTGGACGAATAGCCGATCTACACAGAATAAAATCATTATCGATGATTGTTTTACTTTGAAGAAAGAAAATAATTCCAATTAATACATACGATGCGCTACTAGTTGGGTAGGATACTGGTGTTGGTGTCAAATCCGGTTTATTGTCGGTTGATGAACTGCTATACATATTCGATGATATACCAGTTGAGTTTCCATAGGATTTTGTTCCACCTGTACGTTGTGTACGTTTTAATAAATCAAGTTCTTTCGCTCGTTGTTTCATTCGATCCTTTGCTTCACGTTCTTGACACTGAATGTTAATTAAAATCATAGATTCTCTTTTGTTTCATTGTAAAAATTTAAAAAAACAAATACCTGTCTCATAGCATCATGCACACGTTCATCATGAGAGTCCATTTCAGTATAGGTACGAATTTGAGCTAAATTAACATTTTCTTTATAACCTAATGCAACTATTTCATCGAATGCGGCTAATAATTCAAAAGCATGTTCGAATATTTCTTTTTCATCGACGGTTTTACAGTATTCCGGAATCTAGAAAAATTTAGAAAAACTTTAGGATTTGTGTTTATCAGTTAACGCATTATTACCACTCGAGAAAAGAGTCTTAGTGTTTCCAGATCTTCAAGAATATTGCTTGTTTTTGTTGTTAATAAAACCATATAAAGTTTATCAAATGGTTGATAAACATAACGAACAGAATCCGTTTCAACAAACGTATGTTGTTTTCCGGCACCAATTAATTTAGGAAATGAGGCAAGTAAACCTTCAATACGTGATCGCGTCATTTCCACAAATTGTCGCGAGACGAGTGCTATTTAAAATTGAAAGAATCAGTTTTACATGAAAAAACAACATACGATAACACTTACGTTTGCCAGTTTTAGTGCAAATCGATGCAGCGAGTAAAACCATGTTGATTAAAATAATCTAAAGTAGCTATAACTATACAGTAATAAAAAGAGTCGTGTTAGCAAATTAGTGACGTTGGGATATTAGTCGAGTTGGCATATTTGTTATTGTTGTTTTTTTCTCCAATCTAACGGTCGATTGCAGACATTCGAGAAACTATGAGCCAATCAGCAACGAGTCAATACTCAAACCATCCATTCACAGATACTATCGTGTGTTAAAAAATTATGAGCCATCTATTTTTTTATGCAATTGTACAATAATAAAGTTCGCCTGCCGATGCTGATTACCTTGAAATAGTTGTCCAATAAAACATCATTCGAAATACATAACCATAAAAGAATATAATAAAAAAAAACTTTCATTTTATTTCGATTATTATGAGCATTTTGTGAACTGGTATAAATGAATATGAGTACTTATTGACAATACTGAATCATATAAAAAATATATCAAACTGAAAACACATGTATACATAATGGAATATCTTGGAGACGCGATTTCTACGAGTTCTTCGAACAACAGAATAACTTGTTATAATTTAATTGCAACGCAGTGCATATGGGAAACTTGAAAATCGTAGACTGATTTTTATTTTGAAAATATAAGAGAATTTTTCAGAATGACCGAAACGATACAAATCTGTCAAGTATTTTTTCTCTCTCTTCAGTGCTAATTTCGGTGCTGTTCATGTAATATTTACGGTGTTTATACCTATGCATTTGTTTGAAACAGCAGCCATATAAAAATAAATAGATATCTCGTTCAAGAGTACTAACTTAACAAACTACAACATTTATAATCGATAATTTATTTTGCTTTGGCTTAATGTTGACTTCAATTGAAAGTTTCTGACTTGCGTCGTTCTTTCATATCGTTTCATAGGGAAAAACAAAAACACTATTCGTAGCTTCCTTTTTCTATTTTTTGAGGTCTTTAATTTCAAACTTTTCGTTCGCGGAATATCATCTCGTAGATTCAGAATAAGATAATTGCATTTTTTTGATGCTGCAATATGTAGAATCAATAACTGGTTGCCTACGTGATGATTTACTTATCAAGGCTAGTGAGTCTTTTATATTTTGTTATGCTTTCCTTTCTTTTACAAACAAGAAAAAGTGTACTGAAACGAAGTAAACAACTTCCGTGTTTCTTGTCATCGAATGAGGAGTCGATTTCGTGCCTTGCTCGATTGATATATTGAATTTCTGCATTAAAAACAAGAAAACTACTGATATTACGTTTACCAAGGACTCGGTTGTGTCTTATTTGTGAATAAGAAAATTCATCTCACCATTTGTCTTTTCATTCGCAAAAACTGTAAACAACGAAGAATAGAACCTAATTGCTTTCTTATTTTGAAGTATGTTGTGACAATCAATTAATTGCATCTTTATAATAACGACAGCGATAAAATGAATGAGAAAGTGAACCATCATATTTCTAATATTGTTTGTGTGAGGCATGTTTATGGCCGAAAAAAAAGAAACCGTACAAATTAATAACAGACTTGAATAATTACAATTTTTTAGTGTGTGCTCTACATACAAAATAATCGAGTAGTATGATAAATTGAGGCCTTTACTCAGGTGAGATCTATTAACACTTTAAATAAGACTTATTTTACTATTTGCATTTTATGATATTTCTCATGAAACTAATACTTAACAACACGGTTTCAGCTTTGATTGAACACAAAAAAGATTAGATCTTATATTTTTTTAGCTCGATAGAAAACTTCTACAATAAGTTTAATTCGAATCTTTGACAAACATAGTCATGCTTGCAAAACAAGCGTTAACTATTGGTATCAATGCCTATGTTCCAGCAAACATGGCTTTAGAGTCTTGTATACATGATGCAAAAGATGTGTCGAATGCTTTGGCTTTGTTAGGTTTTCAAGCGTATTGTGTTACTGATGTTAGTTTTAAATCGATGAATTCTGTAATTTATCAATTTGTCGATGCCATCCAACCAGATTCTATTGTTGTCTTCTATTTCTCTGGTCATGGTGTTCAATATGATGGTAAAAATTATTTAATTCCAAAAAATGGCCTTGGCACTTGGACAGGTAACGTTACATCGAGAACAATTGATGTTCAACAGCTTATATATAGTATGCATGCAAAGCAACCCCGAGTTGTCATATGTATCCTTGATTGTTGCCGAACGAATCCATCGACAGAACGGTGGAATGCAAATTCCATATACAGGACAATTTTCGGTGGAACCAAATTAGGTTTTGCATCGATGCAAGTGCCACCATCAACTATCATAGCTTATGCTTGTGCAGCAGATGCTATGGCTTCATCTATGTCAAGGAATGGTCGAAACAGCCTCTATACTTATCATTTACTTCGTCGTATCAAAATACCAAATATCGATATTAAGACTATTTTGAAATTTGTTGGTATAGATGTTCAAAACGAGTCAGATTATAATCAAATACCTTTTCAATATAGTAGTTGTAATGAAACGATCTACCTTGGAATGAATGCACCGTACAAGAGACTGATATCACCCTATCTTATGCAAAAACGACCTATTATCCGTAAGTTACTTTGAATAGATATATTCTGGATGAACTCATTTCTTTTTTTGTACACATTTAGAATCAAGACATAGACGACAATCAAAACCACTTCCTACTCAATATTCAACATCGCAACTCAAACACTTCAATAAACAATTGTATAGTCAATATGGCATGCTGATGAACCATCATCATTCACTTCCAAAATATCATCCATCACCCTATAAGACACGAGTTTCTTCGCAGTACGATCATCGGTTTCTTCAAAATGTACGGCATCATTAATGATAAAGTTATTCGACAAACAAAATAAAAAAAAATGTCTAAAATCAATTAGACTTCAGTGAAATTGATTAGTAAAGATGAATCGAACTTGTCGATAATTCTATTTCGTGCAATCAATAATCAGATTAAGGTTCTTGTCATATATAATTCCGTGTAGACAGTTTAACCATATAATTATAGAGCAATTTCTTGCTTCTAGAGATTGATTTTTACAGAAATATCGTCAATACTCATAGTAATGTTAAAAATACAAAGCGAATCGTCACAATTCACTGTTGATACATGAAACAAGAAAAGCCATCTAACTTGAAATATAAGAAAACGCCAAATAACTTGATAGTTGTATAACGGTATAGACAGACACAATCCTTTTCTCCTTGTCGTGAATTGACCGTCCGTGAGCGACAATTAAAAAATCAGTGAGCGATAGATGGCGTTGCATTGTCGATTCCATGCATGATAACATAGGCTCTTCGTCACTTGTTTATTTGTGATTTGTTTACCTGCATTTGTTTCTTGTCATCAATTAGTTAATGATTTAAAATGTCTTTGTCGAATAGGAAACTGAAAAATGATTCTCTTTCTAGCCTCCTTTATGGATTTATGAATATGAATCTGTATTTTATTGATAATAATCTTGCGAAATTTGTTTTATTTTTAAAATCATACAAATACTTTGTTTTCTCATCGCTTTCTCATTCATTCATTCATTCATTCTAGAAAGACAAAAACCTTATTAACTTAAAATGGGTATTCTTAAGAATTACGAAGGTGACGGACATGAAAATGAACATGTCAACATTATGTCACTTATTGATCCATCGATACCTACAGAACCTTTAACGTAAATGATTCATCGATTGTTATCATAGTCTAAATTTTGTTTGAATTTTTTTTTCTTACTTTAAGCAGTGATGCAGCATCATCATCATCCAGTGACGATGAAGAAGTACACGAAAATGTAATTTTACCAACTCCGGCAATTCTTTCGGCTGCTCCACTTACATCAACTCGAGCACACAAGGTAAAAAAGCTTGCATCGAAAATTCCGAAACCAACATTACAAATTAAAAATATTGGCGGTAAAAAATCGCAAGGGCACCGACAAGCAAGACGGCACGAAAATAGTTTGTTTACTGTAACAAATCTCTTTTAAAATCATCCTTGTTGATTCTAGTGTGCTTCTTATTGAATCTTGCAACGGATTTAGATGAAGATTTTGCTGAAGTGAACATCAATGATCTTGTTGAAACAACTGTTTCAGCATTTGCACAACTTTTATTAAGTAAAAATAAAATGAAGGTATGATGGATAGCTCAATTCAAACAAACTATATTCATCATTTTTACCCATTATAGTTGATTAGTCCCTTACCTAGAGGTTCTCTCTAATCAAGGGTTTTATTTTTCCGTACTATGAAAACACAGCAGCTCATTAAATTGAGCATTCGCCACTAGATAAAACGAAATAAAAAAATCATGATGGACATCTATGCGGATTAATTCCTTTAAAAATACTAAACAAAAGGAATTATGCTGTTTCATCGTTTTCTATAAAGAAAAAAGTTCATGTACACGCATACAATTAGTGTAATCTGAATGAACTTTGTTTTGGCTCGTCGACGAAATCGATGTTTTTGTCTGTTTTGAAAATCGCATCACTTCACTAACAATTAGAGTGTGTCTCATAATTAGTGAATAATAGTTTTAAAGCGAAATATTTTTTTCTATAAAAATTATTCATGAATTAGATTTGGAATGAATTTGTCGAATTGTCTGAACGCCAACAAGAACATATTGTTAAAATGGCAACGAATAAAAAGGCAACGAAAAAGATTCGAAAATGTGTTAACAACGATACAACAACAACAACAACTCTTAGCTGTAGTAGTGATGATGCTTTCGAAACATTTGTTCTTATTGAAAACCATACAACAATGAGTGACAATCAATCTATTGATCCAATATATCGACAAGGTATATTAATGATTGATGAAAAAAAATTGATAAGAAAATGTTTGTTTTCGTAGAAGAAGCTGATTCATGTTTTCGTCGTGTTGATCCAAATATTCGCTATACATTGAAAAGTATGATGAAACGAAATCATTTACCGATAGTAAGTTTTTCCTTTTTTTTTGAAACTCGTGTATGTCTCTAGAAAGCAAATGTTAATGAACATTTAGGATCGTATTATTTCCTATGAAGATGATATAGTTCCGTTTTTCAAAGAACATCCTGATTCAGTTTATGTACGAGATTTAAGTAACGGCTTTGACCGTATGCTACTTCATGCTGTTTGTCAATATTTAAATTTGATTTCGAAAAGTAAATATCGATATTTGCATAGAAGATAATTTAATTCTTTTTCTTTAAAGGCTTTAGTCAAGATGGCGAAAGGTATACTCAAGTTGAAAATCGTCGTATCGAATTCATTCCACCGATAATGCTTCTTTCGGAATATGTTAAATTACTCGATGGAACGATGAAAAGTGCTCTGTAAATTTTTTCTCTCACTGTGTGTATTTTAATTATTTTAGTTGGACTTAGAACCCGTGTTTGTCGTTTGTTTTTTTTCGATCATTTTTCTTGTGTATCTATAATATCCATATTTAAAGTTTTGACTATGCTAAAGAGAAAAAACGATTATTATTATTATTCTATATATATTTTTTGTTTTGAGAGTTACGATGATTTATCTTTCACTTGTAGATGAATGCTCCAGCAACATTCGAATCGTTTCTATTATTAGATGGTGAAAAGAAGATCGTCGTCGAAAAAGATACGAAAGTACCTAATGCAGTTGTTTTCACCATTAGTAAAGAAGATCATACATTAGCAAATATGTTACGTGCTCAACTATTAAAAGATCCTGAAGTGATATTTGCTGGCTATAAAATTCCACATCCACTCGAGCATAAAGTTATTCTACGTGTACAAACAGCTGGTCATGAATATTCGCCAATAAATGCGATGGAAAACGCAATAAAAGATCTCATTTTTGAAATGGACATGTTAGAAGATAGAGTTAAACAAGCTATTGCCAATCGGCAAAATGCTGAATGATGACATGACTGTTATTTTTTTTTCTTCTTGTATTGAATATTTTGATATGTATGTAATAAAATGTTGTTTCTGTTATTGTTTATTTCAGATAGAATATTTTAATTTTTTGATAATTTATTGAGAAATCTTCGATGAATTAATTTAAGTAAGTGGCAATAAGAATATTTTTAATTATTATTATTATTTGTAATATGAAAGTAAGTTTTAGCTGATGGCATGCAGTATCAATAAATGCTCGATATAAATTTGCGATAAAATTAATTTTCGGCCGATTTATAATAAGATGAAATACAGGTATTTAGTATTGACTTTGATAGTTTCAATGATGCATTCCCTTGTGAATAGCAGTGACGTAACTAGAAATGAGTTATTGGAGGCTTCTTGTTCTGACTGTATCTATAGAAGTCGTGGAGATCCTCTTCTAGCCTATGTCTGGTTACGACAATAATGAACAGAATTGCCTCTATCAAAATAAATACTACATTGAGCTGTATGAATGATTTCTATTTGCTTTCATGTAGAACATCAATGAATTATCAAGATTGCGAACAGTATCACGTAAGAATTGATTTGCATTTCGCTTAAAATTCATCAACATAGTTTTTCTTTTAGCTATTTAATAATGATGTTCTTCTGTTTGAAAATGCAACTTCAGCAAGAACAAGCCTAAATACAGTATCAAACTATGCTAAAAATATACTTGCTCAATTATCTTTAATGCGTGATAAAGTTGAATTATGTGATTTTCGCATTGATATTAATAATAAACATTTTTTATGCCATAAATTTTTACTGATAGCAACATCCGATTATTTCAAAGTTATGTTCAATGGTTCGTATCGATTTATTTTTTTATTTTGGAAATCATTTTTTTTGTTTTGATAAATTTTATAATAGGCCATATGAATGAAAGCCAATCGGATCATGTCGAATTAAAAGGTTTTGAAAGTTCATCAATTGGTGTTGAATCCATGATTGAGTTTTGTTATTCGGGTTCATTACAAATAACATTCGATAATATCGATCAATTATTACATGCAGCTACGCATCTGCAAATAAAACATGCGATTGATTTATGTTCACAGTTTCTTATCGAATCCTGTTCAATAAACAATTGTATTGATATATATAAAATAGCTGATTTCTATTCGCTATCGAATGTCTTAGATAAAGTACATTTGTTTATATCGAAAAATTTTCTATCCCTAATGTTTCAAGCGCGTGAACAATTTGAACAATTGACATACGAACAAATCTATCAAGAATTATCATGTGATACACTGGAAATGAATACCTGCAATGAATATGATTTATTTACAATGGCATGTGCATGGATTGAAGCCGATCTTACTGAACGAAAAAAATATACTGTGGAACTATTTAAACAGATCCGTTTTATGTTAATGACACCGGAAGAATTATGTGATCATGTACGTAAACATGAACTCATTAATCTTAATGAACAATCAAGAAAATTAGTTGAAGATGCTCTATGTTATCACGCTTCACCTAATCGCCAACCATTATTCAATTATATACAATGTCAGATAAGAAGTCAACCAATATTAGTTGCCATTGGAGAAATAGAATTATTTGCATTGAATACAATATTAGACAGATGGGAAACAATATGTCAAGCACCATTAGAAGAAAATTATCCGGTATGTTTTAATCATTCAACTATAGATTTGAGTATATCGTAGTGAACATATTATGAGCAAAAAGTAATTTATTTTACAGTTTTAAGTTTTTTTTAATGATCATATTAAATCGAGTTATTATAATGAGGCACTTTACATATGTCTCATGAATTTATCGTTGCCTTGCTTTTCTATTCTTGCTTGATGTTGAGTTGGCAGCTGCAAAGGATTGTCCATTTCTCATTTTATTACATGTAAATCGTTTTCAAATTGACTATTATAGTGCGTTTTTACTTAATGAATAGTTAGAATTTCTCTTCCCGATTATGTAAGACTTTTATTGAACTCGAGATGTATGAATGAGTCATCGGAAAAATATTATTGTTCGATTTCGAGATTATCAATTCAAGATTTTATTGTTTAGATATTATTATTATTATTATTCATGTTTTATTAATTGATAATATTAGAAATAATATCCCGTAATTATGAACATGTGAAAAATTTCACATATGAATGAGAATACAAAAGAATCTATTGATGTTAAGCATTTACTGATCATTCGTTGACACGAAGTATTCATGTCAAAATTTATTCAGCAAATCATTTTTCTTGTATTCTTGTGAGTATTATTCTTAAAAGAATTCTATGAAACACTCTTGTTTTTTTCTATATCCCATAGTTCATTAGTCATGATCAGAAATACAATGGCACTCTAGTGTTGACTTGCAGAGAATAGAAATATCATAGAAAGTCTTTTTTTCGCAATCGTACTAGTAGAAAGCTTGCATTTATTCAAGCAATAAAATTATTTTAATTTATCTGTTCTAGTATCCGTTTAGTGCAATAACAGTTAATAATTATTTATATGTGTTGGGTACACGTCGATCATCATCTGAAGAATATAAATCATGTTATCGTTTTTCACCACGTACATGTGAATGGACTAAATTACAGAATCTGTTACATGATCGATCACGTTTTGCAGCTGTTCACATTGATAAATACATTTACATGTATGTAAAAGAATCGAATAAAATATTTGTTTTATTATTAAGAAAATTTTATCTAGTATGGGCGGATTTGAAGGATTTAAACGGACAACACGTATCTATGTAAATACAATCGAACGTTATTCGATTGAAAATGATCAATGGGAATTATTTTCGACAGAGGGTCCACAACTTTCGTCGCTTGCTGCATGTACATATAATAATTTGATTTATTTGGGTGGTGGAAAAAATGGACAATGGTAGATCATATTTTTATATGAAATATAAACTTAATTCTTTAATCTGTCAATGAGAAATATTTTTGTCCTAAAGTAAACAGATGATCTTGGCAAGTCCTTATGACAGAAAACTATCTTCGTATAACACACTGTTCCTATTTTTATATCATCCGTAAATTATAGAAATCTCTTTCGTTGAGAATATTTTTAGAACAGTTTTTAAGCATTATTTTCTATATAAATAGAGTAACTTGAAGTCTTAAACGAAACGAGATACCTTTTTTCTGTACGAAACCTTATGTTACTTTTCTAGGTCGAAAATTGCTGATTTTTATTGTTTTTCAATCGATAAACGTCAATTAGAACGGCGTGCATCCATGCTTAATGCACGTACAACTCATGCGTTTCATTTATTTGATGAAAAAATCCTTGGTAAATCAATTGTATTATTGTTAGGATGAGAGACGAACCTTTTTCTTTCTTTTTCTTTAGCTATTGGAGGTTTCGATGATGATGGTAATGGTATGCTATCAGTCGAAAGCTATGACATTCACTGTGATCAATGGACGATATTAACATCAATACCAGGTGCTATTTCAAAGACATGGCCACAATCACTGGGTACTGTTCATCGACAGATTTATATATCAGTTTTTCATACGTCAAATTCATTCATCGTCATGCAGGAAGGATACTTTTTTGATTTGGATACCCAACAATGGATAAAAGCGCCTGTTGTACACGAGCGTGCTCGCTATTGTCCAACAGTTCAACTTCGATTTCCCAAGAAAATTAAATCTATGCAAACCCCCAGTATTTCATCATCAGTATCATCGACGCCTAATAACATGTTGCTCTTGCATACTTGATTATAATTATTTTTATTTGGTTTCATTGGAATATTATAGACTATTAATTGTTTATGTGGTTTTTATGAATATAAAATAAAATCATGATGGAAAAAAACTGCTTTGTTTTTTTTTTTTAGATAAAATAAAAGAAAAATTCTTTTGAATGTATCAAAAAATGATCAATGACGTCTTTAATTTTAACCTATAATCGTCCGGGTATTTTTTTAATTTCTTAATACTTCTATCAAATGGTTATTAATCAAATAATGTAAACAATTGAAATCTTTTTTTTTCAACTAAATTAATTGACATCATTCATATGTTCGTTGTTGTTTTTCAATTTTCTTTAGATAATGGATAATCATACGTCTTCATCATCTCCAACATCATGTTTTCTTTTTGAAAATGCAAATGGTTCTATTTATCCGAGTGACTTGGCTTTAACCATGATTGAAGACCCATCGTCTCCCTCATCATTAAATTCCTCAACAAATACAAATGGAAGCTTATCTCCATCTTCATCCCATCAATCACTTGGCCTATCGTCGTCCAATCAGATGTCTTTTCCCTGTTGTGTATTCCGTTGTCGACCGAATTCGCATCCGTTCCAAGAACGTTGCATTCCACTGAATGAACAAGTTAAAGTTGGTCGAGCTGTTGCTCGTCTTAAAGCTCTTCCAAACAATGCAATCTTTGATTGTAAAGTTTTGTCACGTCAACATGCCAAACTTTGGTATGAAAATGGAAAGGTATGCTCAACAACTCGGTAGTTATTAAATTTAATATACTAATCGAGTGAGCACATGAATCGGTTGCGAAATATTATGTGCGATTTGAAAAAATTCTCATGAGATTTCGTCTACTGATGATAATAATAAACGATGAATCGGTGGTGCATACTACAAAAAAAATATATATTATGAAATACACTTTGAATCTCGTAGGATTTGACTTAGACAAGTAACAATCGATTCATGTTATGCACATTAAAAGCTCGAGATCACAAACAAGTTTTTGAATTAGACTATGAAATTGGTATTTTTGTTTTTCTCAGAAAAACTCATGTGTAAAATCAATTTGACATTATTTCTATTGCAAACAAATCATAATATGAACTCTATTCACGAGAACAAGCCGTGGCCATCTTTTAATTAGCTTTGACTTTGTATCGAGGGGAATCTTTTGAATTCGTCGTTTACTCATGGAGTGTATGAAAACATATTAGCTCTTTCAGCTCACAGCATAGATTTTCAGCTTGACTAGACATATGCTGCAATTCTAAAAGAGACAAAAGCACCACACTCTAATCAACCCCCAACACATTTGATTAAAAAAATGACATATAGATCTAACAATATTCATATGTACTTTATATTTGTTCATTGGCAACTTGAGAATTTTACTGATCTGCAAATGAATGAATATTTTAGCTGAAATATTCTTCTTTCTTTAGTTCTTATTACAAGATACAAAAAGTTCAAATGGTACATTTGTTAACAATCAAAGATTGGGAAAATGTAATGAAGAGAGTTTACCCTTTGAAATTTTTTCTGGTGATGTTGTTCAATTCGGTGTTGATGTAACTGAAAATAATCGTAAAAGTAAGATATTTATACTCTTTTGTTTTTAATTCCAATTCGATAAATCTATTTTGTTTTCTAGCAACTCATAATTGCATTATTATCGAAGTCAAACTCTATCATAGTGACGGTAATGAAGCGCTACCTCGAAGGTAACTATCTGAATTATTCAATATTCAATACAATCTTCGATTTTTTTCTCTAGCCCTATCGATAGATCAATGAGTCAAATAAAAGATGTTGATATCAACACTCAAACTCTATATCAATTAGCTCAATATATTCAAGTAAAATATAGCGATCATGTTTCTGTTTTTTAAAAGCTATTCATTGTATCAATTTTTTTTTTCTATAGGAAGCTATGCATCGTGAACAAATGCTTGAACAAAAGTTAGATTATCTACAAGGTGTTATACGTGATACACAACAAGCATCGAATGAAGGTTGGCAAGCAATCATAGATGAAGATCGTCTTCTAGCACGCATAAATGCACTTGAAGATCAAATACGAATTTATCATACTAAAGTAAGCACGAATATTATGGCGAATCTACATGATAATTATTTTATTCATTTTTAGCATCCAAATGAAGACGTGCCCATACAAGAAATAATCCAATTAAAACAAACACACTGTAAATTTGAAAATGAATCAAAAGTAAGACTGGCATTTTCTTCTATAGCTTTTTAATACATGCGTTGTAATTTGATAGGAAAAATTAGAAAAAGCGACACTTGAACGAGCAGATGCTATTAGTCGTAATAAATCTTTAGAATGTTCATTACAAATGTCACAAGATGAACTCAAACGATTTGAAGAATTAAATGAACAACATAAGCAAGAAATTGAACAACTTGTACAATCCCTTGATGAACAACGTTCTCTGCTTGCTGAATTCGAGCTTAAATTTAGAGTAAAAGCTTTTTCTAATTTTTGTTTAAATTTCTTTTTTTTTATCTGTTTCTTCTACTTTTTTTTATGCAGGATTCTCAATCCCGCTGTAATGAACTTGAAAATGAACGGCAAAGAATTCAAACTGAATTTGAAAATTATTATCAACGAATACATCATTTAGAAGAACTACAACAACAACAACAACAACAGCAACAACAACAGCAATCTCCAATAAGTAGTAATGGTGATCAAATCAATCAGGTATGTTTATTCTTGCTCACAAAATTTTAATATCATACGATTGAATATTTTGTCTTAGAATGGTGTAAATAATATTGAAACGCATGGTCGATTTCGTGTAGAATCTTCATTAGCAGGTATGAAAGAAATTTACGAAATCAAACTTAATTCAAAAGAGATCAATTCATCCTCAGAAATAAAAAGAACTACACTGTTTATCGCGTTGGGTACTAATTTGTGTGATGATTTCCTTTGAATAGTTAGAAGTTTCTCACTCGACAGAATGAAGTCGGTATATAACCTCAGCAAGTTTCATGGGCCGAAGGTCTATAACTTGAAGATAAAAATGAGAAGTCTTCTAAATGGTCGATTACTTGCAGGTCGAAACTCTCTTGCCTATGAAAACCCTGAAAAGGTATTTTCTCCTTCATTTTGTGGTCATTTTTAAATGAAAATCGTATATTTAATTGGTAAAACTAATTTGCGAATATCGATATCAAACTTTGGATAAAGGCAGTCGTTAAGATGAATCATCTTTTTTCTGTGTAAATTTCAGATCTTGTCTATTTCCATATTCTGAAATTGAAAAAAAAGCTTCGATAAAAGTTCAGCATGTCGAGAGCTATAAACTAAAAATCAGAGATAGTTTCAAAACATTAATAAATCATTTGGATGAAAATATTGTGAACTTCTTTTGAATGAAAATTCATCTATCAGTTGAAGTGCTTCATTTTCACTGTCGATATGCGATCAAAACCTTAGTACTATCTAGGTGTATTCGACCAATAAAATATTATTACTAGTAGCTCAGGTCTCGTGACATTTCTATGAAAATTCTAATTTGTTGCTCGCTGAAATTTATCAAGTCGAAGAAAAATTATTTCAATCTCCTAAGCATCATGATTCTGCCATCTATACTAATTTTATTCTCTCAATCCTAATTCTAAGAACCATTTCATAACTCTGAGGATACAGAGAACATGCATTTTCCCCATTCACACATAGATTTATTTAGATCGTACTGAAAACAAAAGAATTGATATTATTATTTTATTTTCTATTCGTAGACCCATTTGTAAACGATGAACATAGAAATAATATTCCAATCGAGATAATTAATGGTGAACCAGAACAAATGAATCCATCATTAAATTCACCTGAAGAATATCATGCTGAAGCACAACGTCAAACAATCATTCCACACCCTCAAATTCATATTAATTCACTATTAAATAATAATCATAAAGAACACAAAGAAGAAGAAGAAGAAGAAGAAGAAGGTTTGTATGAAAATGGAACAAAAAAAACGTTTCTTATTAACATTTTTGTCTTTGATAATAGTTCAATCAAAAGAACAAAGTTCTACTACTAATAATACTGAGCAACCTTTATCAATAACTTCTTCTGTAACGAATGATATATTTTCAGCAAACAATATGAATGCTGAAGGTAAAACCAGAATTTTTTGTTTGTGCTTAATAAAAATATTTGAAAAACGAAATTCTCTTCAGATAACTTAGAATTGCTTGAAGCCCAAAAACAAATTCATTTACTTCGTGAACATTTAAATGAAACGAATGGTAAGATCAAAAACAACGGAACGCCTATCAATAGAATTTTTACTATAATATTATCGTTTTAGAACGGCTTGTTTCTATGGAAGATGCACATCGAAATGAACAAGAACGATATGTTTCACTGTCATCTGAATACGAATCCATACATGATGAACTTGTTCAATTAAAACAAAGTTCAATAAAAGAAAAGAATGATAAGAACGAATTACTTGAAAAGCAACAAGTTGAACTTGAACAATTATCAAACTCTATTGTGTCTAAACAGAGTGAATACGATCAATTGCTTAGTGTGTATCTCTGTTTTTTTCTTTCTTGTTATTTGCTCATTTTTTTTCTTTTCTTTTGCCTTTTATCATGGTGAGATTTCTTTCTTTCTTTAGATACTAAATTTTCTTTTTACTATTTCTGTACTAAAGAAACACAAGAACCCTAAGAATAGACCAATGTGTGTGTGTGTGTGTATTGTACAAATAGAACTGCGCTTTATCACGTTTTTCTCTATCTCTTTCGCTCTCTATCTTCTGTTCGTTTCTTACAAATTATCTTCTTTCCTTTTTTTGTCACACAGATTTTTTTCATTTAAGTTGTCGAAGCACTGTTGGTGATGCCATTTTTGTAGCTGCTTGAAACCGATATGAAGAAAATTGAAATGCACGGTTTGTTGTCTTTCAAAGAAAATTCAGGAAGATTTATATTCAATGTACTATATTGTGTTGACAAAAAATAGAATAAGTAATATTAGATTTTGAAAGAAAAACAACAATTAAAATTTTACACATAAAAATGTACTTTGTGTTATGGTTGAATTAATTATTACAAGACAATCAACTATTAATATCTTCATTGTTGGTAATTCTATTGTGTGGATATTCTTTGATAACAAGCGCAATATTAGAAACGGGTTAAAATTGATGCTGACTATCATTATGTGCCAAGTTAATAAATTATTTCAGTTAGCAGTATACGAAGGAATATTTCTTCGAATCCTAAAATGATATGAGTTTCCAAAAATACTCAAAGAGATCGCTAAATATAAAATATGTTTTCTATATGCGCAAAGCTTCTGATTCGCATTAAAAAATATCGAATCTTATGGAAGTGGAAGGTCACTAGATAATTCATGCTTTTAAAAAAAATTTTGATGATGCAATTAAAATCTAAATATAGAGAACAAGTCATTAAAGCTAGAGTGTAACCACATGTAAAGAGATCATTCGTTAGTTAGTAGCTCGGAAAAGACCAGGTCGTTATTTATTATGCATGTATGATAATTGATTTAGATTATTTATATAGATGATGAATATTCAGCAAGACAGAACATTAGAAATCACCACCGAAACGAAATTAATAAGCATAGATTATGGAAAAGAATTCAACCGCCGAGTTCGAAATAACTAATTCAGTTATTTCATTATTATGCAAAGCTACAGAGAACATTGATCTTTCAAGATATAATTATTTTCATCAATAAAACTAGCATTCTATAGTATAATGTTTTTCCATTGGTTTAATTGTTAGCTTACAATAAGCGATAAATTTGCAACTGAAGTACTGTTATCACTCAAAAACTCACAGCTAACAAAACAATTTTCAAATTATTCAGTCATATATGTACACTGAATAAGGCATACAAAAAATTCTTAACCACGAATCAATTATCAATGATTGCATTTATTAGAAAATTCGATGATTTTTTATTATTTTTGTCGTTATTCTGTAATAATAATAAAATTAGAAAATTCTCTTTGAAGTCGATAGTCATGGAAAAGTAAGTATAAAAAAAATGCTTTTTATCAAATTTAAAATGGATTATTGTTATAAAACTCCCATAAATTATCCATTAGATCATTCATCGTAACAAGATCAATGTTCACATCTAATAAACGCATTATAACAATTCCGTCACATTGTAAATAATTTTCTGTAAATTTCCTTGTTGGAGCCTGATGACTAGAGATTTGTGTCATTTCATCATCGTGATTTTGTTCCAGTGTAGATTTCGATGGTATGGTGCAATGTACTCGTCGACGAGGTGCAGTAATTTCAGCTCGACGAAATAATAAATAGATAATCCATTGTACAATTAAATTATATGTTGTACATATAAATAAAACTATTAACCATAAATAGGCAAAAATAAAAATTTTTTCGTTGAATATATTTATCGGTAGAACACATTGAACTGTATGTCGATGCTTATTTTTGCCAAGAAATCGTACAATAAAGTCACATAGAACATTAGTCGGAAATTGTAATGATGCATGACGTACTGTGTTACTATAGATAAGAAAACGTTCAACTGTATTCTTGATATCAAAATTAAAATTCATAAAATAATGTAAGCCTATTAATTGTATAACAATATTTATTACATAAGTTGTTTTAATAAATAAATAAAATATTGTTAACTTAGGTACGATTTTTCTTGGTCGCATACGAAAATAGTGATCAAGACGAGCAGCAACATTTCGTATTAATTTCTGACGGTACAATGGTGATTCTGAGAGTGAATTACGACTTGTATTGAGTTGATCTAAACATTTTTGTAATGCTACACCAAAATGTGATGAACCACTTCGCCAGAAGAAGCCTGGCAGGAAAAAGCCAAAGGTCTGTAACATTAATATGAATGGAACATATTGGTAGAAACGTATGATATGAGTGCCTTCTCGTTCTTCAGAATCATTGACTTCGGGAATATCTTTATCCATGGAAATGAAATATGTATTCGATATCCAACAGACAAAATCTGTATAAGTTATATGAGCATCAGTAAATGATGCTGGAGTAAAACATGATATTGGCTTTCCAACAAATTGAATCGAAGATACAATGAGAACAAATATTGAAAATAAAAGCACAGAATAAAGACGTGATAGACGATCAATAAAATCATCGTCGCATCGACCAAATCCAGTATAATACCAAAGAATTGTATAAACATCAAGTCTAATTTTTAAAAGAAAACAGTACAGTCTATTTAGAAATTTTTTTATGATCTATCTGGTTTATTATTCACTATAAACCTTGATGCGATAGACAGAAGCCTGGAGTAATTGATTTCTATAGCATACAAATGATTTACGTTAATAGAGCAGACGTGAAATAAAATATTTCATATTCAAAGCACGAATCGTTTTGAATTTTTTATTACGACACAGAATTACTAATGCCAGTATACTTTAAAGATTTTTGTTCTGATTCGAAAGCTTTACTATTATATCATTATTTTATACAATAGAATGCAAATGAAGTATGATTTTACTTCATTGATAAAAAATTAAATTAGTTATTCCTTAAGTGAATTTCTCCACAATGACTTTTTATCATTGATAGATAATTGTAGAAAATCAACGTTGATTTGATTCGTATATTTAAATAATTCGGTTGATTCGAAGAAAGACAAGTAAAAAGTCTATATGGAAAGGATGTTTTATTTTTGTGTCTTTCGAAGCAAAAGTTTATTTTTCTCAAATACTATTCATTAATGCGTCGTAGAGACTAATAAGATTATTGTCATAAATCAGAAGAAACATATTAATTCAATTAGTAGTAATTCAATTTGAAAAGAATTCGACTGCTAATTTACTTTCCGATTGTTTTATAAAACAGATAGCAAGATGAAAACTCACACTATCGAAATAGTTCCTGAATCGTTTAAATACATGTTGTTCTTCTCACTGAATTTTAGTAACACAAGAGGGTATTTCTCTAGTTTCATAAATATTCGATTGAAGTCAAATTTTTATTTCTATCCATCTACATAAAAATAATTTTACCTGTGATAGGGCCGTTGGAGATATGATGACATTTTGAATAATGGACTGAATATGTATGCTTCTTGTAGGTTAGTTGCACGCTCAATTATTCAAGACACATTCTACACTCTTTTATCTAGTTTTGAAGTACTCCGGAGACTTTACTGATGTTTGTCTCTTTCTTTTTTTTTCTCCTTTTCTATCCAGCTCATTTTCTTGTTCTATGTGCACTCCATTGCATGAGGCGCACATTCAAATCAAAGTTTTTATACATCCATTCACTAGAGAACAATTAAATGAACTAGCTTCTTTCTTGTTCTCTCTCTCTGTCTCTCTGTCTCTGTATTCCACTTCGCTTTCTCTCTTTATCATGATGAATTGTTCTATCATCATAGAAGTCTTTGTTTTGTTCATTCTAGTGCTGTTCAAGTAATGGCGTAAGAAGTAGACTTGTCATCTTGTCGTTTTCTCGAACACGTGAATTGACTTGAGCAGCATGTGTGTGTGTCTGACACACACGCATCAAAATAGAAAATGATGATGTGTAAATTACAATGCTTGAGTTCCAATACATTTGCATCTAAATACATATTACTGGGGAGTTTCCTTTTTTTTATTTGTAAAAATATGATTTAGAAGAAAAAAAATTGTATTAAAAATTTATCATACGGTTACTACTTCAGTTTTTCTTTTTTTCCATGGAAGTAGTTATCTGAATTATTAAACAAGAATTTTCCGTTGATGGCGTGCTATAAAATAATTTGATGCACTTTTTTCAGTTTCAATTTATGAAGCATAATGGGCAACGTATTTCTGAGTAGTCATGCTAAATAAATGAAGTATCTGTCTTTTCTTTTTCTAATTTTAGAATAATTAATAATGCGAAAAGGCAAAAATCTTGAACACTTTTACGCTCATTACACTTCACTTATTTAGAACAACACTTTTTAAGGAAATGAAGTGATTATATGTGTCATAGAAAAAATTATTTTTTCAACCTAATGTATCATTGATAATACTTTCATTAATAGTAACCAAAAAGAAAAATTTTCTAATAAAAAAGAAACATTCTTGTTACACAAGAAAAAGAACCGTGTATAAATACACTTGAGGATAGGTGGGCAATGACATTAACATGTATATATTTTTTAATTTTCTGCTTTCATTCTTTTCTCAACACGCTATCGATTCAATTGTCACATATGCCATCAGATAAAATCTGGAACAAGAGCACATAAAACTAACGCAAAATCTAAATAATTTAGCAATCTTTTTCTTTTTGTTTTGTTAAATGCAAAGATACTTTCACATTAAAAATACAGTCACGTATTAACCTTCATCTCTTTTTCTTCGTCGTGTATCTTTATCATGTCTGACGCAAATGATTTGAAAAGAAGAAAAAATATTCATACTCGACAATAATCATGGCATCGTTGTTTAAAAATGCTCTTGAACAAGTTGGCCAATCGCAAAAAATTGATGATGATATTATCGATAGATTTAATCATCGATTTACTGTTATTATTCTTGTTACATTTACTGCATTCGTTAGTGCTAAACAATTTATTGGGTAGATTGAGAAAAATTTCAGCGCAGAACCAATTATCATTTTATTTACTCTCTATAGGGATCCGATTTCATGTTGGGCTCCATCACATTTCTCAGCATCTCAGATAGCTTATACCAATAGTATATGTTGGCTCAAAGGTACATATTATCTTGATGTTTATAGCCATTTAATTCCACATCGTACACAAAATTCTGAATTTCGTATTGCTTATTATCAATATATTCCCTATATATTACTTATAATGGCATTGTTTTTCTATTTACCTCATATAGTTTGGTGAGATTCTTTTGATTATTATTTGTAATGAGACATGTTTTGACTAATGATGACGATTATTTTCTAGGCGCAACATAAGCCGACGTATTGGTTTTGATCTTCGTTCAATAATTCAAAATGTAAAACAAGTTTTAAATACAAATATGAATCAAGTAACATTGCAAATTCATATAGCTCTTGTATACAATTCATCCAAATATGTTGTCGGTGATAATAAAACTCGTCGTCGTTTATTTGACATATTGCAATCTACGCGTGGTCACCGTAAGATAAAATAATTAGCGACTTAAAATTAAAATAAAAGATTTCGTTTTGATCATTTCAGGTTGCCATTTAACTTTATTATATATATTTGTTAAGACCTTATATATGGTCAATTGTTTATTTCAATTTTATTTCTTAAGTGCTATTCTATCATTTCCTTTTCATACATTTGGTATCGAATGGTTATCGACAATATTCAGAAAAGTTCATAGCAGAGTGAATACAGAACCGAATGAATCAAAATGGTTTCCTCGTGTTGTTATGTGTGATTTTATGGTACGACATCTGGGTTCTAATCAACATTGGATGTAAATTGCTATTTAAAAAAAAAAATTTTTTCTTATCTTTCACATTAAACTTCTAGGGCTATTCAATGTAATTTGCCAATAAATTTATTTAACGAAATTATATTTTTAATTCTTTGGGCATGGTATATACTTCTTAGTAGTCTTACATGTGTATCCCTTATTTTCTGTCTTTGCTTAATGTATTCTAATATTGGTTGTACATTTATTCATAAATATCTTCATATGAATTCACCGAAATCAAGCAAAGAACAATGCGATAACTTCATTGGAAATTATTTAAAATGGGATGGCATACTTGTACTTCGGCTTATTGCTCACAACACAAATGATATCATAATGGCGAATCTTGTTGGTGCTCTTTTTAAGATGTATTTAGATTCGAATGAAAAACAAAATGATCAAGTGCGATTGAATGAACACTATGAACGTGTTGACGTTTCATCAGATTAGCACGTAGAGACATTCTTCTTTTTTAATTTTTTGTAGCAAAAATAAAGACAATTATTGAATTTGTATTTTTTTCTTGATTGATACGAGTTAAATAAATAATAATTGTAAAAAAAAAATTTTCTTCTTCTATGGATTCGATTCTCATGTAGTGAAGCACAACAATTCATGAAGAACATCAAGGTATTAGAAAATTAATAAATTATGAATAGTAACAATGATGTTAGTTATTATTCTGTTTTACTGTAGCCTTTCAGTTGAAGGCCAAGATCATCGTCTAAATTATTTCATTTTGATTGAATGAATGATAATGTAGTAGTAAAATGACGAAATAAATCTTTGATGTAGAAGAAAGTTTTGCTATCCGTAGTTTCAAGCTTAAAACAAAATAAAAAATTTCTTGATGGGTTTCTTCGCTATTGCCAATGACTTCATGTGGCTGCGCTAATTGAGATTAAAAATAATAATAACAATAAACATATGGTGCCTATTAACATATCCGCAAAAAGTCGCTGTACATATTTTTCTTATATTAGCGCCTTTTTTCCTACGTCGTCACACTTAAGGCTTTATTAAAAAACGAAACTGGACTATGTTTATATAAGAGAGTTCGAGCTCATGTGTCAATAGTAGCTAAAAATAAGAACATACGGCCGCCTAAAAAATCACCCAATTTTCTGTTTGTGTATTTTACTTTTCGATCACTACTGGCGACACTGAAGTGGAAACGAAAGAAACGCAAAAAAAGAAATGCATATGCTTACTAAGAGAGAAACTCACAATAATCCACAAGAAAAAGAACAGTACTTGTGCTTACTTGTACACCTTGTTAACCACATATTGAGCGAAGTTTACAGTAAAATAATTTTACTATCATGGAGAAAATCTTGATAGCTGAAGACCGTTATGGACTAAAGTCAAGTCATCTTGAGGATGATGACATAATTGATCGTTTAAATAATAGAGTAACAGTTTTGGGATTGATTATGTGTGTTTTTATTATCGGAGGTGGTGTTTTAGTCGGTAAACCAATCAATTGTTGGACACCAGGCAGGTTTATTTCAAATCAGATACTATAGCGTTACTCACATTCTTCTGTTTTCTTTTAATACTTTCATTTAGCTGAATTCAAAGGACAACATGATGGCTATGCAAATAGTATTTGTTGGTTGAAAGGATCTTATTATCTTCCAACAGATGAAAGTACGTTGAATCAATGTAGATTTTATCATTGAAAAAGTATGTCTCAGAACGATGAACAATTTGATTAACTCGTAAAAACGACTAAATGAAAGGTTTTAATTAAAGTAAAAATCAAAAAGGGCGAAAGAATTGCATCGAACCGACAAAGCAATCGAGAAACTAAATCATTTTCATATGAACATACCTTTATACGATAACATTTCACTTTTCAATCTATTTTAGTTACGATACCAGATCGGTCAAAGCCTCGATCGTACTTTGTGTAAGTAGAAAATTATTAAAAAACGTTTTTCTGATAGGAATATCAAAGTAAATTTTTAGTTCTTACTATCAATGGACAGCATTTATTCTACTGGGTATGGCGATGTTCTTTCTACTGCCTCGATATTTATGGCAAGCATTTACACGACAAAGTGGTTTCAACATTAAAAAAGTTATAAAAAATATTAAAGAGCAAAAAGAAGCGAATAAAGGCGTGGAATCAGCACAAAAATTGTTGAAAACATATCTTGATGCACTAAATGAGTCCAATGGATCCATATGTTGTGGGGTTTCCTGTCCTAATTTTCACGTGGGCTATATAACAGCTTATCTTGCAATAAAAGTTCTTTATATTATCAACAGTATTACACAATTTTTCTTGTTGAATACATTTCTAGCATTCAATTTTACTAGTTTTGGCCCTGAAGGAATAAATAAATTGCTAACTGAAGGCGATTGGTTCGAATCTCCACGATTTCCTCGTGTTACTATGTGTGATTTTATGGTGAGACGTTTAGGTTCAAATCAACATTGGTATTCTGTACAATGTAATTTACCAATCAATATGTTTAATGAAAAGATATTTCTTGCCATCTGGCTATGGTTAATAATTTTAACCATATTAAATTTTTTATCAATCTTTCCCTGGATAGTATTTCTATCAAAACAACAACGATCATCAATGATACACCGTTATTTACAAACAAATTCAAAATTCATGGAAGAGACAAAAGATTTATTATCACTGCAGAGCGCGTCAACATATCGCACAACTGATTCATGGTATAAAACAAATCAGTTTATAGATTATTTACAAGTAGACGGTTTTCTAATATTTTACATTATTGCAATTAATACAGATGATGTTACAGCTTCCGAAATTATCGGTTTTTTATACGGTAGTTTTACACCATCACCGAGTCGATTCACCACCAGCGAAGTTTGAAAATTTGTGTTTGTTTAGTAGATTTAGTTTTTGTTTCAGCATATTTTTTGTATTTAATTCTTAGAATTTATAGTGAAGTCAAAGGCTGAACTTTTTTCTGAGAATGTCACGAATAATGAAGAATAAACTGAAAAAAGAAATACTTAGAGCAACATCTTCCAATACGAACTGAAAGCTTTCTCAACTTGAAATTCTCAGTTGACTGCAAATGAATAATATTTATCTAACTATATGTTTCGTTACTGTTTACTATTCTAAGTTAAAATTTTAACGGACGGAAATAAAAGAAAGCAAAACAATGTCAAAAGCTCAGATATAACAGACAGACAATATTATCATTCGCTGCTGGTAACCTTGAATGATAAATTAATTTGTACCATTCTAAGTTTAACTTACGACATTCATCTATCATATCGACAAGATTTAAACCTATAGAGTACTTCATCAATATTTCGATCAGAATCAAATATATTCTTAACTTTTCTCATCTAAATACAATTTGAAAAGAATGAATAAACATTGATATGTTAATTTATATATTTCACTTACATGCTTTAATATTATTAACATAAAAAAATATGACAAAATTCTATATGATTATTGAATATTTAAAATATTCAATATTATCGTTCTTATTCTATTTCTTTTTGCATATTAGATTATTACAATATCAATACGATGAAAGTCATATTTGATTAAATTTCGTTGTAGATATTCTCGTATATATATATATATATATTAAAAAAAGTTTTATATAAGATTTTTCAAAAAGAAAACGAAATGATTTTTGATTCAGAAATTCTTTGCGAAAAATATAATGGTGACTAGAACTACTGTTTGCTTTATATCATTTTTGGCCTTCCTTATTCAAACGTTATATATTGACTGAGTTTCATCTAATTTGGCATAACTCTGTATTATTACAAGTAATAAAGTAAACGATTTATCATGGTTTCTGTAGATATTAGTTTTTTTAAAGATACGTTTTCAATAATAAGACTTCTTGTCTTTAGATATTATCCCGCTTGAAAGAAATTTTCTGTCTTACAAATTTTGCAAGTCCACGTCAATATAAACCAGGAGTATAGTTTACTAAAAAACAGTCTCTCGGCAAAAATTTTCTTTCGAAATCCTTGAAAACCGTAGAATATCATGTCGAGAATGCTGAAAAGTATATTTGAAGAATAACGATATACGTACATAATCCCATTGAAAATATGTTTTAAGAATACACCTGAATGCACTCGTAAAATCAAGAACAAATCTATTTCAAGAAAAACGACTTCGAAATTGACTGTACATCATTATGCATCATGGACTCTGTCTTTCTGCTGAATGTCAATATATGTTTCATTATTTTTAGAAGACTTGCATTTAGTTTGATTGCTCATTTTTATGGATTCGAACGGCAATGACAAGGATCATGAATAAATAAGGTGTAGTTTTCGATCAGAACGAATTGAATTGGTTTTAGATAGATTATTTATATTGAAAAATGTATGAAAACTTTGGTACAGAAGATGCGAAAGAGAAAAAACTGAAAAAAGAAATAGAAGCACGTGAAAAGACACACCACTCATTCGCATTACTACTTTCAAATCCAATAGTTTTCTTTTTTATTCGATCGTTACTGATTTCACACTGCCAAACAAACCTCACACTTCATTTAGCACTATGTTGCTACTGTGCGCACATATATAAGAACAGCAAAAAAAAGAAGGATGTGAGAAAGTGTATGTGTCATGCATTGGCAGCCGAAAAAGAAACCGAACAGTAGACAAAATTAACCACATAAAATTGAAAGTTTGTGTACTTTGTTCTTCACTTGCTCATGGACAAACGAAAGCATAAGAATGTGGCTAAAAGAGAGAGAGAGAGAGAGAGGGCTGAGAGAGAAGTAAGCACAAGAAATGTTAAAATAAAGAACATCATAACGATCAAAAAGAAATGAAATACTAAAAACTACTTCTACGCAGGTACATCCAACCAAGCTCAGCTAGTGAATATTATTGTTGATTGACTATCATACTTATGATGGAGAAGATTATGATAGCCGAGGATCGTTACGGTCCAAAGCGTAATCGTTTTGAAGATGATGATCTTATCGATCGTCTTAATAGTCGATATACAGTTATGGCATTAACTATGTGTATTTTTATAATTACAGGAAAAGCTTATGTAGGAGACCCAATCAATTGTTGGACACCAGGTACGCTATAAAAAGCAAAAACTTTATTCGACAGTATAGTATGTATTTCTTTTTTACTGTAGCTCAGTTCTCTGGTACACATAATGCTTATACAAACAGTATTTGCTGGTTAAAGGGATCCTATTATTTACCAACTGATGAAAGTAAGTTATATTTAACAAATTGTATACATGGTTGACTAGAGATCATCGATGCAATTGCAAAAACGATAGAATATTATTATTTATCTAGGATAATAGAACCTCAGAAAAAATGCAATTAATACGCATAATCATAAAAAGTTCATTTCAGCCTAAGCCAAACAAATAATCTGATATACATATACGTATATACTGGTACCTATTTTGATAATTCATGAAGTTATGAAGTGTTTCGCCATTTTCAATTATATACAAAAAAATCAATCGGACGCATTAATTAGATACTTGAAAATTGTAATGCTTATGAGAAAGCTATACAAACTCTTATCATAGCAAGAGAGAAAGACAACAAGAGAAACCAAATGAATTTATAATTCAGTAGTGTTTTTTCAATATTTTCTTAATCTTTATTTTAGTTACGATTCCGGATCGAACTAAACCAAGACTATATCATGTGTAAGTTGTTGCCGTTGTGTTAGAATAATATATTAAAGTACCTACGAATTATTTCTAGTTCATATTATCAATGGACGCCATTTATTCTACTTGGAATGTGTCTATTATTTCTTTTACCTCAAGTCCTATGGCAGGCGTTCGCCAGACAAGGTGGAGTCAATATTAAACGACTTGTCAAAACTATTAAAGATCAAGTAGAAACAAACAAAGGCGTAGAGCAAGCACAAAAAACAATCAAATTATATCTTGATACTCAAAGAATAAGAGGTGGATCGATATGTTGTGGAATACGTTGCCGAAGTTTTTATACTACTTATACATTAACGTATTTTATTATTAAACTACTTTATATTCTCAATGCACTTTGCCAATTCTTTTTACTCAATACATTTTTATCGTTTCATTTTACTAGTTATGGTCCTGAAGCGCTCAATAAATTATTTAGCGGCGAAGATTTTTTTGAATCGCCAAGATTTCCTCGTGTTACTATGTGTGATTTCATGATCAGACATCTAGGTTCAAATCAGCACTGGTACGCAATTCAATGCAATTTACCAATAAATATATATAATGACAAGATATTTCTTGGTATTTGGGTATGGCTAATAGTTTTAGCAATATTAAACTTGTTATCTATCATTCCTTGGATATTGTTTTTGAGACAAAGACAACGATCGACAACCATTAGGAACTATTTGAGAATAAGCAAACAATCAACAGCAGAAGAGAAAGAAACTTTATTATCATCGACAAAAGAATCATTCTTGCATCGAGGAGATAAAACTGAAGAATTTATAAATTATTTGCGCATTGATGGCTTTCTAATACTTCATATAATTGCACGTAATACAGATGACATTGTAGCTGGACAAATAGTTGACCATTTATATAAAAATTTCGAATCAGAAAGACGAATTGCGAGAAGTGATGTTTGAGAATGTCCGTGTGTTGAACAATATTTTTTTCTCCTTCTTTTTTCAATTAGTTTGTACCTTATAAGTAGAATATATAGAAAAAATAACAGTAAAATATTTCTAATGTTTTATTTTCAATAAAATACGTCGCTACATGATCTGAACAAACGCATCAATTCTTCAAAAACAAAAAAGAAGCAATGAGAGTATTCATTCGGTTTAAAATGCACGTGATTGTAATGATAATCTTTATTGTTATTCGGTTTATGTTCATAGAAATCTTAGCCAATCAATTGAGTTACAATTCAAAATATTAATAACAAGATTTTAATATTCAGACTATAAAATTTAGTAACCTTTCATATTTTAGTTTTAAACAAATTTTTATAGGCCTACACTAGACATTTCACGAGACACAATATCCAGAATCAGTTAAACAAGAATTGTAAAGTCAAGTTTGGTTTATATCGGGAGTTTTGGTTTATGATTAAATTGGATTCAATACTTAAAACGAATATACAGTAGATTACGATATGTAATAATGTTTACACATGTTCTAGACAAAAATAGAGTTCGGCTAAGAATAAATCTATAAGATCACATGCTCTACTAAAAATATAGTGTAATCGAAAAGGAAAGAGACAACTGTAGCTGTAGTGATCGCGGACATAGTTAGTGTAAATATAGATGCACGCCTCATAATCTAATAAATAAATGCCTCAATCGGGCTCAATAACAAGCCACTGAGAACAAGTGTCCTAGATAACGATGCTCGCGTTTGAATAAAAAAGTGTCATTCATCTGGACGAATATGGGCGAATAGATTAAATTCAGATTTTTCAATTGTATGAATTTGTTTCTAGTCGAATTCTTCAGCTGTACCCAGCAAAAGGGAAAAAAATAAATGGTCCAAATAATTGATTGTAAACCTTCACACTTTGTTTATGTTTAAAAAAAAGATAAGTTTAATATACCGTTAAACACCTTTAGTTCATTTACCAATTACGAACAATATTACCTCGATTTGATAGAATATTCAATAGGCCATTCGGTAACGTTAAGTGTTGTATTCATTTGATGTGCGTGACTTTCGTCTGTTCAAAAACGTATTTCAAAGGATAAGACATCGTCTCTCCTCATTCTTACATTTTAAGCTAAGATCCATCATTGTTAGAAGTGCACAAGTAATCACATAAGTCATCAAACATTTCTAAAAATAAGCGAGATGCCAAAGACAAGAAAATCCATTCATTTATTAAATGTCAATCCTCAAGTTATCTTTTCATTCACTTATCTTAATTTCGACAATTTCGACGGAAATAGCCATTATTTTAAAGGAAGCACGGATTTAATATGTAATTCTTAAGACACATTATGATGTAGAAATTCTTGTTTATGTACAGACAGTTACAGATATTCTTTTGCCGATGAAAACAAAATGTGATAACGTTCTATAGTGTTTGTAGAAACCAGCATTTTACTCCGATAGAAGCGAAATAATGAATCCCTTAAGTTTTATTATCGTATATTCTAATTAGCCATTTGTTTCTTTATTAGATACAATTCATGGCGAGCGAGAAAGTCATGCAAAAACAGCATCTACAATTTCTTTTATATCTGTCTATCTCATTCAACATTCTTTTAAATCTAATCAACTCTTTTATTCTGTTCTGTTAATTGAAGATATGCCGAGCAACCAATATCAGATAACTAGTAATAAGTCAGTTAATTATAGTGCGCATTGCAAAGGAAACTTTATGATTATCATTCATTCTCTTCGTGAACACCCTCAGGTGTTAATTCTGCCGAAAGCGTATTCGTCTCTAATTACGCGACATATTTCAATATGAAAAAACAAGAAAGAAAATTTATTTAATGGAAAATCATTTGAAATTTATCCAAAAAAAAGAAACCGGATAATGCAAAAAAAATAATAATAACATATCTTCGTCAACATACAATAAATGTGTAACATTGAGTACAATACATGTCAATTAAAACAAGAAAAAGTAAAAGAAAAGACAGCCAGTTTCCATCAATATACATTGTTCTACACTCAAGGAAACAAAAATTGAGCTTGCATTATATTTATTTTTAACTGTCAGATATAGTATTTTTAGGTTCATATTCAGTTGAAATATCTTGTTTGGCAAGTAAAGCCTCTTTAGCATCTTCGTCTTGTGGCTTCGAAATTTCAGTGTTATCCTGAAAAAGTTCAACTGTATGTTGAGCTTGTTGCGATGGAGATAATAATGTTTTCTTTTCATAACACGCTGAATCATGCAATGGTTCATCACTTGCATGTACAAGACTCGACATATATTTCGTAGCATTCATATGACGTGTATTAACATCACCGGGAGCTACATTTGTGCTTGGTATACAATGTGATTGAATAGACATTATTGAGCCATTCTTTTTTGCACGATCAATAGCTTCTTTACGCTTCATGGCTTTCTCGCGGCGTAGTTGTTCTTTATAATATTCAGCAAAATTATTAACAATAATCGGAATCGGTAGAGCAATAACAAGTACACCACAAACACAACAAACTGAGCCAATTAATTTACCCCACATAGATTTTGGGTATATATCACCATAGCCGACTGTTGTCATTGTCTTTAATTATTTTTAAATAAAGAAAAGAAAACAAAAAAATTATTTATTTATTTATCTATTCAACTTGAGAAATAGATTTCCACTTACAATACTTGCCCACCAAAATGCATGTGGAATTGAACGAAATTGTATTGCATTTCCATCTTTTTCAGCAAAATACGCTAAACTTGAAAATAATAAAATAAATATAGCAAGAAACATGAGTAACATGGATAATTCTTTATAACTTCGTCGTAACGTATAACCTAACGATTGAAGACCAGTCGAATGACGTGCTAGTTTTAGTATACGCATGATACGTAAAACACGAAATACTTGCACAGCTTTTCGAACGGATTTTAAATTTTTTAAATTTCCTGTATCTAATGTTTCAAGAATAATCGATATGTAAAATGGAACAATAGCAATGAGATCAATCGTATTTAAAACACCTTTGAAGAATTTACATTTATTTGGTGTTGCAAATACACGTATAATATATTCCATTGTAAACCATGATATACATAATGCTTCAATAATAAATAATGTTAAGGGTTCGCGACATTCTTGATCTGATTCATGATGTTCAATAACTAATTGTCGAGCAGCTGATTGCGCAGCTATATGTACTGCATCAGCATCAGCTGCTGCTGCACGATCAATCGATGCGTCAATATCTGTAAAATTTGGTGCACAACCAATACCTAAAAGTAATTTTTTGGTTTTTCCTTGTTCGTTCAAAACTCATGTTTAAGGTATACCTTCAATCGTACTAATTGTTAATGTAAATGAAGAAAGAAGAATAAAAGCAATACTAACACAGGCAATAACCTAAATTGAGTTTTTTTTTTTTAATATATATGTTCGTTTTTTTTCTGCCTGATTGCAAAACAAACTTACTCGTGCTGCTTTAGATGTATGTGGATGTTCAACAAGATCCCATATTTTTCGTCTAGCTTGTGGGCAGCAATGCTCACCGAATGATTCGCCTTTTTCTACTTTTAATAATTCAACTTCTTTTTTCATTTCTTCTAGAACGTGTTCTTTTTTTTGATGATATTTATTTTGACAACATAATTCTAAATAATATTCATCAATACCCCAGTAAACTAAATCATCATGAAATGATATGACACATATGTCATCCACTAAATGAAGTTTCCCAGTACGATAGAAATTAATGACTGATGTAAATGAACGTGGATGACGATCAAAAAAGAATTCTCCATTCGATAAATCATAATCGTCACATAAACGAATGAGTTCATCATGTGGCATCGGACGTGATGATGGTACTGTTGATCGACGTAGTCGTGCCAAACGACCTAAACGAGTACTTGGCAGACGTGCAAGTGTTCGCCACAGTACTATGAATAAATAATATTTTCAAATGAGAAAACTAAAACAAAAAAGTAACTACCTTCGTGTCGAACACCGCCAACATTTAAAATTGCTTTATTATTGTGACTGTGTGTAGAAGAAGGGCCTGTATTTTTAGAACCTTCAGTAGATGTAGGATGAGAATATGTACTATGTTTAAGTGTATATGGTGGAGAGGATTCAATAGATTTTGTTGGTTGTTCATCCATTGCGGCAGATTCATCATCTTCGACAAGAGCAGCTGCGGCAACGGGATTTGCAACTGGTAAAAAAATACTAGTTGGTCGCACACATCCTGATGATGTTATCTTCGACGAATGTAATGAATCGTTTGTATAAATATTTGGATTTCCTGTCGGTGTAGTCGTCATGAGTGCATCACGAATTGTTGATGTTATAATAGTTGGAAAATGAAACCGACTTGTTTTTTTATTATTGTCATGTGGAACTGGACAAGAAACACGACGTGTTGCACTCGATGGTTTTGTATCCAGTATTTGTGGTGTTGACGTTGGCGTTATTGGATGAATCGATAGACGAGATGATGCAGAAGAAAACCAATCTTGATCGGGTAGCTGAGAAAAATGAGATTGACTTGCCGATGAGGGACGACTATTTTGTGGTCCATTGATAATAATCGTCGCATTGGATGGTGAAGAGATAGGATGAGATAGAGTCTCAATACATCGAGCATCAGATGTAGAAGGTGTAGATGATAGTGAAGACGATGGCAGTGGCTGTGACGGAGGCAATTCGCTCTTGCCGGAAGATGATACTGGTTGTGTAGAATGAGATGAAGAAGGGGTAAACAGCATTATCCACCAGAAATCGGATCGGACGACGAACAAATGACGAAATTTGTTTGCTGCTTGCCGATAGCAATGCTATTATTCCATAGAAACATATACACATGCATACCATGCACAATTAAATGACTGCGAGTCAAAAACACGCTGATGTGTTAAAAAAACTAATAACGAACGTGTCTGTTTTTTTTCTATATATTAATGATCTAATTAAAATCGTTGCTGTTCTTCAAAGTTTTATTTTCGTATTCTATTCGAATACTTTGATTAGATCTTAAAAAAATAAAAATAAAACGAAGAGCAGATGACGGTGTATGCCAACGTAAAGAGATAGAGTTCGTGTAATAGCGACGATGGTGATGCTGCTGCTGTCTTGTCGTTAATATGCGTGTCGCTTCTTTCAGTGGCTTTCTCTTATTTCCTCTTGGGTACTCGTTCAGTTTTCAAATCTATTTTGAGCATGCATTAAAAAGAAAAATGCATGATTACATTTGCTTACTCTATATCGTTAATCATTATTCATATCTATATTTTTTTTTAGCTTTCTATGGAATCACCTGTTTATCTAATACATCTACTTTTGATCTAAACTAGATAGAAAAACTTAAAACATATGTCTAAATAGATATTCTATACATATGTATATGCATGTTATTTGTACATCTCTTATTATTTCACAAATTCTGCCTTTTGTCATTGTCTATGCTTGTTAGACAACAACAATGACAGTCGAATGACACAGCTGCTCTTGTTGACTGACATAAAAATGTTTATTCTATATTTATTAATAAATGTAGCTAATGGCTGACGGAGGCGCATGTTATAACTACTTACCCCTGATATTAATAATAGCAAGATTATTTTTTCCTTTTGTCTCTTTTTTATAACTGTCTATTTATTTATTTCATTTTTTTTTCATATATGCATGATCACATATGGCCTTATCAAAGAAGAAAGAACCAAAAAAAGAATCTATCTTTTATTATATCGATAGTACAAGAGCGCCAGTATGTGCGTGTGTGTGTGGGAGCGCGTGTTATTGAGTGTCTATCAATTTTGCTCGCTGCTGTATTGATGGTATGGGTTGGTAACATCTTGCTTGCTCATCTTTTGTCTATGAAAGACGAAAGACAGCAAGTGCATGAGTGCGATAGCAAGCAATGAGAAGCATACTCAAGTCGAGATCAGGCAATGAGAGAAAGAGAGAAGAGAGCTAGTGAAATCTAGAAAAAGAAAAGAAAACATTACCAGCACCAGCACCAGCACCAGCACCATCATCATTTTTTTTTCTCTTGTTTCCGCTAGTGAAAACTGTAAATAAAAGATATCTACTAGCGCATAATAATAATGTAGTAAGGAAACAAAATTGATTGACACGCAACAGGCATATGTGAAAGAAAAAATGTGTTAATCTTCGTTAAAGCGTATGCTATACCCATTGCTAGAAATGTTTGTCATAGTCACGTCGTAAATATCTGATCGGGTCTACTGACATCAATGGGACGGAAGAATTTTGATGTTGCTCGATGATTGTTTCTTATGCGAACTTTTTTTTAAAGAAAATGCTTTATATCAATGCCTCTGCTTCTTCTTCTTCTTCTTCTGCTTCTTCTTCTTCTACTCGGTCTCTCTTTTGCGCTTCCTTCCAACCAAAGAAACAAGCTTATTCAAGAAACAAATCTTGCTTTTTTTTGTCTTCATTGCTCTCCTCTTTCGCTGTCTCTTGCCTATTCTAAGCGGACAAATCTATAAGAGCAAGATGTTGAACTCTCGTTTCTAACGAAAATTTAGCCATAATAAGCAAGCTCTATTTTGATAATGATCTTATACAGATAGTCTAACAAGATCAGTAATATATATATGTTATTTTATTATTAATCAAGCGCAATGCCATCATTATTAATAAGATGGAAAACTAGAGAAAGGCCGGAATCCATTTCCTGTTTTTTTAAAGTGTTCCATTTTGTTCGAGAATAAGAGCTGTTCAATCTACCATCTTGAACTATTTCCTTTTTATTTGAAAATAAAAACGACGTGAGATATATATATATATATAAGATAAACAAATTGATCAAAACTAACATAGTGCTTGTTTAATGATATAGAAAATGCTTATTTCTTCAATTATCGAATAAGACTTCAATTTAATTAATCAAATAAAATAAATATCAATTCAATTAATCTATTGATCTATTTACTTCCTCATTTAACAATCACGCAAAAAATAATAGTCAATCTGTTTCTCACATTTTCTCTTGTTATATTTCAGTAAGATACAAAACATATAACGTTATAAATATGTATAATTATATTTTTTTTTTGTAAGAAAGATTCTCGGTGTAAGAATAATGTCCGGAAGTCGTATAAAGACCTTAGGCAAAGCGATGAAAGCAATATAAATGAGCGATATTGGCATTTTTGTTGTGTAATATTAAAAATAATGACTCTCTAAAACAGCTAACTTGTGTTTAACCGAATGTAAAAATATAGCTATTAAACAGTGGTTCGGAAGCTATAATTGTAGTTTATTCTTTTTTGATTTCTCAGCTGATGACGGCTTTCCATAGAACAATTATTAGTTCTATAGAGAGAGAGAGAGAAAAAAAGATTCGTGTTACAATGTTGCACTAATTAGAAAACGTAATAATTACAATTAATTTCTTTACTTAATAGATAGCTTAGTATTTTGTAAAATTTGAATTTTTTTTTTAAGAATACAAATCCAACAATGATTAATGAAGGGAATTAATCTTTCAGAACTTTTTATCTAATCTCTTAATCATTGAAGATGTGTCAGTAGAAATATGATAGATTGACACAAATAAGCCTTACAAGAGGAGAAGAAGACGCAAAAAAGAAAGGCTGCTGACTTTGAAAATGTTTTAATAAATAGTTGCACTTCTTTTATTGACTTTTTATGTAAGATAAACTCGATCAACTTTATCTTTTTTATTATATTGATCAAAAAATAATCTTAATATATATCATTGAGGGTAGACTGTCAAAAACTATTCTTCGAAATTTAATAATACTCTATATAAACTACTGAATGACAGTCATTTCAATATGGAAATACGATTTACTATAATACAAATTGTTATCTATGTGTCAATGATTTGACAGGCAGGTTTTCGGGCTCTTAGTATTGATGTTTCTCAGAGGCACATACTAACAGAACAATAAGAGAGACATTGTGAACATTATTTAATTCAGCGAAGTGCTGATGCACATATTTTCATTCATAGTTTTTCTTGTCGTCAAGTTTACTATTATCCTTAGGAATAAATAACTTAGTTAAAGACTAAATTCGAGTCTATAGCTGAACAGAAAGGTCAAGTTTTAATGAACGTAAACGTCATTATGATTGTGTCATATCGACTAAATGCATTTAGTGTGATAATGACAAGGATGGAAAGCAAATTAGGCGAAAACTATTATTAAAATATGCCATATATATTTATTTGAACAAATGATTAACGAGAACACTTGATTGCTACTTCGGATATGAATAGAACAAAAGAATATTTAAGAAAAATAAGAATTCGATTGGATTCTTTTTCATGCCTTCAGTCATATTCATAATCTTTCGGATGAGTTGCATCAGCATCGATAAAAATAGTAGCACAAAGCTCCGATATAAATCATACGATGAATAGGAAGTAATATGTCAAATCACTATTTTGAACATGTTATTTTCAAGCAATTTATTCTTTACCGTGAACTATGATATTAAAATGCAATATTAATAAATCGATTCCGCCTTTTGACATTTTTATTAACAGTAAAAACAAGAGTGTATATCAACTGGACAAAAATATAAACTGGAATATCAAATTATGGCTAAAAGATATATATTGAGTGTGATTGATGATCGGCAATATAGTAGACGAACATAGTATGCAAATGACACTCTTGTGACTTATTATGCTAAGTGATATTTCTTTGATGCATTATACCATACGTTGACTCATCTGTCAGTTATGAAATGTTTTGGTACGCATCGAACGGAGTGTGTCTATCTGTTATAAGTTTTTTTCATCAGTAAGACAAGTATCTAGCATTATATCTATTGGTAATCGAGAAAATATGATGGAAGATGTGATACGTAATTCTATTTCTTTTGCGGTCGATAACAATTGGAAAATTAGTTACTTAGACAAATAAATATGATGCTTTTAATACAAATAAGCGTGATTCATAGAATACAGTTTCATAAATCTTTCTTTGCATAATATCCATAATGAAACGTGATGATGATATAACATAATCAAGTCTTGATATGTACTCAGAATGTTTATTTAATCTTATGTTGAGATTGATTTTTTATATCTACCATATGTTTAAGTGGATAGTGGCTTTATTGAACGTATTATAGTGAGTGTGAGCAAATGGTCATATTTTGCGTTGTTTGAACTTTTAATTCTACTCAGTTAGGAATCATAGAAAAAAACAAAGAACATCACATTATGATACATAATATTAAATATATTCTTAAAATTGTAATTTATATTCTCTTGAGGAGAGCAAATATGCTCTAGAAATTGATATTTTATTTAACAGAGTTCAATTCACCATAATGAAAAGATTCTCACTAGTATATTACTATTTAATGACATATTTCTATTACTAGAAGAATTTTTCATGCCTATCAATTTATGATGAAATATCTATTTGTTGATAGAATAAAAGAGCAAAGCTAATATTGGTAAATGATTTCCCTAAAACATATAACCAAGTCGTGTATTTCTCGTGTTCTGACATGATCATCGATAGGCGACATCATGAAAATTTGAGAGGAGAGGAAAGAGATTAATAACATATGTCGTCTCAATTAAACAAATATTAGTCTTCAATTAATTAAAATCGATCTAGAATTATTTTATACTTTGAAAAAAAAAATTTATTTGATTTGACGACAATTATTTCTTAACCATAGATAAGATTATCAATTAAATTTGAAGTTTATGTTCATGGTACTTAAAATATATTGATAATGATCAAAAATAAATGAAAAATATTTGTTCGTAGTTCTTTTGGAATTCACATTGCTGTGCATTCATTTTAGCAGAGTAAAATGTAGCTACTTTATATGGTTAATCGCTTATCAACGATTGATTTGACAAATGGTTATTTAATTTAACAAAAAAAGAAAAAGAACCTAAATTAGCTCACGTCTGTCAATGAGGCATGGTGACATAGCATTAAATCATAAAAGAAAATCCTGATGTGAATGTCGTGTTCAATTAGAATGAAACTTCTCTGTTTATTATCAAAATTCTCTTGACGATCATTTTGATTATCTTTTCAAAATCAGAATTCTATTGTTCGTGCCCTTGACACTTTTTAGATATTTATGCTTTCACAATTCTTTGCGCATTATCAGGCTTTTGTTTTCCTCTTCGTAAAAAGAGAAAAGTCGGAGGCACCGATATGAAAAGCCACGGACAACATTTTTTGAATAATTAAATATATATTCAAGTCAATTAAATATTAAAAATAAGTTCAATGTAAATAATAATTTAGTCTTGTAATTATAAAGCTTTATTATCTTTTCTTCGTCTGTTAAACGACCTTGAATTTACACTTCGATATGTTTAATAAATAAGTTTAGCGCTCGTTGTTTAGTAGCTAGCGAATTATTATTTTGATCATTTTATTTCATTTCCTCATTCATCGATATAAATATTTCTAAAAAAATGACCGAATCATTTCAACAATATATAAAAATTCGTACGTTTTTGGGTTATCGTCCAAAAGAAATTCTTGTCGAACTACAAAATGCATTTGGTGTGTTTAAATCTATTTTATTCAACAATAATGTATGTCGTATGTTTAGGCGATGAAGCACCGAACTATGCCAATGTACAACGTTGGTCGAAGCGTTTTCGTGATGCTATGGATACTCCATTAGGAAGTCCACTTACTTCGCAATTGAATTTGGAAACACAAGAAACCCAATCTGATCGACAATTAGACAGTTCCGATCCCAATGACGATAATGATAATAACAATACAAACGCTTTAAACTCAAATAAACAAAAATAGTAAAGTGCAACGAATAATTAATGTCAGCTCCTATTTTTCGATTGAAAATCAATGTTTTTATTTCATTTGTAACAAGAATAACTACATTTATTTGTACAAGACATTGAATGTAACTAACATGAATAAAATAAATAGTTATACTTCCACAGGTGAAAGCCACACGGTCATAAGCGGCCGTTTTACTATATTTTACGACCGTGTTGTATCCACCGTATTACGGCCGTTTTTCAACGTGCCGTAAACAATCGTAACCGGTCGAATACTCTATTTTTCGACCGTATTACGGTCGTGATTGGCCGTATACGACACGATTAATTACGGCCGTAGTACGGTGCATGCCAAAACATCAAGTTACGGCCATTTACGGTGAGAAACGGCAGGAAACAGCAGTATACGTTAACGTTTACGGCCGTTTCTGGTAGCTGTAATGCTTGATCTGGATCATTATATGATGTTAAACAGCAAACGAAAAAATAGGCAATCTATAATATTCTCCTATTTTCCCCATAATCTCCTATCGATCGAGTTCTTATATCAATAATATGAATGAGCGTCCCAGGACGAGCTTTACGGCGTCCGTATACGGTGAAATACGGGCCGTATACGACCGTGTATGTTCGACCTGGGGTCTATAGTGAGATACAGCGCATCTGCTAACTTAGTGCTACAGATATATGCATTAGATGAGTTATTATTATAGAAAAACAGTCAATACTACAAAATGACGAAAATTATCATCGTATACTAAAGTTGAATATCTCGTGGCTTAAAAAAGAAACTCTGATACCAATTGAAAATTTCAATTCGTCTAATAAAATTTCTGGTAAATGTGGGTGATTTTCGGTTGCTACCTATAATTTAAGTGAGATATTTCCCATAATGAACAATTTAAGATGTAAAAACCAATTTCAAAGATAAACGATTCAGAAAAAAATACGTTTTTCTGCTTTCTTTTGTGCTCGAAAAGAACAAAGAAAGAGCAATATTGTTTGAACCTGAAACCTTTCGTGTTTTCCTTTTCTTACGAGACATATTTTTAATAAATTGTCGAACTTACGATAAATCTTAAGAAGAAATGAAATCATTTTAAAATTTTCGTGGACAAAAAAATAGCTACTATTTTTCCTAAAGTAACCACGAGTCTTACCGTTTACTTCATGACTACCCAGGTGTTCGGGTTTCTCTTTCCCTTCCTTTCTCTTATCGGTATCGGTATCGGTATCGATATAGATATATGTGCTAATGATTTTATACGCACGAACTTTATTATATATATATATGTATAAAGAACCGAAGAAAAGAGAGTACCAATAAAGATGAAAGAAGATGAACGAATATAGAGAAGATAGAGGATTACATGAAGTAAGAATGATGTCAGCTTGCGACATCGTCCTAACACCAGGTGAAAGACGCAGTCGTAAATGATCGATTCAGTTAATGTTTTCGCCGTTTGATATGCACCGTATTACGACGGTATTATGGTCGTTGTTAGCTCGTCGTGTTCGAGCTTTACGTTTATTTTAGATCTAACCTCTTTAACACACACACATATGTATATACGTATATAGAGAGAGAAGAAAGAGCAGAGAGGGGAGAGAAAAAGGAGCGATACATTAGATACTGAAGAAGTGTAATCGAGGGGCCAGTGGTATCATCCACCGTTAACAGCCGTGTTCAACTGTTTTCAGCCAAGTACGGTCGTTTCTGGTCATCGTAATGCTCGACCTGGATAGTAAATCAGCGCCCACCAAAACAATATATATGTCGTATCGAGTTACTACTTTTATCGAAGTTATAACTTCGACAGAAATTTTATCTAAGTTAGAAGTTACTACTTCGACAAGATGGATCATCGAAGTTATAACTTCGATAAAATGAATCATCGAAGTGATCGCTTCGACAAATTTTGTCATCGAAGCTATAAATTCCATAGAAATGTATTTATCGAAGTTACAATTTCGAAAAAATGAATCGTCGAAGGAATCTAGAACACTAAAGATAAATTTAATTATGTTTCAATTATTGATTATTTATTATCACATGTTCCTGAATGGTAACAGCGTGAGTTACATAAGACTTTCGCTTGTTTACATTTACATCTGTTCGTTTTACAACCACCTTTACAATCACATTTGAACACTCCCTGGCCACCGGTGATATTTTGAAATCAAACAATTTCTCGTAATGATTTCGGTCCTTCATTGGGAACATCCTCCACGCGTAATGTTCACTGTAAATTTTTTTGAAATTCTACTTTTTAGAAAATCGACTTTAAATAAGCCAAAGCATTTTCGAATTTTTATTATTCATTCGTCGAATTTTAAATATTCAGAAAATGCTTGATTTTCTAAATTATAGAAATTCAATTTGATTTCAGAAAAATTCTTTTTCCAAAAAATTGAAAAATCAACAGTGACTTCTTAAAATGTTTGAAATTCAATTGCAATTTTATAGAAAATCAAGATCAATTCTACAAAAAGTAAAAGATCAGCGCCACCTTCTAGAAAATCATTTGGATTATGACCTTTATAAAGTCATTGTTCATTTGTGTATATATGCTATAATCGGCAGTGTATAGTGCATTCATTATTTTCTCTGCCAGCTCTAGCGAGCAGATCAACTATATTTTTTCGAATCGACATGAGTCAGTCCATTTTACATGAACAAACACATAATATCCAGTTATTTCTTATTCACGAAAAGAATATTGCAAATAAAAACTTTTCTCACCGCAAAATAGATATTTATAATCATTTATTTTTGTGGAATTATACATGAACTCTGATATTATATTATTGCATTCATCAGTTTAGAATCATAGATCAGATTGCTGAAGACAATAACTAGTTGTTTCTCTTGAGGATAAAATCTTATATTATATTCTCCATACAACTGAAATTGAAAATGAAAATTGAATTTCCAATTTCTAGAAAATGCTCTAATTACTAAATAAAGTGCGAATTTCTAAAAAAGCCCATACGAATTCACATTCGATTTTCTAGCTAGAAAATCGAATTTCTTATTTCTATCTTATTGAGTATCGTATTTTCAAGAAAGTAGAAATTTGTCATTGAATTCGTATGGACTTTCCTAGAATATCTTTCATTATACTCTATAATGTATTTTCTAGTTTACAGTGCACGACCGCTTAAAAATGCAGTTAGCAATGTCGCCAAAGTTTTTATCTAACAGAATTTCGAACTGCGTTCCCGCTCAATATTTCTGGCCATTTTATTGTGCATCCAGAATAAAGGACGTATAACTTGCCACTTTACAACACCACATCGAGCTTTTTTCAACTTAGAAATGAATCATAGAAAATCTGTTTGGTGAATAGTTAGCTATAATTTAAAACTTGAACGGAAAATAAAATAAGTCGTATCCAACCTGCGGAGAAAGATTTCAATTTTCGTGATTGAAACTCCTATTTGAGCAAGCTGCGAAATAAGTAAAAGANTCTACAGGAAAAAAATCCGGTAACTTCCAACTGGAATACTGCTTCCAGTTTCCAGCGCTTTCCTGTGCTTTCCCGCCGTTTCCCCCCGTACGTCCACGACCTGGGTATGCATGTCTACTACTTCTGACCATTCTCTCCATCAGTAAAGCGGCACCTAGCCGTTTGTCGGCGCCACTATGGGGCGCCACTCACACCTAGCAGCTGCTGTTCTGCATAACCCGTACCACACAATACTCATATTTCACAATCTCCAGTCCACTGCAGTTTTGTTAAACTCAGGAAAACAATCGATTCTACAGGCACGAACTCTTCACTTGAAACTGTAAATTATAATACTTATTCATTAAATCTATTTCTAACAAAGAGTGGTCCATTATCATTTCTGAGAACCTGCATTGAAACAAAAATCGCCACTCTCAACATCAAGTATCATCAAACAGAGAACCGACTCCCATTTCAATACTGAACACTTCCCAGATGAAATAGATCCTAAAATATTCCCAGTAGACACTGGTTGGTCATCAGCGTATCTGAAAATGATATTAAGGGTACGCTTCATCCCAGAACAAAATTCAGTTATTTCTGTATGACTCTTCATCATCTCGAAGACACTGTTTTTCTAGGAAAATCAAAGACAAAACTATCATAGCCAAAATGAAGTACAACTTCTGAGACCTCAATTATCTATGGTCAAACTGGATACAGTCTAAATATCTTCCAAAAAAGACTAAGCTCTAGAAAATTCGTTTCGAGATTTAAAAAATCTGACTTCGGATTCGGATTCTCCGACCCCGATTTACTCTCGTCAATCTTTATATAATATCAACGGTTTCCCAAAAAAACATTTCTTTCATCCGAAAAACAGAACTCAAAATTTCTAAAATCAGATTTCAGATTCGGATTCCCCGACTCCGAAAACCTATGGCAAAGTTTCTTAAAAAAAAACTGGCAAGCTTCGAAATAACGTCAACGATAACCGATGTTTTTTTGACCTGCCACAAACATACAAACGCATTTTTTTTCATATGACCCTCCCTACAGTCGAGGTAATAGCAAAGTTCGACCAAAACGGCCAAAAGCCATAAAATGAAAAAGTTCATTTCTGATTGGTCAGCTCCTGAACAATGAAGCCTTGGCCAAAGAAATGGGATTCGGGTTGGGATTCAGGACCCTCGATAATCTATGATAAACTTCAATCAGAACGGCCAAAAGTCTGAAAATATGCTAACTTCTGGTAAATATTTTTTTTTGACCCCAATCAACCAAGCAAGATCACAAACGCATTTTTTTCGTATGACCCTCCCTCCAGTCGAGGGACTTACTAAAAGGTAAGAGAACAGTCTCTAGTTCCTCCTGTGTGTATAACTACGATTTGTTTCACTGTTCATTTTACTTCGAAGTTAGAGTTCGACTTTCACTGTACATACGAATTTTATGCTAGTAATATTTTTCACTTTCAGGTGTCTAATAGAACAAATATTAACGATTTGGTGGATGTAAATAAAATTAAAACTCGACAAAATCTTAAAAAATAACATGAATTGTTCATAGTTGAATGACTTTTATTTCTCCTTAGAATAAATAACTACAAAGGCACATTTCAAGTCATCACTATGACAATATAGAAACATTTTATGCGTATTTATTGGTTTCAGTGAGTAAAGTCATTGTTTATTATGAATGTTTTCTCATTGAACCATCCTCTTTTTAGTTTTTTTCGTGTATCACATTTGTGGTACGATTATTTGTTTTTGCTTTTCGTATATAGCTTAAAAGATACAATTTAACGCGAAGAAACATGCCCGGGTCAAATCTTTTTCTCATGTACTTGACCAGTGCGAACCTCACTATTTGTCATATCACATGACTTTCTTATTTAAGAAACCTAAGTCGTTCACTAGTCTTACAGCAATCATGAGATTGAAAATACTGTTTCAGTGAATATTGGACTGGACAATTTATTGTAAAAAATGATATATTTATTTATTTCAATTTTTGAAAAATATAGTTGTGTTAGAGATGTTTAAAATTAAAAAATGTAGGGATCATAAGCGTTAATTTGTTGTTATTCGTCAATTAGCATCGATCTCTGTAGACTGACTATGAAGATATATTGAAAATGGGAGAATTTTTAAAGCTCAACATCAACAATTATCATATGAGCCACTTGTTTTTATGTAAATATTAATTTTGAATAAATTGTTTTTCTGATATCTGAAGTATGATGGTCATTTTCTATTAAAATTATCCTTGAAGTTTCGGCGCACACTCTAGAATGTTGTGATGTAATTGGTGGTGCTTTTTTTTATGAACATAGACTCGTACCTCTTTTTTTTATAAAGTCTCTACTGTTTTATTTGTTCAATATTTGAAATAAACTGATGTATAAATTGAAAACAAATATATTGTTCTACTATGTCTTCAATCATTTTTTTAATTACCGATTGAAGTATTGAGTAGAGTTTATCTCAGATTCCATCCGAGAACCGGTTAACAGGTGCCTTGAGGTCCTGATAGCCAGATCGGGAACCCTGATACCAGCCCAGGTCGAACATTACGGCTACCAGAAACGGCTGTATACGGCCGTTTCTCACCGTAAATGGCCGTAACTTGACGTTTTGGCATGTACCATATTACGGCCGTAATTAATCGTGTCGTAAATGGTTACTAACGACCGTAATGTGATCGGATATCTCCGTATCTAATCTTTTATGGCACGATACAAAACGACCGTAATACGGTGCATACCAAACGGCCGTAAATTATGGTCAAACGGCCGTGTACGACCCAAGTTGATCGACCTGGGAGTATGTCACAGGTACTTTTCAATGATTGGATACTTTCGAATACTTATTGAGTCTTGAGCACATATCTTCAAGGTGTTTATGGGTGCTCACTCGAGTACTTTGTTGAAAACTTTCTCGTATCCTGTATTTGGAATTGTACACGTATTGAAGCAAGTACCCAAACAGTTACCTTCAAATACAGAGCAAGTTCCTGTGGCATACTGGTAGCAAGTTACCTTGAGGGTGCTTTGCTGGCAATGGACTCAGTGCTCGGGTACCGTGAACTGAGTACTTCCACTCGGGAGCATCTTTCTTTGACTAATCATAATTACATTTCCTAATTGATTTCTTTCGTTTATTTCTGTTTTAGTTCTATGAATAAGGGTATTAAGATTTCAGACATACGCAAAGCATCTAAATAACTGTTAAATATCACATGAAACTTTCAAGCCATCGATCATCTCCATTCAATTGTAGTGTACAGTGTCACGTCTGTACTTCTCATTTTGATTATTCGAGATTGTTCCAGTTTTCTTTAAATGTAAGGTCATTGGAAACTATATTAAAGTGTGCAAAAAAAATGTATACTATCATAACCAGTAATGACAATTACGTTTCAACATGAACTAAATAGTGCTAGAATTAGTTTATTAGCAAAAGATTTATCAGATAGTTTTTCAGCACAGTTAATAAACCTAAGTAACTTTTTATTTATTTTTCTTTGTTTTCATTTCGATTATTTTGTTCTGTTCGATATTCTTTACGAGCTTGATCAAGAAGAACATTTGTTAAAATGTTTGAATAGTTTCTTGGATCAGGTATGATACGTGGATATGGATTATCTTTCATTTCGAGAACAATATTTTGACGTGGTAGATTTGGATACTGAAATTCACCATATTTGATCGGTAAACGATAAGACTAAACGAAACAAAAAACAAATGAACCAGTTGATATCAGTTATGAATGAAATTTCGTAGTATATACATTTGTATACGGTCCAATTGTATTGGTATATCGAGGAACAAACACTTTAAATACTTTATGAATTAAATCTTTATCATTAATCCAATAATCCTAAATTGAAATAATAATTGATTGAAAAGAAAAAAAAGCAACAAGAAGTTTCAAACCATCAGTTGCATTGTACCAACATGTCTGAAAAAGGAAAAGCAACTGAAAATAGGACAAGCAAAGAAGAGATGAACCTTACCGATCACCATATTTCTTTGCTAATTCAATTAAACGTTCGGCATATTGTCGTGTTTCATCGTGTGTTCGAATATAACCTTCTATCCTATTAAAATAAAAGAGAATTTCAGTCAAATCATTCCATGAATACATTGATAGTTTAGCGATCTATTCAACATTTTTAAAACTAGTTTAAATGTTTGATATATCCGCGAGTGATTAATCAAAAAAGTATGATAACGAAAGAAAATTCTTGATAATTTGATAGCCTTGATTAGATCCTAAAGTGATTGATTTTCCGAAGTCAGGTGAGATTCTATCGGATCTCTCTAGGGTGATCTTCTTAAGACTAGTTCATACACTTGAACTGTATAAAAATAAATTCATTGAAACAGATACAATTCAGTAACAGATTATTATCATTTTATGATAGAAGAAATAAAATGTTTATCGGTGATGAAACTCCAAGAAAAGACTAAATAGTATACGTCAAATAATCTATAAAAGAATAATTTCAATAAATTTACTCTACCTTTCATTACGAAATAAATCTCCTAAAATAGTTTTGATTTTTTCATGTCGCGCAGGTTGACCACCCGCAGTCAACTTCGATCGTATCGCATGTGGTACAGTAACACGAAGAGTTCTAAAATGCAATGATGTGCAACAAGAAAAGATAAAATGAATCACTCGCCTACCTGGTACTAAGATTGCTCATATTTATGTTATTTTCAAAAGCAAAGTGCAACTTTTATCTTAAAAAAGAAACACGAAAAAAATAGCATTGTTCATTCTGTTGTTTTTTTTCTCAATCAAATCAAACAATTCAATGTAAACAATCAATAATAAACATGACAAAAAAGAAGAAAAAAAGAACAGGAATTTCTAAAGTCAAATCGAGACTTTGGATTCTATGTCTTCAATACTATATTCACTGCATAGAAAAGTTAAAATGAACAAGAAAAATACTACATAAATATTTATTACAAACAGGCAACTGCTAGACTGTTGAAATCAAATTGACCATCACTTAACGAATGGTCTTCTTTGTAACTGGTTGATAATGAAAAACGAAAAAAACCATCACGTAAAGGTCGCACCACTTTTTCAGTTACCGGTTGTTCTATTGCTTCATCTTCATTTTCATCAATATCAATATCATTTGAAAGAATTGTTAAATTAAATTGAGCATGTATATGACCTAAAGTTGATGCTTGCCGATAGTAATCACATGCCTATTGAAATAAGACGATAATTGGTAGTACAATTTAAATTGATTTATTTACTTTAGCTCGATCTTTTTCAACGCCAATACCTCGCTCATAGCAAATACCAAGGTTATAAAATGCTGATGCATTAGTTCCCGTTTTAACAATACTTTGAAGAGTTTCAATGCCCAATTCTAGATTACCGGATTCGAGAGCGTCAATAGCTGTTTGAAGGTTTATTATTGACATTGTTTCTTCACGCAAATTAGAAAGATCGTTCACACTATTTATAATGGTTCGGTCGACTTCACATGTCGCATTAACAGCTTCTTCTTTCTTAGGTGAAAGTGAACCGGATTGAACTTCTTTACCGATACATTCAGGTTTGTCAGGTCCGATTTGTTTAGTATCATTTATGTTTAGTGCAAACTAAATATAATCTATAGTCTTTTTGTTTTTTGTATGGTAAATGAATTTCTAACCTGTTGAAGGGCAAATTTCTTTGAATACTCTTGTAATTTTTCAATATTTTTAAATAAATATTGATAACTTTTTAATATTTCATAAATATCACATTTTTTCACGTTTGAACGTTTTTCATTTCTAAAAATAAAACAATAAAACTTGAATCATTAAGCCAATAAATTCAATACCGTTTTGAATTTGCATCGTCATCAGTACAACAAATTGTTGTTATTGGAATAAGGACATCTTGCGAATAATAATGAGTAGTTGCAGTTCGAAAAACACGATAAACACAATTGGCTAAACGCCACATAATTATATTTTTGATTGTTTATGATTCAAATAGAGTCCGCCGTTCTAGATGGATCGACCATATATGATCAAACGGTCACCCATCCTTATGATCGAGGTTCGAACAGAAATGATTAAACTTCAACATAAAAATAAAACAAAAAAAGTAAAGGCACAACGTTTGAAGAAATTCTCACACTGTACAATTGGACGAGCCGAATACACACACACACACACACACAAAACTCTATTGGATGTTTATTCCTCTACCCAGCACAGCACGCGATAAGTGACGTCATTTTCCCTTCCACAATCATATATAGCCTTTTGTTGTTTTACCGTTCTGTTCGATCTGCAAAATACATGGTGGGAGAAAAAGAAAAAACTGTTCAGTAATGCAAAAAAAGAGAAGGTTCTACCCAGATTTGAACTGGGGTCGCTGGATTCAAAGTCCAAAGTGCTAACCGCTACACCATAGAACCGCAGAACTTCGATGACAAGAATCTGATTCAATCACGTTCGAAACACAGCTTCTCAAAAAAAATTACGGAAGCTTTATTAATTAAAAAATGAAATCAATCAAAATAAGAAAATCTGAAAAAACATTTTCAATTAAGATTTGTTCAGCTCGACTATTAATAAAGATCAAAATTTATCTTCTTTTTCTTTTCAATGAAAACAAAAAACAAATGTCAGATACGATAAATAACACAATTCGCAAAAGAAAAAAAATACTGTACATCTGCACGCTTTATTATGGTAATCGTTTATGACCAACACGATATTCATAAAATGTCACTATCATTTGAGTAAAATTCCATCGAACAATAATTGAAAGAATATAAATAAGGAAGAGACCTGTTAATGGATATAACAGAACATGCACATTACGAAGAAATGGCAGTGCTAAAAGAATAAAAAAAATTCTCGTGCATATATTTTTCTTCAATAATTCGATCTTTTCATACCACTAAAACCGAGAAATAATATATAAATATAATAGCCAACTGCAATAGCCCATACAGTATTACCAATAAGACAATAGAGATAACTTGTTGTAACAGCAAATGCTGTAAAAAAGCAAAGTAAAATTAATTGTTGTAATAGAAAAAAATTGATTTTCTACGAACTATTGAAAAATGGTAGTTGACCAACATGTAAAATAGCAAGTAAGGGTAGTACAGCATTGAGATGTACATCGAAACAATATGCCCATTCAACATCAATACTAGATTTAGGATTTGCAATCAAATGTCGATTAGCGATATACCTAAATTTAAAAGAAAGTGAAAATCATATTCATAAATGTTATAATCTACTAGCAGAATATCGAAATTCAGACGACTACACAAGACATTTCTGTTAACATAAGTTTTTAACAGACTCTTTATCATTATTTTGTGAACTCTACTTAAACTATCGAAGTTTCTAAAATTTTAAAATTGGTATTTCTCATTTTTACCATTTGAAAAGTATCTATTAGATTAAAGACCTTTTTTCTAGAATCTATATTGACCGAATAGATTATAGCTTTGGTTCATCAAATAACTTAACTAACCAATAAATCGTAGAGATTAAAAGACCAACAAGAACACAATCAACCAAAACAACCCATATTACAAGTTTCACAATACCGAAAAATCCCATTCCAAGGACAACTCCAATGATAATCGATGAAACTAATATGTAGTAAGAAAATCATAGTAAATAATAGAAAGCTTCTTTCTTTTCCTCATATACTATTCATACCGACAAGAAACACCATCAGCAACACTAGAAAAGCTGGATCATCTCTTGCCCATTGATTTTTTGTTTCTTGAAAAAATAAAGCGAAATTAAAAAACAATAATTCTCTACAAGCATATATTCATACGTTTTCGATATTGAAATGCACGAAACACTTTCTGTGGCGCATAAAATAAATGTCCGACTTGCCAAATGGCAAATTCAAAATCCATTTGACGAAATTTTAATAAACGTCGAAGATATTTGTAACGTTTAGCAGCAGCACTGTACCGATCAAATATATTCGTTGATGGTGAATGCTCACCAACATCTAATGATGTTGAATTATTATTATTATTTGCAGTAATTACTGGCGGAGGTGACATTGGAACATACATTTTTTGTTCGATTTTCACGATTAATTTACAACTGTAGCGTCAATGAATTAGAACAGTTGACTACGTGTGAGTAAAACAAGGACGAAATGACAAATAGAAACTTTGAGTAGATGTCACTTGAAATATATTTCAATGAAAAGATGAATTTTTGCCGTTATTTTATTTTTCAGATAACAAGGAATTATTTTATTAGAGAAATGTTGAAAAATATAGAAAATCATTGTAAGAAAATATTCATTGGATATGAATTAGTTCTTTGATTCTTAAATCAATTAACAAACTGTTAGTTTTTAAATGTTTTGTTTTTGTTGTGGATACATACCATTAATGTTTTTTTTTACTTCGATTTCACAACTATTTAACTTACGAGCGAACCTCTTCAGATGTTTCTTGTCGATTTTGATGACTTTTCTCCTATTAAAATAGCATAGAATTCTAATAAAAAGCTTAAAAACGTCCTGAACTCCTATGAGATTAGAGAAACTTCCAATTTTCTGATGCGTCGATTCTCAAGAGTTCGTAGGTTTTTGAATAGCTGATATTTTTGATTTTCGATTGCAAGCTCTGCACGTGTACAAAAATTTGATTAGAACAGTCTTTACAATTAAAATTCGAAAGTTTGGCACCAAATCTTTGTGAAATTATGAAGCTTTCAGTTAACATTACAAATGTTGAATAGATTTAATGTAAAATTTTGTACGATAGTCGAGTTTAGCTCTGTATACAGGGTACATTCTACGATTGAAATCCGAGGTTTTGAGAACATTGAGTAACTTTTACGAAATATCTCAACCTTTCAATGACTCTTGTTAGAATTCGAGATAGTTCATAAAGAGTCGTAAAAAACGGTATCCTTCTAAAATCTTTATTCATTTTTTAGAATTTCAGATTGAAGTATGTTATCATCACCATTACAAACATCTTCATCAACAACAACGGTAAAACAGATATCTTTCAAAATTATGTACACTATATTGATTATTATTCTTTAGATTGATGATCGAACTTTAAAAGCTTATCTAAGTCATAATACAAACTGGAATTTAGAAGAAAACGGACATGTCGATCATTTTAATTTATCATCAAGTGGCCATGGTGAAAAATTTCTTAATAGTAGCGTTCATTTTCCAGCTGAAATGAGGTACGAAAAATTACAATAAGAGAATTTCCGAAAAGCAAACAACTGTTGCATTTAGATCGGCAAATCTTAATCAAATGGTATCCAGTATTGTTGATGAAAATAGTGAATATCGTGATCATGATATGATGGCAGCATTTTTTCAACATCAAACAGGATGGATCAATGGTGAACAATCGGAGCAACCGATACACTATGTGCAACATATGAAAAAGTAAGATATTGATTTAATAAATAGAAATCACTATAGAAAATTTCACACCAAGCATTCTTGATTCGGAATCATAGTCTATTTTTTTCAAACGATCAACATTTTTTTATAAGAAAAATAAAAGAACTTTCCGGACACACTAGCCACAATTTCTATGAAATATAAGTAGACACTTGAAAATTTCGAATCTTAATGTTTAACCTTGACGAGAAAAAGTATGCGATTTTTTTAACAGCATGTTCATTCAATAAATGATTCAAGTTGTCGTCATCGATGGCATAGGTAGAAATTCTAACCTAGCGATAGTTTGTTTTAGTGCCGTAATCATAAAGGTGCTCGTTACAGGAGCACTCACAGAATATCACGTAAAATCACAAGCGTTAAATCATTCGATAGATAGCAAAACTCTTAAATCTATTTCACGATATTTTCATCACAAAAAATGTTTCTTCAGATAACTCAAATTCTAGAATTTCAGCACTCGAAATGTATGTATACCATTGCCTTTAAAATACAGAGAGCGAGACACTGTAAACAAATTTATTTATCGAAGTTATTCATTCTCTATGAAATAATCGTTTACGAACTTTGTTCGTTGAATCTAAAACAAAATAACTTTAATTATCGTCTTTGAATATTAAACAACAACGTCCGTTTGAACTTTCCAAACACTAGGTTCTTGCTGGAAAAGTAAATGCTATACTTAGTTCACTATTTGAATTCTTTTTCAAAATCTTATGCAATAATTTTGATACCGACCATATTATTTTTTTCTCGTAGATGATCTCCAAAGTGTTTCTCTTTTTAGCATTTCGTCACAACAAATGAGACATAATTCATCATCATTTTCTGAAAGTGGTCATCCACGAAATATTCCTGGTAAAATATCTTTTGTGACCGTTTCTTTTTTTTTAAATTTTAAAATTTAAAGATTTATCTTCTATGCATTATAACCCACCGAAAGATATTCAAGTTCTTGTTCGTAAAGGTGATCATACCGGTATCAATTCTCTTATAAGAAATGTGTCGCTACAACAATTTCGTCAGATGATTGGTTTGCAACGTAGTGCAGGTTTAACAGCAATGAATGATCGAAAAAATCGTAACAATAATAATCTCAATCAACAAACATCATCATCTTCATCTTCATCAGCAAGTTCATCATCATCATTGCCACCATCAAACATTCGTCTTATCAATGCATTCAAACAAAAAGAAAATAAAAAATTAAATCACCAATGGTCACAAGATACAAATTCAAATAAGCTTATTTTACAGCAACAACAACAGCAAATGTACACTCGACAGCATTCATCGATGCCATCTTGTATGTTTTTTCTTTCTGTCTCTCTCTCTCTCTTTGTAATAATCTGTTCAATTTAGATGATACAATGTCAGCCATTAATGATGGTAATTTAACAACATGTCAAGAAATTAGGTAAGAAAACCATCCTTCATTCGGTTTTGATAGGTACATTCAATATCATCTTGTATTTAGTTATTTTCGTTCCAACAGGTACTGCATCTTCCAGTGTTTTTTCTTCCTTTGTCTAACTTTCTCACATCAGCAAATCGATCTTCTAATATTTTCATGTCTACAAGCATAGATTATGCACCATTAAACTGTGTTCTTTTTAATTTAAGAGATACAAAAAATAACTCTTGTTTTTTTTCTATTTTAGACGAACAGGCGTTGCAAATACATTACGTAAGTTCAAGATTCTTTCTATTGAAAATTCTTCTATGATATTCAATTCTTTAGATATTGCTATTGAAAAATGTTATGAACAACTCAACTATATTCGTGATAGCTATGCAGAAGTAAGTTTTCGAGAGATAATCATTCATGGAATAGAATGGAACCAAATAAATGAAAATCGTATTGATTTTTCAGACTGAATCAAAACTCGGTATTCAAATGTTACATAAATCAGCATCGTCATCAATACTTGATGTAACAAATACAAACTTTTTAAGTCTTTCAAATAACCCATCACGTGTTGATCGTTTAATTGTTGAATATCTTTATGAATATAGTCGAGTAAGAAGATTTCACTAAATTTTTATTTTCATATTAAAAATCTATTTCAATAGATAATACGTTTGCATGAACGAATTCGAGAATGTTTAAGCATTCAAGATATTGAAGCAACAGGAGAAACACTTGATGAATGGCTCAATACAATTAATATTGTTCAAGACCGACGTCGACAAGAAATTGAGAATGCAACTGAAAAATGTCGTTCCGGTGAACCACGTTTGCCTGATGAAAAAGGTTTGGTTTACGTCACTTCTCGTCTTATTTTGTTTTTCTTACTTGTGAAAATTTTAGATGTTTTACAATTAGCCGACGCCTTACGTATTTTACGTATAACAACACGAAAAATTCGAACTGTACTTTGGTATTGGTTATATTGGTCGACAAATTCAACAACAAATAAAAATCCATTGATTGCTCGTCATCAAAACGAAGTCAAACAATATCCTGTATACGATGGAATTTATACAACAATAAATGATGAAAAAGTAATCAGAAAAAAACAACAACGGCAAAAAAATAATTTCGTTTTTTTTTCTAGAGTGAAAATCTATTTTATAACGAATTATTTGATATTACTGAACCGAATGAACAGCAAATCTTGGTATTTAAGAAACAGTCATTGCCATCAAATGAAAATAATAAAGAGAATCAATTTAACGAATGATCTATTTTAGATAATCGTAATAAAAAGCATTTGTGATGAGATATTTTTGTTTTTGGCCTTTATTTCATTCGTCCATATATTGATGCCTTTGTTGTAACGTTCCTGTATTTTTTCTTTCTTTCTTTCTTATGCCGGTAGTTCATATATATGTATATATATATAACTATATCTAAGAATTGTTCATTAGCCTTTTTGTGATAGGAACAGTTAAAAACTTGTTGCTGCTGTTGTTGTTATTGCACCTCACTAGTCGTTTTTTTTCTTTTTATCTCTTCTATTAAAAACAAAATACGCGTCCGGTGACGTGTTTGAATGTTACTCTAGTTTTGTTAGTTATTTCATTCTCAATCAATCTTTATTTGTTTTCTTTTCTTTTTGTTAGACTGTTGACTCATTTTTTTGCGGCTATGATAAAATTGTTTTTTTTTGCGTAGCTTTGTGTGTGTGTAGAATTCAATAAAATGATTATGATCAATGGAGACGAGTTTTTTTTCTATGAGACCAAAGAACTAATCCGATATTTATGGATACATCAAACTATGATGCAATCTTATTAACAAGCCATTTAAAAAAGAGACGCTATTGATAACTTGACGAGCTCTTGGTGTAATCCCTGTGTGAAACGTGACGTGGCAGACACTTTTAATCACAGGAGGTTTTCACCGTTTGATCAAGTCTAGAACGATTGTCTATATCATGTTTTCAGCTAATCCTGTAAAATTCAAACAAGAACTTAACTTTCTGATAATAAGGAGAAGGTATAAATTGCCAGTTTGACGTCGCGTGAGATCTGATGATCGTATTTGAGCAAGATCTATACAAACATGCTAATTTCTAGAATGTGTTTCACAAAAATATCTACAGCTAATGTTGATAAATAAAATTTTATGATCGAAATTATGTTTTTTTTTTGAAGTTTGGGATCATTAGCAACAGATTGAGCCAAGTGTTAAAAAAGTTGAACAAATAAGATAAAAAGATACGTCACGTATTGAATCGTAAAAGTTCAATTCAATTTTCATATCATGTTGATCTCATTGGTAAATCAGAAACTATTTATTTCGTTGAATATTGATCATCGTCACTGTGCGAAAATATTCTACGATGTAATTAAACTGACAGGGTGTCTATTTAAAATCTCACCAATAGCAATCTTCACATAATACAAACGATTTCTTTTTCAAACATCTGTTTTCTTTGTTCATGTTTATCGCACCTTTTAGAAACGTTTGAATAGACAACAGTCTTTTTCTTTCGGCCATAATTCAGCAAAACGTTGTCGACTAGAAAACAATGATCGTTGTTATAGCAGACTTTTCTTCCGCTATAAACAATCATTGACCACGAAATAGAATTTCTGTGACATGACAGCTATATAAATCAATTCATCCTATAAAACATTTATGTTTGTAATCATATGTATTTTTAATAGTGTGAAAGTTCATTCATCTTAGTGCACACAATTTTGGATACGTAATCATTATAAATATTGATACTTTAAAAGATAATTTCTTTTTTCATCGCATAATGCAAGACTTTCAAAAATGAGATTCATGTAATAGATGTGCTTCGGTTTTAAAATCTCAAAATATTAAGGACTAACATTGGTACGAACTCATTGGATTGATACTCATTTACCTTCTGCTCGTGTGTCAATTGAAACAATCGTGAACCATAAACTCGCATTAAAATATTCTTTTTAATAAGATGATTTTCGCATGATGCTTTCCTCCACTATTCATGACTATGTGACAATAAACAAATTTCTTTGTGAATTGTTGTTCTATTTTTTCTCGAGTGTGTCAATCATCTTCAGATGTGCCGTATATATAGATGCTTGTTTTCCGTGCACATCAATGGTTATCTAAGTTAAAAGAAAGGCGAACACAAATGCTGGTCAATGTTTTTTTTCTTCAATGGTCATGGCCGACGCCGTCAAGCTGCGAAACTATAGAACAGAAAGGAAGAAAAAAAAGATGAAAGAGACCTACGCACATAGGGCATGTAACGGTTGTCCTATTCATTTATATCCATTGTTTTAATCCATATATTTGCCCGATTGCATTTCAGACATACACACATTCTTCCAATGGCAAACCAACAAACAAATACTACAGGTTTTTCTTTGTTTATTAAATCATTGTAAGACAAGTTATTTTTTTAAAATTATCTATAGATCCTAATGCAGTTATTAAAATCAATGATCTATTTCGTACATTTAATATGTATGAAAATATTGAACCATTATCAGATGAAATCAAAGTATTTCAATGTGAAGAAGCTGATGAAACATCATCGATCAATAGTTCTCTTAGTGCAATGTCTTTAAGATCGATAGCAAATAGTCGCTGTAATGAAAATGTATCTGTTAGTGGTGATCTACAACAAAGATTAAAACGTATTCATCAAATGGTTGCATCACGAAAAGAACTTAAAGATAATGAAGAAGAAACAATACCAGTACGTTTTATAAGGTGATTATTTTAGATCTAAATTCATAGGTTCTATTCTTGTAGATTCGAATAGAACGTAATGATGGTGATGATGATGAAGATGAATATGATGAAGAAAAAGGTTTGAGTTTGTTTTCGACTTGCTCGTGTTAATATAATTTTTATTTTTCTTCTAACCATTAGGTGCTCAATTATTACAAAAAATGATCGCTTCCGTACTTAAACCGAAGAGTAGACAAAAAGAAGCTTTTATACAAGTTCGCATTTATATATATAAATTCATTGTCATATCTTGTTTCATTTTTTTTTAGAATATAAGTTTCAGACCAGACATAGTCACAAGTACAACAGATAAAAAATTTTGCCTGCCACAACATGAGAAGTCAGATAAAAATGGAAGAAACTAATCGCTATTAATATAATTATTATTATTATTTTGTAATTGTCAAATATGAATTTTTGTTCTCTTTGTGCGCCAAATGTAACTTTTCTTTTTGATATTGTTTGCTGCTTAGCAATAGTTATAAATGTTGAATGTAAATGGCGGGGCGGTAATGCCGTGATTGGTTATGGACGGGAAAAGAAATAAAAGTGAAAGCTAAGTTTACTTATTGAATAATAAAAGAAGTTAGCGTAAACATGGCGGTTACTAAAGATAATGAACTAGACGAAAGTTCAGAAGTAATTACCGAGGAAACAACGCCGGTTGCGTCGCGTGCTCAATCAAATTATAGTACACAACGAACGAAATTATTAATTGCACCAACGAAATATGGAGAAAACAGAGCACAATATTTATGGAGATTATTGCGCTGTTCGATTCGTCGAACGATTGAGACTGTTTCACGTGCTGATGATACCGGTAGGAGATGAATTCTATGATTTTTATTGATGATGAAATAAAAATAATGTCAAGTTTTCATATTTTTTGTAAAATGATATAATAGAGATGACACGATTGTTTACGAAGAAATACATGTAAACTCAGCATATTGATAACACTATAAAACCTCGAAAAACTCCACTGACATATTAGTTCTATTCATACATCTTACTTCTTAACTGTTTTTTTTCGAGTGTTGTCTCTTACTGTATGTAAATTTCAAAAATAGATATTGAACGATCACATGGTCTACATTTTGTAAGAAATATGAATCATGAAATTCAAGTAGAATGTGTTTCATTTAATATTAAACAAAAAGTAAGAATAATTGATTTAGCTTTTCTGCAATGTTGTCGTTTTCATTATTCTTTAAAAAGGAAATTATAAGTATTGACAATAGAAGAATCGCTCGCATCTATCATTCTGATGGTCGAGCATTCAAAAAATTGAAACTTGGTATACAATTAGATCAATTATTGTATTGTGTAAATGAAGATGAATTTATTGGTTGGTCATTAGAAAAACGAGAAATTCATGTGTTTGGTCCTGATCTTGACATTTTGTCAACATCAACGTGTGATTACAATATTAATGGTTTAAGTTATAATGAATTGACATCAGATGTATTTACTTGTGGACGTGGTGTTACCGTACGTGTCAATTCCTTAGCTTCTTTGTATAAAAACTATTTCGAGTTTTATTAAGGTTTGGCAATTTCGTTATAATCGAAAACATCTATTACCTAAATTTGAATGTCGAGAAGGTTTTTCAGACAATATTGAGTTTACTATATTAGCTGCTGAACAAGCAGGTGGCAATATACAACGATTATTTGTTACATCGGGTTATGATGTTTTGGTATTGATCCTTAGTTTAATTTCTAAAATCCTAGTTTTGTTTGATTTTGTGTTACAGACTTTCAATGTAGCAGATGAAGGAAAAGTATGTTCAATGAAACAAGATTTACATGTGCGACCGATTGTAGCCATGCTTTTTCATGAACAACGCGATGTTTTGATTACAGCTGCTCGCGACGGATCTAGTTTGTTGACAAAATAAAACGAGATGCGATTGAGCAATTTGATGTTTTTCTTTTGCTTTTAATTTAGTTAAAGTTTGGGATCATCGTTGGTTTATTCTATTTGCTTATGTTGGTCATCAAGATCGTGTATTATTTTTAAGTAAACATCCATTTGGACCCTATCTTATTTCGAGTAGTCAAGATCGAACTATTCGAGTATGGAGTCTTGAATATGGTGATGTTGTTGATGTGTAAGTAAATAGATATTTCTTTGATTTTTGAATACGATTTTTTTCTTTTGGTTTTAGTATTCCAGTACCTGAACCTGTATCTCATATGAATGTAACACGAAATTATGAAAAATTTCTTGTTAAATCAATCAAATGTTTGCAGCTATGGTGTGTAAAACATTATTGTGATTTTTTAACTTTTGCTGGGTATGTTAAAATAGTAGTGAGAATGAAAATTAAAGATGAAAATCTTTTATTAGATCACCTATTCTAAAAACAATCTGTACGACACATCCTGATTATCCAACACGAACAGTTCTTCTATGTAAAGATTCAACTGCACGAATAGTTACTTCTGTTAATGGTGATGTATTAACAAGTCTTGTTTGTGATTTAAATTTTAAAGCCACATCATGTGCATATGCAATTGGTGAAAGTATGATTGCTACTTTGGTTTTTTGTTTGACTTCCAAGCTGTAAAAACATTCTGTTTTAGATGTACTGTTTGTTTGCAATGGCACTACGTTGATTAAAGCAGATACCACAGTAAATCCTTGTAAAATTATGGAAAAGTTTAATGTAACGGATTGTAAATAGACGAAACAAAAACATTGTTTTTGTTTTTGTTTGACAATTGAAGGTTCTTATTTTGTTTATTTAGATACAATTGATTGTTTATCAATATATGAATATGTAACGCAGAGTGATATGGACGAAACGCCAATGTTTAAATCATTAGTGACAAAACCATCGAGTGAATTAGTACATATTGCATTAAAAGGTTTCAGTAGAACGTTATTAATTGCTGGTTTAAGCAACGGTTGTATTGCTGTTTTAAATTGGAATACTGGAGAAATTGACTTTTCTATGGAGGTAAATTAGAATTTTCACGTATCAAGAATTTGAGAATGTTCAACGATTTTTTTCATGAACTTGAAAGAAGTTGATTGATAAAACTAGGACACACAAACAAGTCAATCTCGTTCATGATGATAGATGTATAGCACATAATATCTTGTAACAACGATTCACTTAAAATATTGATGTACCGTAGGATTTATATGAACAATAGAATGCTTCTATTTAGATGCATTCAGCTCGTCCGGTTGTTGATATTATTTCTAATCCAAGTACCGATCAGATAATATCGTGTGGTGCTGGTAAGAATATAAATCCCTTCGTTGATGATATTCTTAAATTTACTTTTGCCATTAAGATTTAATTGTTCGCATTTGGCGAGTGTTTCCTTATGCTGTTGAATCACTCTCAGTTGTCCGTTCAATCTTTTGTGCTCTACCACCTATTCATCTAGCTATGATAAAAAAGTCACTTGCTGTTGCTTTCCGAGAAGAATCAACATTGACACATTCATTAATGATTTATAATTTAGAAAATAATGGTAAAATTTCCTGTTTTATTTTGGTGTTTTAACTTTTTACAATAATTTTATTTGTTCCAATATCCGTAGAGCGATATGATCATTTACCAGAAACTGATCACTGTGATAAAATAACAGCCATAGCAGGCTGTTCGAAATTAAAAGTAGTCGCTACTGGTAGTCTTGATGGTACATTAAGAATATGGAATGGAAAAAATCAATTGATCAGGTTTTGAGAGATATGAATTTGTTGAATCGAATAAATGATTTTCTTTTTTAAGAATGATTGTCATTCATGATAATATTCATTCGTTGGGTTTTTCAAATGATGCTGGAGATTTAGTTATTGGTATAGGCGATCATTTATACAAAATGTTACATACAGCATGTAAGTCTATCAAAAATTGAGGACAAAAATGAGGCCGTGATTTATATGAATAGAAGCTGCCCGTAGACTAGTCAAAGGATAGATTTTTGCGAAAAATTATTTTAATTTTATGTGGGCATTGCTTCTGACGTATTTACTCGTTATTCTATTGATGAAACGTTGAGCAAATTTATATTGAATACTTTTATGAGTATTGACAGTAGTTTAATGAGAAATTATTCTCTGAGGAAAGAGTTGCGTTATATAAAACGAAGAGTGGTTGTTTAGCAGAATTCAATGGATGAATTAAAAAAAACACTATTGTGTGAGTACACTTCATTTATGAGTATATGACTAATATTAGACACGAAAGGGTACGAAGGAGAGCTGTGTCTCTCATTACTTGCACAAAATCTATTATTTATCGTGTTTTTGTTTTTCAAAATAAAAGATTTGCCGAAAGCTATTTTATTTAAAACAATATCAATGCAATTTAAGCAAGAAATACCTGAAGTGAAAGAAAGTGAAGAAACGGACAGTGCTCAATTGACGCGTATGTCATCAGCGGATCTTATTCGTTTGAAACGAGCCCGTAAAGCAGAAAAAATGTTTGTAAAAAAAGACTTATCAATTATACTTAAATTGTGAATAATTTTTTGAAAATAGAGAAATGAATGTTATTCCTGAAAATGTCGGCGTTTCCGAATTTCATGCACGATCAATGGAACATATGAAATTAAAAACTCTTGTAAAAACATGCAAATGAAACTTTGAAAAAAGAGAATCTCTTTTTGTTTGTTTAAGGAATTAGAAAAATTAGAAAAACGTGATATAGAAATTGCATTAATTGCAGAAGGAAAAATTCAACGAACAAAAAAATACAAAGTATCATCAAAAGTTCGAAAAGAAGCATTTAATGAATATATGAAATTATATTTAAAAGAACCAAAAAAAGGCGTAAGTTTTTTTTTCTTTTGCCTTTCGGATATTAGCTAATATATATTTAATCGATTGAATATTTTAGTTATTAGACGATGATATGTATAAAATAACAGATCAAGACTTATTTGGGCCACCACCATCGAGTAAGATGAAGATTTTTAATAGAAATCTACTACGATTTTTTTGTTCGATTCAGAATTGGACACGTTTATAACTCAAAGAGATGACGAGGGATTTTTTCCTTCAATAAAAGAAGCAAATCAAGATCCTCTATCGCAATTGTATCAAGAACGTCAAAAAAAATTATCTGAACTTCAAGAACATTATAGTAATCAAGCACCACGTCTCAACGATGATATTCGTATTATCAAGCAACAACAAGAAAAATATGAACTGAAAAAATTACTTAATAATAATCTAGAAAAAATAACTTTACCTGATGATCGTCCTCATTATGGACCTGGTGCTGTTGTGCCGAATTCTGTTTTGGTAAGAGATAGAATAGTCCATTGTTCGTATCGGTTTCTATTCTTTCTTAACTGTTTAGGCTAAATTACTTTGGCCTAATCGACAACCCAAGAAACCAGTACGAGACGAATGGATACCACCTGTTTTATCTGCAGAACAATTAAAAGCACTAGAAAAAGAAACTCCAGTTGTGAGTAAAATAATAACAAGTTTAACCACGAATTTAAGTTTCTATATTATCTCTACAGCGTCTACCAGGAAAAGCTAAAGAAGTTCCAAGTTCTGAACCAGTTGTAAGGAGAATTTGTCCCTATGTACACATAAATTATACACGCTATTTTGTTCCCTATTCATATGCACAAATAATGAACTACCCATTCCATTTAGATTGGACACATTAGAAAGAAAATTTTTAATTTAGGATGAAGAAGCTGAATGGAAAGAATTAATGGAAGCAACAATGAAAAAGAAACTCGATGCTGATGACGATGAGATGATCGAACGTTTAGAAAAACAGAAGAAGAAAAATCAGAGTGATTTTATGAAACATTTAACTGATCTTGCACAACAAGCTGCTGAGCCGATTTCATCAGCAGAACCTGAACCATTCGGTGATGAACTCAATCCTGTAAATTATTTTCATTTATCAGCCTGTTACTATTTTTATTCTTTTCATTTTCAAGGAATCTGCCGGAGCAGCTCCAGGTTCATCACAACCCAATAGTCGATTGGCTCGTCAAGTTCCATTACGACGTCCACCAGTTGTCAAAACCGCTACGCCATCAAAACCGGCTCGAATACCTGTTAAAGTCATACCAATCGCTACTAGTGAATCAACACAAACCATGGAAACACGTGTTAAAACTCCACGCCAATTTTCAGGACCATTTACGCGTTTTATTGATAAACTTAAAGAGTTAAATTGGTTTGAAGAACAATATCCATTAGTTAAAGTTGATGTAAGTCTGTTGTTTTTTGTAATTCTCACGATAACACAAATACAATGATTGATTTCGAATAGGGTTTTCTCGACAATTGTGATGAAGGCGTATTTCCAACTGATGTATTACAACGCATAGATTTCATTTCAGCTGTTGAAAATCGTATTGTAGTTTTACATGAAATTGAAAATTTGTATCGTGCTATCCCAATAAATGATATTGGACGTGATACAGTTGTCGATAGAATTTTATTTCAATTATCTAAATTTACTCCACCGAATTATGGACCAAACGATATTGAATTTATTACAACATATCTTCGTTTACTTGCTCATATGAATAAAATGACAATGGACGTTGTTGCTGAATTAATTTTTTGGTATTTAGATGGTGGTGAACAAATTCGGTAGCGAATCATCTTTTCACTGAAGCTTTTCTTTTTATGTGTTAAATTTTATTTTTATTAGGCCATTTGTTAAGAATCTATTTAATCGATGCGGATTGGATGATCCATTCGGTCATTTCTATAGTGAAATGGATTCATGGAAATTATGGGAACTCAATCCAATTGAATCACGCAGCACAGGAATAAAATCACTTGCTACTGAATGGCTTCGACAGTATGTATTTCGAATAGTAAAACGAAATAATGAATGAAATCGTATCCGAGATCTATGAATCAATAGAATATAGAAAACCAACTGACTTTTCTCGTATTTGAGTTGCATGTGATCAGATAATATGAAGTATTTGTAGGCATCGTACTATTTTATTCATTGATATGTTTAACGAGTGTGAGTTTCTATGCAGACATGCTAAACTATGTTTTCAGGTGTGATAGGAAATTTCATCGTTGAAATATGAGTACATTTTAGAAATACAAGAAGATCTATTTCGATTATATCGAAGAGAATAGTGCATACCGATATTTATAGTTAAGTTCGATTGATTCTCGTATGATTTACCTCGATCCTTATTAAGACACTATATGAAATGTCTGATATTTTAGTGAAGCTTTTGTTCATTTGATAGAAATTCACGCTGTTAGAGTATACATGGTGTATGATCTTCTAATAGGAAGTCAATAAATCATGCGTACTTCCGATTTGTCCGCTCCGGAGCATCTCAATCTTGAGAAGGGACGGCGGAGCAGATGACTCCACTAGTTTATTATCTATACATTATCAATCAAAAATAGAAAATTCAATTATAACCAATAATTTTGTCTACTATTATATTTTTAAACAGATATTTTTTGAACATTTAATACGTATTGAAAAATTTCATTATATTCATACATTACTGCATTCGTCTAATATTTTATTAAATAGATGGTTACGAGCATTCCGTACACATATTGAAGAAATGCAGTTCCGATTGAAAAATGGTGATATACATGTGCAAATAAGTAATGCAACATCAAGAGCCTTAACTGGTGATACATCATTGGCAGTATGTTTATATTTATATTTATATTTCAATATTTTATTTAATAATTATTTTATTTTTCTTCAGACAAGATCATCAGTCAATGGCAAAAATGTAACAATAACAGTAGATGGATTACCACGTGTAACTACAAGCAATATATCATACATGGAAGTAATAAATTATTTTGTTGAAATAACTCAAGATCAAATAGAGGAGCGCAATCAACCAAGAGAGAAGCCTGATAATAATACAATTCTTGTTTTACCGAAAATTAATAAGTAAAGTTTATTTTTACTGTTTTTGTTTTTATATTTAACATAAATTGTCTTCTACTTCATCTATAGACAATCTGCACTCGTACGATTGGGAGAATCACATACTGATTTTCATCGACCAATTAAACGATACCGTAAATTGAACAAAATTATATATTATCTTTTCCTAAAAATAGATTTTTTTATTTTTATAGCACTCCTTCTACCGCATGAACATCGTTTTGAACCAGGTGATCTTAGTATGGGACGATGTATTAATTATCCAGTGAGAAAACTATTTCTCGATCCATTTCGCCGTCAAATTTTTTCTGACGATGTTGATTATGAAGATTGCGCACCATACTTACTTACACTTAAACTAGCACCAAAATATTTTCTACCTGTTCTTTCACAAGTGACCAAAATTTAATTCATTTTTGTATAAAGAAATAAATTCTCATTCTCATAGCATTTATATTGTAAAACTATTTTATTTTAAGCAAAAGTAAATCATAAATACATATGTCGATCAGAAGATATTAGCTACGTTATTGATTAATCAATGTTTAGACGACACTCGTTTACTGAAGGATCATAAAGATCGATTTTATTCATCATATATAGTCACTAATAATAGCAACAACTTGAATTCCTGACAGAAGTGAACATCTACTGACGATATTAAAATTATCAGTTTATTCAGCAGTTCACATTGATTTAATCCAAATGTCGAACGCAAGATTTCCGACGATACGAAACTAGAGTCTATCTACTTATATATAACCTATTTTTATAAAGGTTCCAGTTTACCATGAACTCAGCATGTTGTTTTCTTTTGGGCAGGTTATTTTCGTCTTACACATTACATAACCTTGGTGTTATGTAGTGACATCTTTCGAACCATTACTTGATTAGTGTTTAGTCGTTGGTATATACGATGTACTCATTACTCAAAACTTTGTGTACTTTTATTTCTTTTTTCTGGAGTCCAAATCTATCTATTTGTAGTTTCATCTATCTAGATGTTTCGCGCAATCGTCAATACGGCAACACCAATCAATGGTGCAGGTCGATTAATTTTTGCACAAGTTTGTATTTTCAGTTTATGCGGTGGAAATAGGTTATTAAGGTTATTTTCATAATTCAGATTCGTAATGCTGCAGCTCAAGCATCAGCAGCCAAAACAGCAGCTGCACCACGCACTAAAACCGTTTCAATTTATCGATGGGTTAATCAACTTAATTTGATTATAACTAAATAGTTTTACTTATTTTCATTATTATTATTATTTAGAATCCAGAAGAGCCAAGTAAAAAGCCTTTCCTACAAGAGTACAAAATCGATTTGAACGAGTATGTTTTTATCAGCGAAACAAAATCTAAGATGATTATAGAAGCTCTTCTTTTTTGTTTTAAAGGTGTGGTCCTATGGTTCTTGATGCACTTCTTAAAATAAAAAATGAACAAGATCCAACATTAGCGTTCCGTCGTTCATGTCGTGAAGGTATCTGTGGAAGTTGTTCAATGAATGTCGATGGTCGTAATACACTTGCTTGCATCTGGTAAGAAGAATCGATTTGAAAATATTTCTATTAAATACATTTTTTTATTTTTCTAGCAAAATCGATGAATCAACCAGTAAACCACTTAAAATTCATCCTCTGCCGCATATGTATGTTATCAAGGATCTTGTTCCGGTACAGTTTAATTTTGAGTAAAAAGGAAACCTCATTTAGACTTTCATACGGATTTTATTTCATAGGATTTTACAAACTTCTATATGCAATATAAGATGATCGAACCCTACTTAAAACGTAAAACACCAACACCAGTTGGTGATAAACAACTTTATCAAAGTGAGGAGGATCGTAAAAAATTGGTAAGCTGTTGCGTTCATAAAAATCGTGCGAAAATTTTACCTGAGAAGTTATTTTAGGACGGTATGTATGAATGCATTCTTTGCGCATGCTGCTCAACATCATGCCCCAGCTATTGGTGGAACGCTGATAAATATCTTGGTCCTGCTGTTCTCATGCAAGCTTATAAGTATGTTTATATTTTGTCAATTTGACATAATAGAAACGAAATTTTTAATTTTAGATGGATTGTTGACTCTCGAGATGAATATGCCAACGAACGTTTGGAACAATTCCGTGATGCATTCACACTTTATCGTTGTCATACAATTATGAATTGTACCGAAGCTTGTCCAAAAGTAAGAGATAATTGATAATAGAATTTTTACCAATTTTTGCTTTATATTTTTAGGGTTTAAATCCTGGAAAAGCTATTGGTGAAATGAAAGGATTGCTGGCTAAAACTGCAACGATGCCACATAAAAATTCAGCAACTGTTGGTGTTGAATATAAATAGCAAGGATATAGGATAGAGAAAAAAACATTATTACATTAACCATTTTATTTTGAGAGGACAATTTGAATATATATATGGATCTGTACCCGTGGTGTAACTAGTGTACTCCTTACACGTATCCTTTTTTCTTTGGAAGACTCAATAATTTCAAAAAGTATCATTTAGAACACCAAAAAAATAAACGTATGATTAGTTAACATAAATTGTCTTTTTTTTTGCTTGTCAAATATACACAAAACAATCTTCATTGTCACCATGAGCATTATGAAATCGCTAATGATATCAATCTAATCAGTCAATAAGTTCTTCGCAATGTTTAATATTTTAAATTTATATAAAGAAAAAAACTTAAAAATAAGTGAACAATCATTCGAGAAACGGAGTTAGATGCATATCGATTTATGTTTTCATGTAAATTATTCTATATCTTTGTGATATTTCGTCTTGGTAAGATCAACGGAAAAAGAAAACTTGGTGGAATATGGAAAAAATGAATTCGTTCTTAACTATAGTTCATGAACAGGTCTATGTGTGTTGTTTTACGAGTCCATTGCAACATGCTGTTTTTATTTTGTTTCCGTGGTCAAGACGAAATATCACAAAGAAATAGAATAATTTATGATTTGATGTGAAAGTTATTCGAATGTAAATTTGTCGACATTTTCTATTATAAAAGGAAAATTGCGTTCCTATGTTGGAATTTGAAATTTCTTTTCGAACGTGTTATTGCACTTAACAGATGGTACTAAAATCAATAAAGAAGATAACCAGTTGATCTTTTGCTATCAATATACTTTGATGAATAGTTCAATATTTCCACGAAACCAAATAAGTGATGGTTTCAGTATTTTGCCAATAACTCTGTCAGTTTGTATTGATTCGAACTCGGCCTTTGTTAAAATGATTCAACATTCGGTACTTTACGAAAGTACTAATAAATATTTTGACATATGGTCAAAATGAAAGAATAATAAATGCACATCTGTCGTGTCCAAAAATTCCATATTTCTGCATTTCATGAGCATCAGCTTTCAACTGTTGAAAATTTAAAGAATCAGAGTTTGACAAAACTGAGTTTGCTATTCTTGTATTTAAAAAGAAAACATTGGCTTTCATTATTATTGGAAAATCTCTAACTTTGCCGAAATGAGATATTTGAGTCAATTGATCTTCTTTTAAAATTATTGGCAGAGAGACTATTAATCACATGAATAAAAACAGTATCGACATCAACTTGATGCTTGATATCCGAACGTTAGATTTTGTATTGTAGAAAGTTTCCTCTATCACACTCTGTTGGACAAACAATACGTGGTTCTGCCTGAAAAAATATTTTTAATAGCACAATGTTTCTTGATTTTTATTTCGCTTTATAATAAAGACAAAATAGATAACAGAGCATTTATTTTTCTTGGAGAACCTAATTTTTAAGAATATCATATGTTGAAGTGATGCTTCTGATATGAAATCATATTGATTAAGATATTAGTGTTGTTACAGTAAGTGTTCCTCTATTTACCGATGTAAATATTTATTTCATAAAGTAGCATCCCTAATTTTAAAACGTTTTTTCATGAGTACTCTGTTCTTGGGAAAAAACATAAATCCATGGATACATTTCGGTCAGAAAGTTGACCCATTTGTAAGGTGCCGCTAAAGCAGAATTGGAGTAAATTTTGTTTCTCGTTTATTTATATATGGTTTGATAGAGCTTGAAAAGTTGATCAAGAATATGTACTTTTTATTTCGATTTCATCTTTTTTTGGCTGCGAAAATCTTCAAAAACAAGAACGACTGAAAAAATGCTGTTTTTATGTTAAATTTAAATTTTTTACAAAAACTACCAAATTTCTTTTTCAGTTATTTTCTGAGCATTTTTAAAGTACTACATTCTGAATCANAGCTGAAATAAAAATTTGGCAATTTTTGTAAGAAAAACAAAATTTAACATAAAAATATGTTTTTCTCAGGTGTTCTCATTTCTTAAGATTTTCTCAGCCAGGCAGTAACTGAATCGAAATAAAAAGTATATATTCTTGATCAGCTTTTCAAGCTCTATCAAACCATATATAAATAAGCGAGAAACAAAATTTACTCCAATTCTGCTTTAGCGGCACCTTAATATTTCCAGTGTTTTGTTATCGATTTTTTTTCACTTTGGCTGTATGATAAAAATCTCATAGTAGTTTCTTAGAAAATCGAATGTTGAATCTTTGTTTTTAAAAAGCGTAGCTCAAATCAAAGAAAACAGAGCTACTGATAAAATATAAAAACCTGCAATTATTTTTTAGATCATCCATTATACGTACATACTGTGAAATAAATAAAATTTGTCCAATACTAATTTGATACTATCTCGTATTCGACCATTCCGTATTTTAAATGGCAACAATACATTCATTTGTGTTCAATGGTGTCCATTACTAGACATACGCATGATATATGGTTACACAATGAAATAGAAATAATTAATTAGGCAAGCTAAGTGTTATATCTTTATATAAAACACTATAGGTCAATATTAGCCTGAACTTCAATTCATAATATTAATCAAATATTCATATTTAGTAGTGTGGATGTGGGTGTCCTTTTTTTCGTCGGGTTATCGTCGCAAATATTTTCTAATAAATATTTATTAGGAAATAATTTGATTTTGCATTTTGGTTTATGAGCAAAATTTGAACAGAAAAGCAATGCTAATAAAAAAATCGAATAAATATTTGGATTTACTTGATTTGATATACACGATCGTATCGTTGTTGGAATCATTTATTTCCTTTTATTTTAAATACTTTGGCAATTAGTTATCTATCTGGATTATTCGGAAATGTGAAGATTTGTCAACAGTGATCATATAAATTAAGAGAAATTCTAATTGACCAATAAATAATATATTTGGTTTACTTCATCTATGTTGATGAGGTATAGTTTAGATGTTGTGATGGTTCATCAATATTTTTCAAATGAAAAAGTTTCACCTTCGCAGCTTAAGCACAACAAATTTTATCTGAGTCCTCAGCAAAAAATCGTGCCCGTCTTTTTATGATTCAGCAGTAGGTTGTAAAATGCAAACAGAAACTTTCGTATAAAAGAATCTCTTTGGGCCCATTCACTTTTTCGCCCGTCGCCATATCCTTTGGCATGAATGTATTTTAATTGAACACATGATTTAATTGCTGTATAATTGTCAATATTTTCTTTGAGTGTACGTCGAAAATAACTTAATAGTCGCTGATTCTTTTCAGATAGAAGAAGAAAAGAAACCTTGCGAGTAGTAGTAGCTCTAAGAGTTACTGAATTTGAGAAAAGAAAGGACGTGCTGTGTAAAGAATTTTGAAAAACAGCGGTACATCTTAAAACAAAATTTCAAAAGCAAGACTAAATAATGCACGCTCTATACCTTACATGTCTATTAACGTGACTTCCTTTAATCTTTTCTTTTTGATCTCATTTCAAAGTGGAAAATTCCTTATTCAAACTTTATTAGCACTTAGTAATTTCACCATATTATGCAAAACATATTGATGTAGGTGGTAGTACGACTTTTTTTTACAGCGCAGATCACGTTAGAGAAACAGAAACAAACGTACACGTTTTGACGGTTAGCTGTAAAAATATATTAAATATATTTTATGACGCAGCCGTGAGTCATTCGCTTTTGTACAGATAAGTATATTTACGCATGTTGAAATCGTTTTCAACACAACTATCAGCGCATAAAGAAAAAGAACATGGCATTCTCATATGGAACTCAACAGTACGCTGCTACTAAAGATGATATGGCTGATGCTTACGAACTCGGCTCAGCAATGGCCCGAGAACAATTATCAGCCGAAGATAGACATCTTCTAGAAAATATTGGAGACGACGCAGTGATTGTTGTACCGGGTACATATGATCATATACATCAAGTTTTAACAAGCTTAAAAATTCCATTTAAAACAGTACATCAAGAAGAATTATTAACGTATCCTTTACGCCCAGCAGATCAAACAGTTTATGTTAATTGTGCTAGTTCATTTCCAGCTGCTGTTGCTCATCGCCTACGTAAATTTGTTGATGACGGTGGACAATTAATTACAACAGATTGGGCTTTGAAAAATGTTCTTGAAGTTGCATTTGGTGAAGTAAGTTTGTTATTCATCTATGTCTTAAATAAATATTTAATTTTGCTTTTCTTCTTCTTCTTTGTTGCAGTTCGTTCGTCATAATGGTCAAATGACGGGTGATGAAGTTGTTGGAATACAAGTCAACGATCCAACAAATCCAATTGTCGCTGGATTTTTACCAGCTGCAAAACATGTTGATCCACAATGGTGGCTTGAATCATCGTCATATCCCATTGAAATAGTCGATGCACAACGTGTACGTGTCTTAATTAAATCGAATGAATTAAATCAAAAATATAATGCATACGCTGTACTTATTACGTTTGACTGTGGCAAAGGTAATGTTATACATATGATATCACATTTTTATTTACAACGTTCCGAGACACGTGGTGAAAGACATAAAATGTCATCAGAGCAATTCGCTATGGATATGAATGTATCAGACGGAATTAAAGCTAAAGCTAAACAAATGAGCCATTTAAATTATGCTCAAGCACAGTCGTCGGCAACATCATCGGCATTTATATATAATCAATTAGCTGAGCGTATGAAGAAAAAGTCAAGCAATAACTGATTCTTTTATTTTTTATTTTTTATAATATATGATTCGATAGTCAATAAATATTAAAACAAGAGAAGACAGTTTGTTTTATGAAGAGTAAAACGAATACGTAAACCAATCTGTCGCATTGCAAATCTATTTACCTTGTTCTTGCTCCTTGATATACCCCACACAAGTTTTTTTTATATACGGAGTAGATAGGGATTAAGTAACTTTTGTATGTCATTCACTGTTGGTGATTGAATTATGTATGTGAAGAATAAAAGGCATGTCTAACATACAAAGTTCTTTTTGATTTATAAATCCAGTTGACAAATTTGCAAGAAGAACCTTGAAAAGTTTTCTCACAATCAACGTAAGAATTATTGATTCATATTAACATTGATTGAATATAATGATTTAGAATTGAAAGAATGGATTATGTAGCGACAACTTCATTTCGTGCACCAGAATTTAAACGAATCGATGCTCCTTGGATTGGATTGCTCATTTTAGGAATTATTATTTTTCTCTCGTCTATTATTAGTATAGCTATTGTATTTTTACTATGGCGTTACTTTCGACTACGTGCACAACTTACTAATCAAACTCAAACTCATACGCTAACTACTAATACGGCAACGGGTAAACGACCAATACCGGTACAAATTGAAGAGGAGCAACCACCAACAATTTACGAAACACAAGTATGTTTTCGTCAAAAACTGAGAGTAAATTTTTTGCAAAATCATATTCTCCTCTAGAAAATGGAAGTATTTGTTCCAACGAATACTGACGAAAGAAGTCACGGACGTTATCCAGTACGTGATGATATTGAACAAGTTCGTCGATTCTATGAAAGGTTTGCTTATGATACATAAGTAGATTTTTATCTTATTTTATTTTTATTCTAGAACAACAAAAGCTTATTTTTAATGTTTACAACAAACAATAGTTTGCATAACAAAGTTTAGGTTAGCTTGGAGTTAATAAACAAAAAAATGGCGTGCATAGTTTGAGAATATTAAATAAATTTGCTTGTTAAAGTTTTAAAATTCATTTAATTCAATATGGATAAAAGATCGTTTTTCATCGATTTATAATCATTCATTGTTTCAAGTATCGGTTGTTTCAAATCGGTTTTCGGTTTTAATACATCTGATAACCATTGAAGGCCATCGTGAAGACCATCACCTGTAGTAGCTACTGACGATTGTAAATGCCATTTTGTTTTCATTTCATCTAATTTTGATAAATCAAGTTTTTCTTTGATTTCATCGAGTGTTAATGCATTTGGTAAATCTTGTTTATTAGCATAGATGAGGATAGGTAAATTTTTTAACATTTCGTCATTTGCCAATGTATGTAATTGGTCACATGCATCACTTGTTCTGTCACGATCATTCGAATCGATAACAAAAACAACTGCTGACGTATTTGTATAATAATGACGCAAAAACGGCCGCAATTGATCTCTTCCACCAACGTCCCAAGCTGCAATTAATAGATTTTTATATTCCAATGTTTCCATATTGAAACCGATTGTTGGAATTGTTGTTACGATTTTACCGACTTTTAATGCATAAAGTATTGTTGTTTTACCAGCTGCGTCAAGTCCACACATGACCAGTCGTCTGTCATCGTGTGTAGTAAATGAAGATAAAAGTTTTTTGAATGATGATCCCATTTGATTTTGTTTGTTTTCTTACAGTCAGCTTACTGAAGAAAATTTCTCATTATATACATGTATTTTTTTTAAACAGTGTATTGCTGTTTTTCCTCGTTTCAAAATTTCATTCCACGTCATCAACAAAAGTCTCTTCTCTCCTTTATTTCGTCTTCCCTCGCTGACAACATAGACGTATATACGCGGCAAAAGTTGCACAATCATAATGAAATATTGTGTATCTTAATTGATTGTGAAATTTTTCTGACATTTATTAGATTATTCACAATAATGACAAAGATGCTAGGTATTCTCAATCATGTTATAATTTGAATATAAGCATTCTAGAGTGTCATTATCATCAAATAGAGCCTACATTTGATTAGTTTTTTTCATGCAACTGTTACCAATATTTTCTTGATGACTTAATGTTAGCGCAAGATTAATTGTTATTTTTTTCGTATTTCTTTTTGTGTAAATGCATAAATCTGTCGTCTGTTTCAAAGATCAACAATTCAACAGCATAGATTTTCAATTAGCAATACGGAAAATTTCTTGTTGATCTTGACACAAAATCCTACTCATGTGTTGCATATTATGTTTATAACTGTCATCGAAAGGATTGAACTGCTGCCTAGCAGAAAAAAATGCAGATCTACAAAGAGAATGTGAGAGAATTAGAGAAAGAAGAGGAAATAAAAGCGAAATCGATCTTTGAAAAAACAGGGGAAATAGCTTAGATGCTTTATTGCACTCTTTCTTCCATTACTTGCTCACGAGCAAGCCGATGTAGAATGCAGAGGCGACTGTAATAGTATGCTAGAATAGAAGAAGACTAGGAAAGAAAGCAGCGAAAAAAAAGCGTTTTTTTATTGATGAACAAAGGAAACTTCATCTTTTGCCTCTCCTTCAAAATGACTCTCTCAACACTCTGCTCTGGCATGCGCTATTTTTTTGTTAGAATTTGTGATCGTCCATAACAGAACAAGGCAATGAAAGAGGGAAAATGAAAAAAAAGAGTGCGTCTGTGTATGAAGCAGAGACAGAGAGAGAGAGAGAGAGAGAGAGAAAGTAGAAAAAGCGAGTAAAATAGAAAAGAATTCTTTTCCATAGCTTTCCTCATCGCTATCATCACGATAGAGTTCTATACTTGCATCAGATTTAGACAAGTGAAACATGTGTTTTGAGAGGATGAATAGTGAAGTTGGAAGAGAAAATAATGCAGATACTAGTAATGATAGAAGCACCAACACTACTATAACTACCAAGTATAGAGAAAAAAAGCAATCACTGACTTAATTAAATACTCTTCTTCTTTTTCGTCGTCGTCGTCGGCGTCGTCGTCGTCATCATCATCTTCTTCTTCTTCTTCCTGATTGCCGTTGTTGTGCGAGTCACTTCACGTAGACACAGTTAGCGTACCAAAATAATGATGGCTTACATAAGGGTGGATGGAAATAGGAAAACTTCTTTTACGTAATAATAGACGACCACAAATGTTGAAGTGAGTAAGATAGACATGATATGCAGTTGTATACATAAAAAAACATATTTTATGTTGAGCTATTTCTTTTATATTGTCGTTTTTATTTAATGATGTCGGCCAACAAATAAGTCATAAGTTTGACTGCTCACATATATTCGCAAATGATCGCCTCAATTTATATTTTTCTTCTTATCTTTCCGTTCCATTAATGCTATTAGATCTGTACAAGACTTTTCTTGATTAATCTTGTTATTCTGTTGCTACCATAATAGTTGTATACATGCTGTTTTTTCCGTCCATCAACGTCTATTAAAGTGTGTGTCAAGCATGATGAGATGCTACCAGACATTATCCTTTGACATTAATCGTGCTGTTATTTGCCATTTTCAGTCGCCATCTTGTATACACATGCATAAAGATCTTTCATCTCTACGTTTTACAAATTAGCTGTCGGTTCTGGTGATGATAGACGTTTACCGGCCTTCCTGTCATTTACGGTCTTCATCATTATCATCATCATCATCATCATCACCATCACCATATTTCTCTTCTTCATTTCTTTTCAGATAGTTGCTTTAAAAATAATTCTATACTTTTTTTTCTTTCTCTGTTCACATTCATGTTCATTCTCTGTTATTGTTATTCAGTTTAGCATTACGATACGCATAAAGATGCAATGATGTTCACCCGATTTTATTCACGTTTTGTGCTTGCTTCTATATGCAGATAGACTTTTGAAATTGACATACTGCTTAGCATATTGTATTTTCCTCTCGGCTTTCAGTATCAAATATCAATTATAAGACAAAGAATCTATGTTTTCCACCTGATTAGAAAAACAAAGCAGTTTTCTCTTATCCGCCTGTCTTTTCAAATTTCTTTTGTGTTTTCTTCTTGGAGTTCTTCCTCTGACGTCGTACATCTCTCGATGACATAAATGTTTCCTCTTTTTCTACGTTTTTTTTTATAGATGCGTATGTTAGGATATACTAATGGGAAAGACTAAAACAAGCATTTCCAGTTACAATATATGCGTCAACGATTTAATCTCTTTTATCTTTGTAGTTCTGTTTCCTTGCCTTTCTTTTTCTTCTCGCAATCTACTAATTTGCTTGTTCTACTTCGTATTTGTCATGATCAATTCTACTTGACTAGATTGAACATTCAAGCATGAGAGTCCGTGTCTTCTAGCAAATATTATAATTAGATTGTCAAGGTGAGGCTTTTTTTGTAAATAGGGAAACTGTGTAAGGGCACTTTTTATTATGAAAAAAAAACAACGTCAAACTAAGTTTTCCTTTCCTTTCCTTTTCTTTTCTCACTCTTCTTAAATACTATATATTTATTCTAAATTAAATTTCTGCCTCAACACTACAAATGAACGTGGGAAAAAAGAAAGATTATTGATTCTAAGCTGATTTCTCTGATACTTTTTTTTTGTTATCTATCATTTTTCTATCATTCTTCTACATATATACAACAGAGAATAATGATCGGACTCGCGCACACACACAGACACACACGGCATCCATATGGTAGATTGTTTTTTGATTTGACTGTCATCATATGTAAGGGCCAATCCAGAGGTTCAATACAACGCACCGGCAATAGACAAGAAGAAACTAAAGAATAAATCCAATTAAGTCTTGCTACTTCTATATTTGTAACGATCATTTGTTGCGACACTTACCCTCAAGAGAAGATGATGCTGAAGAGACATATATTTCGAAAAGGAAAATATTTCTTGTCTAATTGCCAATGCTGTTTTTTCTCTTACTTTCCCTCTCTCTCTCTCTCTCTCTTTCGGCTTATCCCTTCTCCATTTTGGAAACGCGGCGTTCCTTTTCATTTCGTCGCGTCTACTCTTGCTCTCAGTTATCTATTTAATGTTGTTGACATTTGTTCAAAATACATGACCTAAATGCCTTAAAAAGATCGGAAATTTTCTCTAATATTTTTGTTTCCAATTTGTTTACTCGTTGTTTTTTTTTCTTTCGTCATAATCGATCAAGTGCATTTACATCAAAGAATCCAATAGCATAGAAAGGAACCGAAGAGACGTAAGAATAATACATACTTATGCTTACATTCACATTGTTACGGTATACTAGCTTTTTTTCTTTCATCGAATCTCATAGATGAAACACAAAGTTTTCTTTTCTTCTTCTTCTTCTCGATGAAAATGCATACATCTTCTAGCAATACTCATCTTTTTTTCTTTCCTTCTTCAGTTACCATATCACTCGATCATCGCCATTCTTGTTTGCGCTAGTTCGGGCGACATAAAAATTTGTTCTGACAAAACACTCGTGTGCACACGACTTGATCGCATTCCCAACGTAATTTTCTGGTCTCTCATATATAACTGATTTGTCTATCTCTCCATCTTGCTTTATTCCTCTTGACTTCCTCTTCGTTTCTACGAACAACAGCGCCCGACTGCTACATCAATCACTTCTTTTTCTTCTACTACAAGAAACTTGTAGACTGCTGATGTAGTTCTTGTTTATATACATATAGATATATGCATACATGTATATGCGTATATTTTCATTAGTCATTTACACTTCATTATGGTATCGATGAAAGCACGTTATCAGAGAAGCTATTTTGTTTTCCTAGATAGTGCTGTAGTTGTTGACCGGTGCTTTGCATGTCAGGCCACACGTCAGCTATATGTATGAAGATATAAATTCGTTCTTGCTACGTCTGGATCTGACGGTTCAAATAATAAACAAGAACATCACCGTTATCATCATCGATGTTCTTTTTGTTAAAACATATTGTGAAACCTTCTTGACAGTTGTTGATATTTATCGTATGGCCGATGCCGATAATCGGGTTATTCTAAATGTAGGTGGTATTCGTCATGAAACATGTATGTATTCGAATTGTCGATGAATCTTTTTTTCATCATTTTTATAAAATTTCTGCTTTTTATTTTCAAAAAGACAAAGCAACCTTAAAGAAAATACCTGCTACACGTCTTTCCCGTCTTACTGAAGCTCTATCAAATTATGATTCTGTCCTTAATGAATTTTATTTCGATCGACATCCAGGTGTATTTGCCCAAATATTAAACTATTATCGTACTGGCAAATTACACTATCCTACTGATGTTTGTGGTCCATTATTTGAAACTGAACTTGAATATTGGGGCCTTGATGCTAATCAAGTCGAACCTTGCTGTTGGATGACATATACAACCCATCGGTATAAAATTAAATATTATGTTAATAGAAATTCATTAGTTTTTTTTTTTCTCATTTTTCTATTCTTAGTGATACACAAGATGTCCTTGTCGGTCTTGATCGCTTAGACCTTGACGATGAACCAATCACAGAAGAAGAAATTCCTCATAAATTTGGATGGGATTACGATCCAACAATTCGCCATAAAAATATGAGCGTACAAGAGTATATGAAAACATTAACATGGTTTAAACGTGTACAACCACGTATATGGCAATTATTTGAAGAACCTTATTCTAGTAGTGTAGCTAAAGTATGTTGTTTTCTTTTCCTTTCTTAAATTTTGATGATTCTAAATTAATAATTATTCTATTAGGCTATTCAAGTTGTTTCAATTTTTTTTATACTCGTTTCAATTATATCCTTTTGTTTAAAAACTCATCCAACAATGCGCGTCCCAACAATAGCCTTAATTGAGAATAATTTTACAAATATAACACCAACTTACACATTATATAAAGAACGAACAGAAGCTCATGAAGCATTTCAATATATTGAGATAGCTTGCAATGGTAAAACTAAACCTAAAAATAGAATTATTTTTGTTATTTGAAAGAATTCATTTTGTATTCATTTTTAGTTTGGTTTACGTTTGAGATAATTACACGTTTTATAGTATCACCAAAGAAATTTGCATTCACTCGATCGCCTGTGAATATTATTGACTTTCTTGCAACATTATCATTTTATTTAGATATACTATTTAATAAAGTATTACCACCATCATTAACAAATACAGATTTATTTGAATTTTTTTCTATAACACGTATATTTCGTTTATTTAAATTAACACGTCATTATGGTGGATTAAAAATTCTTATACATACATTTACAGCATCAATGCGCGAATTAATGTTACTCATATTTTTCCTTGTCTTATTCATTGTCATATTTGCTTCACTGATTTATTATGCTGAAAGGTTACAAAAGAATCCCGATAATGATTTTACATCCATACCAATAGGACTTTGGTGGTCTATTGTAACAATGACAACAGTTGGCTATGGTGATATGGTACCAAAGACATATGTCGGAATGATGGTTGGTGGATTATGTGCATTAACAGGTGTATTAACCATTGCATTGCCAGTACCTGTTATTGTTGCTAACTTTGCTATGTATTATTCACATACACAAGCACGCTCAAAACTACCAAAGAAACGTCGAAGAGTTATGGCTGTTGAGCCGGTCCGACCAGCAAGAGGCGGACCTGGTCATGGTGGCGGTGGCGGTGGAGGTGGTGGCGGAGGTGGAGGTGGAGGTGTAGGAGGAAGACCAGGAGATCATGGTGGCGGCGGCGGTGGTGGTGCTTCTAGAGCTATGAATAAATTTGGTATGGACATGAACAAGGCAGATGGACCAATGAATACGCAAGGCGCACCATCTGGTGGTGGACCACGAAAAAACGTTATTAAACAACCTAGTGGCGGCATGGCTGCTAAATTTGGTATGACAGAAAATAATATTATTCACAACCGTATAGGTAAGATAATTATCATGTTTTGTATATGAATGCATCTCTTAATAAGAGATGGAGTAACGTAAAATCGGCTTTACCGATAATCATGAATAGAATCTTTTTTTTTATGCGTTAAGAACTTCAAAGAAAAATTAATACTTATAAGTATAATTAAAACTCTTTTATTTAGTCACAGAAAATTTTCAACCATTCCTCAACGGTATATCTAAAAGATTCATGTTTGAATAATAACTTTTTTTTGATTTTTATGCTAATCTAATCTATCAAAATTCTTCTTTTTTCTCTACTGCCTTTCGTCAAATCTCAAGCTCTTATATTCTTTTATCTTCGTGTCTTCTTCATTGTTATACTAAAAACAATTCACATTCTCTCGCTGTCTATATATGTATTCATACACATCTCTCTATGTCTATGGTAAATAGCGTATTCTTCTCTATGCTATTGCTATATTTCTGCTCAGGAAAAAAAACTAAGAAAAACTATTCATTCCATTGTTTGGCACATTTCTATGCTACTTTATGGAACCATTGAAAATAGTGTTTACATCATTTGTTTGTTTGTGCATGCAGCTACATGCGTCTCTTTTTTATTATTGAAGCTAAAGGTCATGGAACTTGTCTAATTACTATTATTCTCAGCAATATATATATATATATATATTTACATTAAAAATTCCACTCGATATTTCATTCGTTCATATAGGACATGGCGATGAAGAACGTACGCCAATGATTCAACCTAGTCCAAAGATTAGTAGTCATCATCCTCATGTGGCCAAAGTTTAAAATAGCTAAAAACAAAATTTCATATGATTTTCAACCATTTGAAAAACTAGGTACAATGCTCTTTTACAGCTCACTTTTATCAGCATATATATACTATATATATATATATCATTTTTCACATAACGCACTCATATGATAAAGCAACGTTTTATTTTATTACTATATTATTTTTTTACATGCACATTGTACGTTTTGATGTATTTTATATCATTTTTATTTCTCACGGATTTGAACTGGGGGAAGAATGAGAAGCTTTTAAAATTTCATTTGTACATTGCTGGATCTTTTTAGAAGACCATGCATTGTGATGATTTTAATGAAAACTTTTGTAAGTTTTAATGCATATACATATCCTAATGATTTCCCCTTTTTTGTTCATACCTTATTTGTTTTCCAGTATTTTTCACATTAGAATTGTCATTTCCATAATTTTTTAAGGCAATATTTATTGTGTTTTGTGGTAATGGTTTGCTTTTTTTGTTGCTTGCTTTGCTTTTTTTGTATAATTTATCATTTATTTATATTTATGAAATTTAAAATATTATTATTTTTAATTTTCTATAGAGGAAATAGAAATGAAACTTGAAAGTGTTAACGCATCACCAATAAATAATAGTACAAGTACAATCGATACACCAGGTGATAGTCCAAAATTGGAGCAACATTCATCATCTCGTGCACAATCCTCACGTACGATACTTACTGAAATCGCTAGTTGAATATGATTTATTATGGATATTTCTAGTCAAACGCAAAAGTTTCTCCTTTTAATATTTACATGAGAAATACACAAATATATATATATATATATCTTTAAATAACGTGAATGCCGTCCTGTACAGTTTAATGTAGTCCTATTTCTTTTCTCTTTTCTTTCTCTATCGAGTTCATATTTTATATTGTTGCCACATTGTGATTGAATTTTTCTTTCTTTATTCTCTACACTTGTTTTCATTTCGTACCACATTTGTTCGAACGAGCAGCCATATGAAATAAACGAAACAATTTGCAATTGAAAAACAAATTAACTAGTTATAATATCTTCTAGATATTTGTTTAATCGTTGGAATTGTTATCAGAGAATAGTATACTTTGTTTAATTAACTTTACCGGGTGCATCGAACAATTAAGTAATGATCACGAATACTGAATAGTAGTAGCTGATTAATAAGAGAAGAAGAAGAAGAAAAAAAAGGAGAGTAGATGAAGATACGATTCCCCTTAAGAATTTGACCGAAAAAACAAAAAAAAATATGATGACCTTGACAGTAGAACCTGTCTGGGAATTCATTTGTATATAGAGAAGAAAAATCAAGAAGAAGAAACAATCAAACAAATTATGAATAGAGAAGAAAAAAAAGAAATTTTGACATTAGGGAATAAGTTAATGATTATATTCATGTTCGTAATTCTTTACCAAAACTTGCATCAATACGACGAACGTATTCTTCACACCAAACACGTAATGATAACTTAATTAAATAAAATATTATCAATGCAATATATATAATATCTATTGAGGGAAATGGAATAGATTACTTACTTCACAAGTTGTAATAATTGATTTGATCTCCGCATGTTGAGTAATTGGTTCAATATCTGTATCGCTATATAATGAAGGTGCCCATTCATGTGGCAAAGCCTGTGTTAATAAAAGAAAACAAATAGTATTTTTTATGCGTCCTCCCGTTTGTTTGTTTGTAATGACATACGAGTATTTGAGAGATGGATTTAACTGCTCGACGGCCAACATACAATATAACCGATGCTAGAACTTTAAGACTAGCTGCTTGATTTGTTGGTAATTCACCAAGTAAAAATCGATATTTGATTGGTTTGATAAGTAACTTTTGGAGAAAAAAGAGTAACGGTTATAAATATATTTTTCTTCTTCTGTTTGATCAGAGTAATAGACCTACTGTAGTGACAAGAGCTCGGAAAATGAAAATTCCAATAAGTAAAAGTATTGCTCGTTGTTTGGTTATGTTTATAATTTTTGTTTTATTAAATTCAAGAATTTCCTTTAAAACCAAAATTTCATTGCAATAAAATAATTTAATACAAAATAGAAATAGAAATAATACCTTTTCACATTGCCAAAAATAATTATCAGGAAAAGGATTTCCATCTTGAATAAGTGCTGCAACAGCTGAATTTTTAGCTGTACCAAGAACACCATCTTTTGGCTAGAATAAAGAAGCACAAAAAAAGTTTTCTTTTAAATATTATTTGTTCATCTAATAGATTTCATTATTTCTGTACCATAAAATCAACAATTTTTGAAATAACATTCTTTAATACTTGACCAATAAGGTTAATTGCTCCAAGGTAATGTTTCGATGAAGCATTTAAAGCATCTTTCAATTCAATTGGACTACTTATAGCTTGAATAAGTGCATAATAAATTGGACCATCCGGTTCAAGATAAACACGATGCAATGCAACCATTATTTCTTGTACGCGAATTTTATGTATAGTTGCACTTAAAGTTTGAGTTGGACGATTCTTAATATAAAATTGTTCTAATCATAGTAAACGTTAATTTCTTCTTTTTCTTCTCTTATACTTACTATTCGGCTTCTAGCAGCGCGACGTTTGAGTGTATTTATAAATACAATACCGATTGCTACTTTTTTAAATAGTGGTACATGGAATCGAGCTTGTTGCAATTGTTGTTGTTGTTGATGTTGAGGTGGTGGTAGAATGCCTTCAGTAAAAAAACCATCATGGCCTATGATAGAAATAAAATATGATGATATATATATATATAGTGTTTTACATCCATGAAGCAAAAGGCAAAATTTAGGAAGTTAATCAATTCTTTTTGTCTTAATTCTGCTCTAATAGAGCACAACATAAAAAGGGAGACAATTTTCGATGTGCTAATTTTTCGAATGAATCTATTAGTTGTTTAAATATTTTATTCTACAAGGAAAAGAAATATAAACTATTATTTTTATTTACCATCTTCCGAGTTTACTCTTGATTTTTGTTTATGATGATAATGATTTACAATTGGCAAATTATTGTCCACATCGGATTGATCTGCATCAGAATCTACTGAACCGTCAGATTCTAATCGTATGGGCGAGATAAGAAGAAAAACAAACGACCATCAATAATTATTAGAACTAAGTTCACTGTACGTACTATCTTTTGAGACTGTCTGAGGTATAATTGCTCGAGTTGGCTGTTGCTGATGATGCTGTTGTTGTTGTTGGTGGTGGTGATGATGATGATGTTGAGATGAGCCCATCGCTTCTATAGTTAAATGCGCGAACTCACATATATTTATATTAGGTAAAATAAAAACAAGACGCAAGACAAAAGAAGTGGATAGTTAATAGGAAAAGGTTTTATTTTATTATAAAATAGTGAATATGAGTGCAATAAAATCAAGCGTGTTCGACGTGCAATTTGAAATTATCACCTGTCCTTGATAGAAGAAATATATCACTTGGTAAATCAATTAAATGTTCAATATGATCAGGTAAGCCTAATGGTTTTTGATGATTTCGTTGTTGGCGTGCACTTTCCCTAGCTTGATAGAGAGCTGAATTCGATGGATTTCTTTGAAAATAAAATTTCGAATAAATTATTGCATCTCGATAAAACAAAAAGAACATCATTTCATTACTGTGATCGATTTAAACGATTCGAATCCATGCCGGGCGATATCGGAGGTAATTTTGAATAAGAATTAGCACGAATTATACTGCTCGTATTTAACTAAAAATTTATGCAAATAAATTTAATAAAAATTAAAAGATTTGATTTATGCATATATATATATAAACTACATCATCATGATCAGGTTGAATATGATTGTAGTAGTTCATTCTTGGTTGACGCATTTGATTATGCGAATTTGAATTCATTCGAATAAAATCTTTAATTAAAAAAAATTAATTAACTGAAATTTTATATATTTATTTACAATACCTGTTTCACCATGACCTCCTGTTGTCATATTTGTGTAGAACGAATCATCTTGTCGTTGTAGACTCAACAATGATGCCTGCCGTCCAGTCACCGGAGATCCTCCTATACGATATTTGTGAAAATAAATAATTAATATTCATTTAAAGAACGAGATTTTTTAATTAAGAAATTTTTTTTCATTTGAAACTATCTTTATTTGTTTAGTTATCAGTATAGATATGCTAAAAATTTCTTTGATTGAGTTTTAAGCTTATATTTCGACCATATATAGACTTTTCAGTTACCAAAAACAAATCTCCCAAATTTGTAACCTCGAAAAAATACATCCATATCAAAATATCCACTTGCCATAGAAACGGCCTTCTTTTGAAATACAATACATCATAGATTTTGTTTTAAAAGTTTAAATATCTTCACAAGGACATACTTGTTCCGCAGAAAGCTTTTAGATGTTTCTATCAATCATATGATCTATCAATGAATCTGATTCTCAGTAGTGCTATAGTGATTAGGTAGAAATAATTTGAGATATTTATAATTCAGCTAACGAAGATAATTGGAATACTAAATCCAAGGCAATTTTCTGTTGTTCATCATAATCAAGAGAAAATTGCTTCGACAACTCAGAGTATTTCTTCGTAGGTTTAAGATGATGTTTTATACCGATATATGGACTGTAACCTCCCGGACCACGTCGTTGATGGTCCATTGCTGCCTGAAAAGAAACACAATAAATTAATCTACCAAAGGAAAACGAAAACTTTTAACATCGAATACATACATCAAGTCGTCGATAGGCTAAATGTCGTCTAGCCATCGAATCGATTAAATCATCCATATTCGAAGATGAATATTGTCGTTCTTCTAGCATATCTACATTAAAATTTAATAATTACTAGTCAACAGTTTTTCATCGTATACTATGAGATGGTTGTAAATGTAAACGAGGATCGTAAGCATAATTCGATATCATCAACTGCTGATTTGATTGACGACCATTATTCAAGGAATCCTTAAAGTTTAAACATGAGACTTTTCCCTATTATTGTTATTATCATTTATCGAACCTCTAGTCGTCGTATTTGAAAATCTCGCTCAATATCGAAATTATCTTGAACGCCATTTGTCATTCCGATACGATCTAAATCCATGGATACATGCGTATAAATATATATATATATATATTAATATTGTTCTCAATTGTAAATAAGAATGTGTACAAACGTGATAAAAAAAAACAACAACAATTCGTGTATTTCCATGTGATACAAACTCAAGTACCTCGAGATGGTCCCGAAAATTTACCGATCGGTATTTGGCTTTGAATAGATAATTGTGAGTATGATGTTTGTCGGCTCGAAAGTTTTGGGTTAACTATTTGATGCATTAAATTGTTTGAAGAACTGACATTATGTAAATATCGTTCTGTTGGTATAGAATTCGGAAAAGGGACGTGTTCTTCTGAAAAAAGCTTTCCCATTGTTTTAGAATAATTTTTTGTCGTATCTTTTTCAGATAGAAAAAAATGAAGAAAAACAAATACATACGTGTTCGTTTAATATAATCATCTGTGCTACGACGTTGATGATTAAGTTCCTATAAATGAATAATTTAGTGGCCAATTTAATTAAAATGAATTAAATTATTTACAGATTCAATTAAACGAAGACGTAGCTTATGAATATTATCTTCAACATTAGTCTCCATCGATCGTGGCAGAAACTAGCGAAAATTAAACCAATGCAGATCAAAAGGAAAAAAATCAATTTTGTAATAAATACAAAACAAAACTCTCTCTTTTATTCCGTTTTTTTTTTCTTTTACTTAACAAAGGCACGTTAAAGAACGTGTCGTTTCTTTGGTTGAAGTTGTATTTTGTCGTCATAGTCGATCACTGCTGCTGCCGCGGCAGTCACCATCACAAAATATGATCTTTCCACTTCACTTTTAGCATGAGAAAGAGAGAAAAAGAATTTAATGTCTTGCCTCATTCTTAAACTTTTATTTCTCGTTTGTGTTTCGTGTAGAAAAAAATACTACTACTATTGAGAATTTTTAAATGTTAATGAAGCAAATACTTACCGTTACATCAAATGGAAATCGAGCAAAAACAGGTACACGATTTCTATCAATAGACACAACTGGAAGTCCATGATCATAACTAAGTGTTGGTATGACAACGGATTCTTCTACCTAATAAAAATATTTGAAGTGTATGATTTGAGTATTTGTATATATATATATATATATATATATAATATTTATTTATATATCAAATAACACACACCACTTCGTTTTTGGTGCGTGTTTGTAGTTGATTTTGATTCTCTGTTGATGGCTGTGTTGGTGGTTGTATTGATTGTTCACGATATAATAATGGATTTATTGATGAACTAATAATATATGATTTTTCATAACTTTCATTCGTAGCAGTAGTAGTAGCATTGACGGTTAATTCAGTTAGTGGATCATACTTTGGACTGTTTGATTTAGATACTGCAGTAGGATCTGGTTTGTGCACTGGAATAGGTTCTACTTTATGTACTGGAACAGGACCTGCTTTATGCACAGGAGCAGGGCCAAGTTTATGTTTATACGACGGAGTAGTATCTAATTTAGGTGTTGCAACAGTATCGAACTTATGTACAACAGCGGTGTCTAATTTATGTGCTGCACCAGCATCTAATTTTTGTACGACAGTAGTATCTAATTTATGTGTTGGCTCAACATCTGATTTATGGACTGGATCAGTACCTACTTTTCGCAACGCACGAGTGTCTGATTTAGTCTGAACCACACGATATAGTCGTAACTGTGGTTGTGACGGTGGTGGCGGTATTGACGCTGGTGGTGCTGGTGTTGGAGGTTGATTGATAATTTGTTTCTGATGAGCTGCTCGAAGTGGTGATCTAGGATGTGGAGATAGTTCATTAGCACGAAAGCTTTGTGTTCGTCGTGTACTCCTTGTTGGTGGTAATCGAACATGGGGTGTATCGAGAACTGGAGGGATTTTCCTAGGTGTTATTGGTAGATTAAGCGATTGTCGTTTTACCTGTGCCATATGCCTGCCCGCACTGATTCGAATAATACAAATGATAAAAAAAACGTATAATTTTTTAATCCTTCTATGATTTCGATAGTGTGAAGAAAAAAAAATAAAAACAACCACTGAATAAATAAGAAATCAAACAAATAGAAAAAGTAATAAAAGAAAGGGAGTGATTCAAAATTATCCGTAGACGGCAAACAAGGTATTTAAAATAACAATTCAATTGTCAAGTTGCGATACTCTTCTAGTTAAGACCAAACAAAAATAAAGTAAATAGTACCTTCCTCTATGACATAATTTATTACAGAAGTTTAAATTTACATGTAGATTATAAATCATGTGTGGAAGAAAATTTCAATACACTAAATTTTCAAAGCCACTGTCGAATAGCGTCATCTCTGTTCATTGAACTATTCCAATGTTTTTCTCCATAGAAACTTTATGTAGAAAAAAACGTTGAAAAATGCCACAGTAACAATAATTGTAAAATTCTGGTTGTAAAACACTTACAAAAACATGACAAATATAGATATTAAAAGTCGTTTTTATCTATTACAACTTGAAGTTGCACACGGTAACAAAAGTCATATGCTTGGAAATATAGTGTTACACTATTTAATGCTTATTCACGTAGGTTCGGATCGATATGATATTCATATTCATATGGAACGACCACCTTTGGTTCTCGATCTTATGCAAGAGATAGAAAACAAAGCCAGAGTTCCTATTATGAATCAACAATTACTCTATCGTGGTACGGCTTTGTTCATCGTAACTGAATATTTCAATTTAAAGCGAATTTTCTTTTTCTTTGCAGGGACACGTTTGCATCAAACGCCCGATAAACCATTGGAAGGCTTTGGTTTATTTAATGGAAATCGTATTATTTTAGTTGGAGAAAAAGTTTGCTAAATAAAAAAAAAGAAGCGATGTATTTTTGTTTTTCTACAATAAAAATTTTTGGTTTTTAGTTAGCTGGTTTAGAAGATGAACATTTTAGACGTTTATTAACTATAGAAAAAAATGCTAAAATAATTAATGATGTAATTGGAGTTGTTTGTCGTGATTTTGAAAATTTAAAAAAAGTAAGAACTCGCCAATAAGTAATACCATATTTTGTTTTGTTTGTTCAACTCAAATGTTAGAGTCAACAACCACGAGATCAATGTACACAATTACTTGAAGATTTACAAGCCCATAGTGAACGTTGTCGTTTCGATTTGAAAACATTTCAATCGCTTGCTAATGACTTGAAAGTTGATTCATCAGAATATGACGCTTATAGAAAAAAAGATCAAGTCGTTAGATTGATTCGAGTCTGTTTTGTTGTTTATTATAACAATCTCAATGACAATTTTATGTCTTTTTTTGCTGTAGGATCGCCTAGACATTTTATCAAATATTATTTCTGCTATATCGTCATATCAATAGAACAAGATTGACAACCATGTTCACATCAATCAATAGATCTTCTTCCTTCTTCTTCTTCTTTTTTTCGTTTTTAATTACTGAAACAATATTTTTCTTATATGACTTTATGGGTGATATAAATGCATGACAGTCTCAATGTCGTCATTGATTTCTTTTGATAAGAGAAAACTTAAATGAAGGTGATTGAAAGAGAGAGAGAGAGAGAGAGAGAGCGTGTGCGCGAAAAGCTATGATATGCATCGATGATTTACCTGTTTAAAGTACGAAAGTAAATGAGCACACATTTACAAATGAAACACATATATGCGTGGTTTATTGATCATGCTCATTGGTCTGTTTCCTTTTTTTTTATTCTCGTAACCAAAATTTCAGTGTATATCGCAGTTTTTTTTCGCTTTTTTTCTTGCCGTTGTCGAGTTACTCAGACAAATATCGGTATAAATACGTGATATATTATAGACAAGTGCAATAATTGAATATAAACAAGCAGTAATCATACTTATACATTCAGAAAAAGAAAGAACATGGGTGCAGTTGTCAGCAAAGATCAATCAGTCATTACAGCTCTTGAAAATCAAGATGCTGGTGAATTAAGAACAGCCTTAAAAGATTTAACAACCGAAGAAATTCGTAATGTATGTAAGGCATATATTCCTGATGATGAAAACCAATGTACTGTACTTCATTACGCAACATGGCAGGGTATGATACAATATACTTTAGTTTGTTTTAACTGAAGACATCGATTTGTTTTCATTCTATAGACAATACCGACCTGCTAGCGCCACTATTGGATTATGTTGATGATTTTGAAGTACGTGATGGTCTTGGTTGGACTCCATTAATGACAGCCGTTAACCGAGGTAGTAAACAAAATGCTAGTATGTTATTAGCGCGTGGTGCTCTCATTGATTGTGACTGGGCCGGCGGTATGAGTCTTATTGCTGATGCTATGAATTACAACGACGTTGGTAAGATTCACTATTTTTAAATCGAAGAACACTATTGTTTGCATCATGTATATATATATATATATATATTTAGAACTTGTGACAATGCTTATGGATCATGGTGCTCGTGTTATACCAACGTCTGAAATGCTTGCTGATGGTGAAGATCAAAATGCATTTTATTTATTGCATTATGCTGTTGACGATGGCCTCTACGATATAGCAAAATTATTAATTGAAAAGGGCAGAATTCCATTGAATACATTGGATCAAGCAGGTTGGGGTGCCATTCATTTAGCTGCAGGACATAATAACATTGAGATGTTAACATTACTTATGGAAAAGGGTGCTGATATTAATATTAAAGTAAGAAAATTTCTTTTGTGGCCGTAAGAAAAGTTTTTATTTTACTTCTTTTCTCAATGCTTTAGGATAGTCAAGGTAACACTCCATTATCATGGGCAAGAGAAATGAATGCTATTGGAGCTATTCAGGAATTAGAAAAACGCGGTGCTTCTGCTGATAGGGAATGGCACGGAGAAAAACCAGAATTGAAAACTCCCGAAGAACGTGCCGAAGAAACATACCCAGAAGAGGAATATACAGAAGATGTTGAAAGTGAACAATGGCAAGGCGCAAGTAACGGTATTGAATTCGATCGATTTGATATTGAGGTTGAAGACCCAAAATTAAAAGCACAGGAATCCCTCAATGGCAAAGATTCCAATATGTTTGATGCACTTCAACATCAACGTACACTTCCTGCTCAAGCCACATATTAACAATTTTGTTTTTTTTTTTAAATTATTATTCATCTATTTGTTACAACGCGTATTTTTAAGAGTTTTTGTTGCCTACATTCAATTTGAATGATTCTATACTTTGAAAACGGAAACAAAGGTATTCAAGAAATTGAAAAATTTAGTATCTGAATATAGTGTCATGATAACAGTGCACTATCGGACTAGGATACTTATTATGACAAAGTAGAATATTATTTGCCTACGATGATGTTGATTATGAATCGGACTAAATATAAACTTGGATTTTTTTTTGACTTAAATTCATAAAAAAAAACATTCATTCCTATACGAAATGATAGAACATTTTCATCTTATAGACAATATTCTACACAATTATAGATGGTCTAGACTCTAATTACGATGTACCGTTGGAAGTTTATCTAAAACAAAGAATTTCTATAACTGCCGTTTAAAATTTGAATGATGGGCGATTTTGTCGAGAATATTTTGTTTTTTTTAGAAGCCTATTGAATTACTTCATAGCAATGTCGAACCTTTTTTGTTTCTTTTTAGGGATTCATAGTTTGCGTATAAGTGTTGATTCTCTTGAAATCACAAAAAAAAACGAATTTTAAAATATACAACTTTTTAATGCTTGAAATTCTCCAACTTTTTATTATTAAAGAAGGGAGTATTTTATGCGAATGATAGAAAACTTGCATCTACAATTAGTTCGATTTTTTCTAATACTATCTACATGATCTTTCATGAGAAAGACTATATGTAGAGCATACCTACTTTCTATGGTTTTTTGTTTTTGTTCTGAATGAAGGCTTGTAACTAAATATAAACTAATTGAAAATGATCGAGCGAATATTTTTCGAGCGCCAAGGAACTGAAATATTTACTTTCTCTTAAATGCAAATTTTTACTATTACTTTGTTATAGCGAAGTGAAATGAAAATATTAATACTTCAGAATTCATAAAAATTGATGAAATTAATAGTTCTGTAGCTTCTTTTAATACAATATACTTTCTATGTTAGGTCTTCCTCGAAGATGATGATAATACTATTGACTTGTTTCAGTTCTTTTTCTTTCTTAACTCCATACGTACCTATTCGTAATTAAACTAGGAAATCGTACGATACTTCACAGTTGAGAATACTTCTTTTATAAGTTTTCATTTAATTACATGAAGAAAAAAAGTATTTTTTTTGTCAGGCGAATGAAACTAATTTTCATTTGTTATTATGCAAATAATAAATTACATCTATTGTTTGTCATACTTGAACTTCAAATCTTTCTGGTTGTCTTATTTAAATAGAAGAAAATCAATTCTTATTTCATGTTCAATCTCAATCATTTTGTTCACATGTCTTACTTCGTATTATTGATACGAACCGAAAATTCTTGTGTTTTTCTCAATTTCATCATGCTATTTATTCAATGTAAAAAATCGATGAAATCAAAATTACAGTTTTGCTTTTTATTGTTGTTAGACATCTGAAACAAAAATTTACTGTAGAATAATATATATATATACACAACAATAACACAAAACAGACATGCGTTACGTAAAACGATAAGACAATACAAAAAGAAACAAAAAAGAAAAAGAAAACAATAGAATCTCTGTCATCAATTTCGATTGATCCCAGTCAATTCTTCTTCCACTAATTTTTAACTGTTGCAAAATATAGCACCGGAGAATAAGAGCGAGATCGTTGATAATATTTAAAATTCGTCACACTTAATGAAGAAGTTGTTTTAAATTTTTTTTTGTTTTGAAATATTTGTTAAACATACGATGTATATCTTATGGTTTTTTACAACATCCTTGACAAGCATTTTCAAAATTAGCTAAAAGCTCACGTGGGCATGGTAATGCATCCGCTCCAGCAGGACCAGGTAGGCCTGGCCAACCACGTAAACCTCGTCGCCCCTCTCGACCTTCTTCCCCCTAAGAGAGAGTTATTTTTCAATAGAAAATCGAAAAGAAAGTTTTATTTTACGCATACTTTTTCTCCTCTTTCTCCAGGTGGACCCTAAAAAAACACATTTTAATAGAAAAACATTTACCAATGTTTATTCTTACTTGTAAACCAGGTTCACGTCGACCACCCTAAAAGTTAATAAAAACAAAACAGAGATTATAACATGAGATCGATTTATATTGATCAATTTCTAATATCATTACTATAAGGTACGAGTAAAACTACTTATATATGTACATATAATTTCCCTTATGATATTTTAGTATATAAGATTTAATATAAGCTGATAAGAACTCGAACAAAAACATACGATGATGATGATGAGACACTATATTAAAAATACGTACTGTTGAGCGTTTTTTATGTATATCAGGCATATTCTGAAATATTTAAAATAGATTTTATATTCATAAAATTCAAATATATGTGTATGTATTTTTTTTTAATACCATAGAGTAGCCAGGTAAACCCATAGGACCACGATCTCCTTTTTCTCCTTTGCCTATATCACCTTGATCACCCTAGAATAATTAAAACTAATCTATTGAAAAACAAAATCATATTCTTTTTATTTCAATAGGACTTGCCTTAATACCAGGAGGTCCAACATCTCCTTTTGGTCCTACTATTCCCTAAAAACAACAATAATTTCATTTTCCTATTCAATCTATCCAATATATATCATTTTTACCATAGGACCAGAATCTCCTCGATCTCCTTTTTCTCCATCGGATCCTGGTTGACCAGGAAGACCTATTCGTCCCTGAAAAATAAACAAATAAGACAAAAATCATTCTAATTGTTGATATTTTACTTTTGGTCCTGGAACACCTGGTGGGCCCATTAAAACGATATGTGTTGAATTAAAATCAACTTTTTGAATAAAGCCCGGTTCACCTTTTATACCACGATCCCCCTTAAAATAATAAAAGAAGGATAAAACACAAATTCATTGAATTCGTCCATTCATTTGTTTCATCGTTTTTTTGTGCTGAGATACTCATTAATCGAAACTTACTTTTCTTCCCGGTGGTCCTTGAAGACCCATATCACCTCTGAGTCCATCAATACCATCACGACCATTTTGACCTGGAATCCCAGGACTACAAAAGATAGAGACATTTATATTACACATAAATCAACTGTTATATTTCTATTAATTATACCTTCCAGGTAAACCATAAGAACCACGATCACCTTTAGGTCCAACAACAAAATCACCACGATCACCTGTAACAAATAAATGTTTAAAGTTAGACGAAACCAGTGTTTCGCATTGATAGCTCACCTTTAATCCCTGGTGGCCCTGGATCACCTTTCATAAAGACAAATCTACGTACTTTGGGTCGAACAAAAGGTCCTCGATCTCCTTTTTCACCCTATATGTGAAAAGTAAATTAAAACAAAATAATATTCATTCATATAAGCACTAATACGAATAGTAATGAAAACATGCAACTGAAAATAACTGAGGGCATAGCTTTAATCTATTTTGAATCGAAGATACATCAATTATAAACATATAAAAGTTATACAGAATTGTATAATACATAATTATATGAACGTGATATCGATATGAAAGGCATTGCATCGCTGCCCTTTTTTCTTTCATTTTCTTACTAACTATTTTCAGGTCTGAATCTCGAGTAGCATTGCTTCTTTTAAGTACTTCTGTTGAAAGTTTTATATCTACATACCTTTTCGCCCGGTAAACCCTAAACAAAAAAGAGGATAGAATAGAAATACTTAAGAAATACTAAGTCGTATAACTTACATCTTTTCCAGGCGGTCCAATTTCACCAATACCGATAGGCCCTGGTAAACCTACATCCCCTTTCAGCCCTGGTGAACCAGGTGGGCCCGGTGGACCTGGAATATATTTGACTTGAGCTGATGAAGATGTTAACATTCCTTGACGAGTTATGCCCGCATCGCGTCCTGGTTCTCCTTTATCTCCCTAAACGAATCAATAAAGTCATATGTTTCCTGTCAATCAATTAATAATAGATCGCTGGTTGTTATAAAACCAAGAAAAGGCAACCAATTAAAAATATGATGCCTACTTTTACACCACTCCAAACAATTGAGCCTGGAAAACCTCGATCGCCTTTAGGACCCATTTCACCCTAGAAAAATTAATGGAAATATTTTTTCTAAAAGAACTTTTTTAATTTCAAAATTATCTTACTGTAAATCCAATAAAACCACGATCACCCTATAATGTTAGAAAATATCAATATTATCTATTATATAATACACAGATTTGAATACAAAACGTACTTTTTCGCCCTTTGGACCTATAAAATACGCGTAGACTTAATACGAGACAAACTAATAAATAATAAAATTGTACCTGGTGGACATAGACAGTTAGATTGCTGTACTTGTTGAATATTTCGCCGTTGACGTAATACACTCTATATTAAAAATACAAAAAAAAACAAATTTTTATTTTCTTTATTTGTACGTGTAAATTATGTCATAATTCGATTCATGAATGTAACTTTTATATTGCGGATAAAAAAAAGTAAACCTTAATAAACAATCTACTCAATTATTATAAAGAAACAATGGAGGAAGAAAAATTCGATAAGATTATCTTATGTTCAATTGTATTCAACATATGAAAAAGGTCATTTCAACTGTTGTTTTTCATTACTATTATTTTGTCATGTTCTTTCATGTGTATATATATATATATATATACTTGTACATTCAAATATAAAGTACTATATTGTTACATCATTCAATCAACATAATGTTCTTGACGACAATAAGAAAAAGCTAGTGACATGAAACTTCAAGTTCTTCATTTTTACATATTTGCAACAATCATAGATTAGTTCGTCGCGTAATAATCAAATGTCTATGTCTTACAAACATCAATTATTGATTGAAGAACTAGAGAATGTCATAACGATAATACCTTGGTCATCTTTATGCATTCTGTTTTATGTAAAGTGGATGAACACGCGTTCATTTTTAAAACTGTAGACACCATCATCATCATCATTGTGCACTATAAACTCGTTGGAGTATGCATATATTCATCCACTCGATGACTTATAATGATGCCTATACACCTTTTCTTCGTCATTTTTATAACTCCAATGTCTATCACTTTGGGTAATGAAAATGAAAGAACATATGTGTTCATATGCTCTATGAACAGATCGTAAACGAGAAGAAAAGAAGGGCCTTGATGGTCATTTCAATTTGATATTAATGAAAAACGAAAAGAAAAGATCTATTTGTTCATTTATTTTAAACAAAATGTTTGACAAGCGAAAGATATACGTATGTGTATACAATCACTTAGTCGATGATGACAATCGACTAAGATCATATTTATTTTAATCTCAAAATTGAAAGGTAAAGATGAACATAAATTAAACGAAACAATACGATAGGTATCCATTTTCCCTTTCTTAGTTTCTTATTTTTGTTTCGTTGAGTATACAAAAGAAAACGAAGAAAACCGTTCAATTCTTTGTATTTTAATAACTCAAACGCTTTTTTTCTCTCTCGATGACATTTCTATTCTTGATTAACGGATATAAACATAAAATATAAAGAATTTGTAACAATAAGCTGTTAGTGGCACTCGACATAACGTGTCAAAAGTTAAAACCAAACTCTTTTATCATTAACCTTTGATGTTCGACAAGCAGAAGCACTTCGAGAGCTTTTATCGTCTCGTTTAATTTGTTATGCATGTTTCAAATAGACGATTTTGACCTTGAGAGGAACCTTACGCTCATAGATAGATAGATACATATATACAAATACAAGTGTCAAGGTTCTCAATAAGCATTTCCAAAAAAAAAATACAATTCTTACCGTGTCTGGTTCAGCAATGATATTACTATTGTTTGCCATGTCTTTTGTTGTTAATTGTTGAATTAGATGAAAAATTTTTGTAAACCATTGTTCAACGCATGATTTCGTTCGTGTTTGTATTTGATTAAGTGATGATGAAAGTGTAGACGTCGAAGGTAATAGTTCCTCAAGAATATTTTCTATTTTCGTTTGATTTTCAATTAAAACTTGATGCTCGTATGTATTGTAAGCGTTCCAAGCAATTGAAATAAATATTAATAATAAACATATTGAATTAGTAGAAATACTTATTGATGGTAACCATTTACGATTATTAGTTATATGCGTCATTTTTCTCTTATCGATTGGCATATCTACTAATACAAGAAGATTAATCTATGGATGTTTATTTACGTATGTGTACGACTGTTGGTCAATTGAACACAACAATAGTCGGCAACTGTTAGATATATTATGGTAAGTTGGCCAGCGTTACAATAACAATAGCATAGGTGTTGTGCTTCCGTTGCTTAAAAAAAAGAGAACAAAAAAGTCGTATGTCGCTAGATATTAAAATGTCATATAAGGTACTGAGAGAGAGAGAACATACAAACTAAAACATTGTATGTATGTCTACTTTATTGTGTGTGTATATATATATATATAAGTTCTATAGATAGGTACGAATTTAGTGATGACGCGTCGATATAGAAAATGTATGTATACTTGTATATGTGTACAAAGAAACTGCAATAATAAGAAAGAGTGAGGGAAGAAGAAAGCGAATATAGTTGTGTGTTAAAATCAAGAGAGAGGGAGAGAGAAAAGTGTGCAATCTCTCTGCTCTCTTTCTCTCTTGATGATGAGGAGGAGATGAGAAGAGAAAGAGGTAGAATAGAAAAACTTGAAAATACAATCCTACTTGATGAGTTATAACTTCAAGTGGAAGGTATCAATTTGAAAACTAGTTCCTTTATAGAAGTATACAAAAAAGCCAAGCCTTCGAAAGATAATACTGCATTTACATGTATACATATACATATACATATACATATACATCACCACCCACTTTGTTTTATATACATCATCATATTGATCCTACGGATGCATATGATATCGGAAATGAAGGATTCTGGTTGTTATTTCAACAAAAGTCATTTATTATTAGATTAGGAAAGTTACATATTATTTGAACATCCTTTACGAGCATACGCGAGAACACTCATCACTTAATTATCCGTTTATGTACATATGTGTATTGGACAGGAATATATTTATATATTCTCAATAATTATCAAATGACCTTTGTTCATGTTGGATTCTGTTGTGATGCCTATCAAGAAAAAAAAGAAAACTACAACTGTTGTTATTATTATTCTTAACAGAAGCCTTGTTCTCTTCTACGATGATTCCGTGACAGTTTCTATCATGGCAAAAATTTAATGCTGTCATCTATCTATCTCAATGAGACTTTTAGATTGCTTCTATAATTTATACCATCTCAATTAATTGTATCTGAATGAACTATTTCTAATTACAGTTAATCAAGGTATTCTTTTGTCATTTTTTAAAATGAAATATAAATAAGGCAAAAAAAAAGAAAGAGAAGAATGAGTTCCAGCTATTTTTTTCCTTTTTTTCATCATAACTGACAGTTGCAAATGTATAGTGAAATAATTTAACTGACAGATGTCGGACTGAGCTTCTTCCACCTTCTTCTTTTTATTTTTTGTATGTCTGCTAAAGATGATGATTGACTCTGTCGGGATATACACTGTAGACATACATATATGCGGATGTGTTAATAGTACATAAGAGGAGTATAGACAAAAGAAGAAGAAGAAGAAGAAGAAGAAGAAAGTGAACTGGTATTTCGATCAAAATAAATGAGCAGACAAAAAACGTTCTTTTATATCACTATGAATTGATTACTAATTAGCAAGAAGTTTGACAAAGAAAAAGTACAATATAACCATTCATTTGTTATATCGATCAATGTTGACTGAATAGTTATGAAGTATCTTTTTTTTTCGTTTTCTTATAGATATTTAAAATAGTGGTTGGTTATTAACAATCAATAGATTTTTTTTCATCATTGTTCATAGATGCAAATGTGTTATTAATAATTGGTGTTCGTTCCATTGACGATGATGATAGAAAACCTTGCCGATTGATTTTCTTTTGTTCGTCATTGATGTATAATTTTGATTTCAGTTCTTCCCAAGTGCAATCAGTATAATCTATTTTTGGTAGTAATAACCGATCTATTAATAAGAAAAGAACGAGAAAATTATTCGAATGTGTTGTTGTGTAATCCTACTTTTAAGAACCTTGCCAAAGGTGTTTTCATAATGTGAAAACGATCGTAAGGCTGAATCAAAATCCATAGATGTATAATCGGATTTTGTTGCTTGATTTATATGATGTTTAAGCCGAATATGATGAAGCATATCAGTCTTCCAATTGGATCGATAGAAACATCGACGACATTTATGTGGTTTATATAATGATGCGCTAGAAAGATTTTGTTGATGCGATGATGTTATATGGAGTTTTGTTATATCATCATCACTCATATCTTCATCAGAATAGATATCATCTGGATTATTATCGTCACTATTACTGCAATCACTAATGACACGATCAAACTGAAAATTCGAAAAATAAAAGATAAAAATGAATTGAGTTTTTACTTACCGCATTGTATTTCTTCTTTTTTGGTAGGAAAATATTTATTGAAAGATGAATATCAGCATAGGAATTCGGTGAACGATCATCATCACCATCCTCATCATCCTCATCATCCTCATCGTCATTTGGTTTGTTTGGTATAAGAGGAGCTTGAATTGTTGTATTAAATGAATATCTTGGTTGTTTGTCTAAATGTAAATTGTTTTGATTTGGTTTTTCTTCATCGTGATCAATAATTAATTTATCGGAATTCTCATCGGACTGATTCATGCATTCCGATGTAATGTTTTCTATCGATTGAGATGGTACTTCGTTGTTAATTAATGTTGCTGATAGATTTGATTCATTGATATCAATCGTATGAATCTTTTTAACGTGTCGTACAACATTACTTCGATGTCGTGCACGATAACCACATAAACAACATTGAAACAATTTCGATAGACGACCATTTGATGAATGAATAGTATGAGCAGTCTAGTAGAAAAAATAGGATCATATTTAATATCACTGATTGTTATGGATCACTTATTTTATGATCAAAGACGAAGAATCTCAAAGGATCGGTATCGAATAGATTCGTTTCTTTTTTCTTATTTACATTTTAAGAGAGGCAATATCACGAGACTTGCGCTGGTCAGTTCTTCATGTAGAAATCTATAGTACTCTACAATATGTTTTGAAGCTGCACATCGATGACGATTCGCTGATGGAAATAGTTCTGTCTGATGGTGACGATTGAGAGATACTGATGACGAAATGTTTGATGGATCATGCAAACCTTTTCTATTTAAAGATTCATCAGGAATTTGAGATTTATCACATTGATTATCTAGGAACAAACAAGCAAAACCTTTTCTAGAATAATTCAAGAAAGAAAAACGAGGCTACCTTCAATTGTTTGAAGAGTTGGTTCTGTAAAATTAAAAATTAATAATATGTTTATTGAAATAAAATATAAAATAAAGGTTTACTTTTTATTGATTTTTGTTTCAGTATGGCAACAAGACTACGTGTATTCGGATCATCTGTTGAATATTTATGAACTATCTTAGGAAATGTTGCATGTTTACGTGATTGATGCTTATATATTGATGACGTTGATTTGGTCATTAATGAACAATATGGACATCCATATCGTTTTGGTTCAGCCAATGAATTTAAATTACTTGGATCAATCAAAGGAATTGATGATGATGATGGTTGCGTTGAACTATGATGATTTGTTATTGTTGTACTATTAATTTTTTGTATATACTGTGAAATTGATCCTAAAAATACATTTAAAATTAAAAAAATTATTTCTCTTCCAATTACATTTCAGATTTACCAGTTACAGTGTTTGCATGTTTACGTTTCATATGTGTAACACAATCTCGTCTGTATTTATACCTTTGTAAATAGTCAAGATTGTAAAAATACTGAAAAAAGAATTTTTGTCTTTCGAGAATAATTACATGCAATTACATAGTGAACATCGAAAATTTTTTTCTGTATGTTTTGCTATGTGTGTTTGAAATTCTTGAATGTTATTAGCAAAATATGGACAAAAAGCGCATAAAAATGGCTTTATTTCATTGTCAGAAGTTTGTGTTGGTGCTAGAGATTGCGACGAAGAATGAACTTCTATTTGAGGTGACAATGATGTTGTTTGTTTTGTATACGCTTCACCCAAATAATTAAAAATTCGATCAGCATAATCATCAAAATCATTTTCTAAGAAAAATCATTCGATTGAGTTCATTTCGAATGTTCAAAATTTTCTAACTGACCTGGTTCAAAATTTGGTTCATCTATTTGTAAATTGGAATCGATATTTGGATTTCTAGAATAAATGTAAATATCAATGTTCTTGTTTTTGTTGTAATTCAAGTTCATACTGATCTCTCGGCTCGAATTCAGTTGATTTAACTACATCAAGCTTTTTCGTTGTTGTATGAATAGTATCTGAATTAATTAACGATGTTTTTCTTTTCATTCGATTTGTTATTGAATTTTGCATGTCAATATTTGTTGTATTATTATCTTCAGTTGTTTTTGCTATTGAACGATGTCGTTTATGATCAATAGTTGTCATCGTTTGGTTTTTGTTTTTATTACTAATTTCGTTCATTTGCAAACAGTTTTCTGCTTTTAAATGCTTTTTTTTTTACATACGTTGATAAGTTCGCGCGTATGAAACGATTATCTTGATTTGTTGTTCATCGACTCTTTCTTGCAGATAGACCGGTACGCATAGCAACCAAAACATTCAATTTGATTCAAAAACAAAGTGAAATCTTTTCTTTTCTCTTTAATAAAGAATAAATTTTTCATATAAAACTTTTTCTTGTCTATGCTATTTTTCTCGATAATTATCCTCTTATGGAAATTTAATTTGCTGTTTGAATGTAATTAATATTGATTCAATTTTTATTCTCTCTTCCTGTTTTTATATCAAAATTTGTTTTTAGCTTACATTTTACTTGCTCATATAGCTATATATAGACGGATACACTCAGTATGGGATACATTTATATTCTTAACGATAAGACCTTCGTATAGGCTTGTCTCGTGCTGTGTTTTTTGACTATTGGGTGCGTCTTTCTCTTTATATGATGAAGTGAGTAAATAGCACGGTTGATCGCTGGAGCTCGAAGCTGTTGGCAACTTGTAAAATTGAGTTTGCGTGTGAATAGAGAGAAGTTTCTGTCTCTTTCTTTTTCCATCTGGTGATTACCAGAAAAATGAATTAACTACAGTCTTCTTTCTTTCTCGCTTGTTAATGCGTCATGTTGCCTACTTTATTTTTTTGCTTCTCTCATCTCATTTATTTATTTTCTCTTTCTTTTCAGTTATGATTAAAGAAAATTTTCTTTGATATATTGTGTATGTGTTGATGTTGTATGAAGATGACGACGTTCGATTCTCAAGTATACTAAAGATAGATAGTCTTGACGCGAATAAGAGAAAAAGAGAGCATCTATACAAATTCCAAATTAATTGGTACGCTTGTAGCTTGTCAGTATAAGATATGTGAAGAGGAAAAGGAAGAGAAAAGAAATTGTATTCAAAACGAGACAATAGGAGAGACAACCGGAGGAAGTTGTTGTAGATATTATAACTATTAGCAGCAGACGTCTAACATGTTAATGGCAAAGAGAATACGAGAACTAGAAAGAGAGTAAGCTTGAGATGTTGTTGAACAGAACAGTGTAATGCGTCATTATAGTTACGGTAGAATATTGATCATAATTCATATTTTCTTCGTTTTTTTTTGGTATGATGGAAAAAGAGAGAAAGGAAAAATATCGAAAACGAAATTGAGGGCTGAAAATGTGGATGTAACAGTGAGGGTGACGTTTTCGACATTTCTCTTTTCTATCTTTTCTCATCCATTCTTTTTTTTTTAAATAATGAATGTTAAATGAGAAGTAAAGATGATATAATTCAACACTATTTTTACATTCTTTTCTCTCATTTTTTTTTTATTAAAAATTTAGTCTTGTACATTCTATATGCGTGTTTTCCTATCTACTAAAGCCCAACGGGTATATATTCTCGTTGTAGCATTAGTTCCGGCAATAACATCAACGAGTAATACACCTGTGCGTTCGTTCTCGCTGCATATACATGGCAGCTCCCACGAAGTAATAGTGAAGAAGTAGAAGAAAAAAGAAAAAAAAGAAGAAGAATGTTATTAGTTTGCAAAGCATAGAGGTACAAGAGAAAAGTCAGAGATGATTAATAATATAAAAAAAAATGGAAACAACTCAGTGCTATTGATGATGAAGAAGGTTCGGCTGTGCAAGAAGAAAGAGGAGAAAACTGTGAATGTAATATAAAATATTTACTCAGTCGCAAATACACGCACATAGACTTTATAATGATGTGATCCATCGGTAGTAGTCGATCAATAACAATAATAATGCTCGATAAAAAAAATGAGAACATAACAATTATATACTTTTTTTCAGATTATTTATATTAATTATTTTTCTTCCATCATGGCTCGTTATGAGAGATTTGATCTTGATGCACCGGCACCAACATATAATACAGCAACTAGATCAGATTTATTGAATACTTCAGAAAACAATGAAAAAATCGATCTGTTTGTACCGACAAATGCATCATTGTCGGTGGAAGAAGAAACAACAACACGTCATGCTCTAATTACATTAAATATTATTTCCATTGTGGTTAGTACAGTTTGCGGTTTGATTACATTTTTTTTAGCCGTTGAAGAGCAATCGGCATCAGCACTAGGTTTTGCTGTTGATACAATACTTGATGTGTTAGCATTTCTCACTATTATATGGCGTTTTACAAGTACACATGATCAAGCGAAAAGAGAAATCTATGTGCTCAGGATACTAGCAGTACTATTTATACTTTCTGGCTTTGGTGTATTCATTGATTCAGCTGTTGACATTCGTAATAAAATACATCCCATACCGAATCATTATTTAGTTGTGGCAGTTACTCTTCAAACAATCATATTTTTTTGCCTTGCATTTGGCAAATATACGGTAGCAAAAAAGTTAAATGTTATTTCAGCATATTCCGATGCATTTAATACTTTAATATCTGCTTTAATGGCTTTATCCGTAGTCATTAGCGCAACAATTTATAATTCCAATCAAAGTGTTTGGTACGTTGACCCTATGATAGGAATGATGATTTCCTTAACTATTATGGTTTATGGTATTTGGATGGTTTTTAAATCATATCGAGGCATTTAAATTGTATACCCCGAACTCAATATTTTGATGTGTCAGATTATTAATTTATTTTTCCTTCTCAAACTGACTCTATCTAATCATGTTTCACCGTCACATATTTTATTTTTCTCATTGTCTAGTTTATCACATAATTGATTTCAAGAATAAATCTGAAAATAATTATTACAAAAGGTTACTTCAAAAGCATTGTGGTTCTTCTTTCCATGAAATATGACTTTTAGTTGTTATTATTTCGTTTAATTAAGAATTTCACTATTATTTATAAGCTTGCAATTTTCTATCCAGTAGAAATATTTATTTTTCTTCAATGACATAATGAATTTTTCTTTGAAATTAATTAATTTGATTTCCCAAACATAACAAATACATGTTAGGATTTTTCTCATGCTAACCAATAGTTAATTAATTAAAGTCTTTTTTTTTCACATTTAAAAAACTTGATTTCACAGTGAAGCGTTTTAACTGTTACATTTCTTGACTTTAATTAATCGATTGAATCGTTTAGATTGATGGTAATACTTACACAAGGTGATTATTATGGTCAATCCGTAGTTTTGTTTTCTATTCATATGTAGATCAAACATAGTTAACTGACAAAATGCATACAGATCGTATTACATCAAGAAAGAAAAAAAAGAAGTAGCACGACATATAAATACTTAGTCACGAATACAGGACATAAGATTGCGTACGTGTTTGATTATTTTACTGTAATACGTTGTCGATTTTTATTCGTAGCATTATTATTATTAGTGTTAGTAGTAAGGGAACTATTTTGGCGAGTTCTCCATTCATTTTCAATCCGACAATAAATTCCACCTGGTGAAATAAATGGCGACGACGTTGTTTCTTTTAATGTACGATTTAAAGATGTTTTATTGTTCTGCTGTATTGATTGCATATAACGAAGCATTTCATCGAAACGTCGATGTTCATCTTCTCGTTGTGTGTCTTGATTCCAACGAGTGGACTTGGTTGCATCCCATGAATATTTTATATCTGATCCATAGGGTTGAGCATCAATTAAAGGTGTCCATTGCGCACGCATTGTTTGTTTTTTTGCTTCTGTATTTGCTGCACCGAATATGGACTGTTCAATAACTTTATCTATCATTTCATTGGTATAATTAGGATTAATACGTGAAATTCGAAATGACGGATGATGTTTAACAAGTTCACCTTTATCTATGTTTTCATAGATTTCAGATAAATAATTCTGCGACAGACATATGTGTTCACGTTTTTGACAACCGGTATCTCGAATGTTCGATTGAAAAATATCAAATGTACTAACTAAAGTTGAGCAGCAGTCATGCTTGCCATCAGTAACAGATGAGAGTGGATGGTAAGGACATGTTGAAAAGTCAATGAAACGAAAGTAGGAATGACAACGTGCACATTGGTCACCATTAATGTGTAACCTTAGAGAATAGATAAAAAACAATAGAATCAGTTCTTTACTTTAGTGAGAGATATTTTTAGATTGATGAGAGTGAAATTTCGTTTATTTTCATAAAAGTTCCGTAAGAGTAGAAAAAATGGCAAGTCTATTTTATAACACGCAATGTTAAGCTTTATAGATGAGATTATGTCAGGCACAAGACAGCTGCCGGCATTAAAAAGCTATTTACTTACCAAACAATCCAAAATGTATGTCTCCACGAACTTTCTCCTCGTGTGTTAATTTCTCTTGCCCATTGATTAATGTCAAATTTTGGATCAATTTTATGTTGAAAATGAAATTTACCATTTGGCTTTAAAATTAATCGATCCGTTAGACAAGGTAAGTCTTCCATTTGTTCAGTAGTCATTACTGTAAGACAATATTGACAGCGAATTATTTTGTTATCAGTTAATAATTGTTCTAAGTTGTATTCAAATATTTTTCCACGAATTTTATTTTTCCTATCATGAATCAGTTCAATTTCATATGGATTTTCAAAACGTTTCGATAATTGACGAAATAATGGATCAGGAATACATGATACATTACAGTTTGTAGCCAAAATTTCATTCGTATGACTATGAATATAATCTAATGTTTCAAGTACGAGTTTATCCATTTTAAGAAAGTCCGATGAAATCAATATCGAAACAGCAATACGTGGTTCTAAGTCGGGCTCTTTTGTTGCTGAACGTCGATTAACAAATGACATTAACCATTGAAATATGTCTAAATCGCAATGAACACTTATGTCTACTTCTTCCGCTTGATCAGGTTCATCTTTTAGATAATCAGCAAAATAACGCATTTCACGTATTAATAATGAACGGTTGCATGAAAATTGACGTTTTAAAATTTTTGCTTCATCACATACAGTTATGGTTATTTGAGATGCTTCAGGATTTTCTTTCTCAATAATTTTTTCATCGTGTTCATCATTTTCTTGTGGTTGAGTTTGATCATTATTATTATGGGCCGATAATGATTGTTGAATACCAAGATAGATAGTTTCTAATGTTAGAAGAGCAGCTTGTGATGGTGCTGAGTTTGGTAATTTTAAACGTGTTATATCGAGAGATTTTGCACGTTCAGATAAATATGCGCTCAATAATAAATCGATCAGAAACGACTGCATTCTATTTGTCTTACTAACAGAGAAGAAAGAAAAAAAGTTGTCTGAAATGCAAATCAAAATACAAGAAATTCAAATGTACAAGTCTCTTGAAATTTCGAACAAGAGTAAACAATGATTTCTGTTAGTGTTTGGTTTTTTTCTCTATTCATTTTTTCATTCTGTCTTTTAATTTTATCCTTATTTTCGAATGTAACTATATAAAAAAAAATTATGAAGAAAAAAAAATACGCTGTTATACATAAATGTTTGAAGTCATTATCAGAATCGTTGTTGTCATTTTTTGCCAGCTGGTGGCCGCGGATTTCTTTGGACGGTCGGTGGAAGCGATTCACTAGGTGATACAGGTATAGTTGTGTCTTTATAATAATCTGTTTCACGAAGAACTTGATCAATATATGACATCATTTGTTCATAGGTCACAGATCCATCACTTTCCGGAATGGTTAAATCAACTAGCAAAAGAAAAAATCACAAAGAATAAAGATATTAAACAAAAAAAAAAGAAACCCTGAAGGCTATAATATTTTACCAGCATTAAGATTTAATAAACTTGTTGATGATGATCGTGATGAACTTGTTAATGATTGTAAACCAATCATCTGTCGACCAAAACCAATATCAAATTCAATACCATCACTTGAATGTGTTGATAATTTTGATAATTCACTTTTCAAATTTTGTGATGAACCTTTCGAAAATAAATAACCTCTATAACGATCAATTAGACGACGATATTTATGATTAATTTTATTTGATGGGACCTACGAGGATAAAACACATACGATGAAAAAAAATCTAAATTTTTTACTTTTCAAAATATCATACATACATAAGATATATAAACTATTTTATGGACGATATCTAATAGTTGACTTATCGGATCCGTTGGTCGAAGTCTTGCATATGATATACTTATTGAACCAGTGGCTGATGATGGTCGTGAACGATTTATAGCACCACTAGGTCTAAAGGAAATATTATATTGCAAGACTAAAATTCGAACGTGATTTGACTCACTTGCGTTCCATATTTAATGAATTAAGAGAATTATGAACAACTTGTGCTATGTTATTACTATCATAGCCACTTTCGAATGATATGTTTGATGATTCCGGCGATCGAGCTATACATATTGCAGCTAAATATTTCAAACAAAAAGTTAATTTGTCTTGATAATAAAAATTTTTTTATTAATAAATACTTTCGTTAGAAGATGATAATGGTTCAGAATTAATTCGATTTGGTTGGCGTCGAATATTATTCGGTTTTGTTGCAGTACTTGGCGGTTGTGGAATAATATTATTTGTTGAATTATCAATTGTTTCACTGTCAGACGCTAGAAATTAAGAAATAGAAACATATTTGCCAGTTTTTGCGAATAATAAATACCCATAGTAAATGTATCTGGTTTAAGTGTTTCCTGTTGTGCATCTGCTCCATCAATGCTAACATCTGCCATTCCACCGCTATTACTGATGAACGATTCTTTTGCACTCGAACAACTTAAACATCGTTGATGATGTAGTGATTGTTGTTGTGATTGCGATTGTGATTGCTGTTTAAGATAATAAAGTTCACATTGTCTTAAACGTTTTTTCAATGATTGTATTGTTGCACATGAACGATCAGTATATAACATTAATTGTTCTGTACATAACTTTGCAACACCAACTATATCTGGACGATTCGACGGATCCACAGTTAAACATTCAAATATAATTTGTCGAATACTCTCCGAATAGTATTGAAGTGGTGTATGATCATATTCGCCTGCGCATATTTTACCAGCAAGTAGTAAAATATTTGACGTATAAAATGGTGGTACTAATGCTACCATATGATAAAGTACGCAACCTAAACTCCACACATCTAGACACAAACAGAAATGAAATTATAAGCATAAGACTAAGACTAAACTAGCGAGAAAATTATATTTACCAGCTTTTTCATTATATTTCATATGTTGAATAATTTCTGGACAAGCGTAATACATTGTACCAACAACGGATGTCATTTTACTGCAATCACTATTACGTAATTTAGCCAAACCAAAATCAGCTAGAAATTAGATTATAAAATAATTAATATATACCGTCGAAAGTTTGTTGGCTGCGAAAAACGTTTTTTCAATATTTCTCGAACTTATATGGTTTCTGGTTAGTTGATTTTAACTTTCGAAATTTGATTTAAAATTTTGCACAAAGACAGGTCACGATGATAACAGTTTACTATGAAAGCTTCAGATCGTTTGATTTTTCCTATTCGGAATGAAAATTTCACAATAAAGTATTCTCATCGAAACATGTCTCTGTACAAAGTTTTAGGTCAAAGTTCGAAATTTCGTTTTCCTAGTGTTATTGCGACGGATCACGGCTTGATGTTTAAATATATCGTAAAAATGTTATATCTCGGCAATAATACGTTAGTGCTACGAAATCTATTCAGAGTATTCATAGCTCATCCGAGCCTACATCATACACATTATCGCGACTCAAACGCGATTTATCAGTTGGACTCGGAGACATCTTGTCAACTAATTAAATTTAATAAAACAACGAATTGCTTTCGATCTCGGTTCCTATCGGAGTTTTCTAAGTTATCTTTAAAACTAAATAAATTATACTTACTAATTTTAACTCTATATTCATCATCTAACATAATATTATTTGCTGTTAAATCTCGATGAGCAATTCCTTTTTCTTTATGTATATATCTTAATGCAAGTATAAGCTGAATAAGAACTCGCCATATGTTATCTTCCGACATTTTCCGGTTTGTATCTTTAACTAATGATAAATGATCTTGTAGGGATGAACCAGCAATTAATTCCATTTTAATATATAGTTTATCATCTATAAATTGAATAAGAGAACTATTTACGAGAAAGAAACAATTCAAAATGTTTACTTTCAGCAAATATTTGATAATAATTAACAATATTGGGATGTCGGAGTTCTTCACGAATGATATTCACTTCATTTATCATTTTACCTAAACTACGATCTGCATTTAGTCCAAGTGAACGATTGTCGATCTAAATAAAAATAATGTTAATCTACAATTGTGCACGGATACTACATAGTTTTATCAAATTCAAACATCGATTCTTACTTATTCAAATAATTATATGTATACATAGTAATAGTAAATCTCACCTCCATTGTTATACATGTATCAGAGATACAATTCGCATATCGGCTTTCATTTGTGAATAATATATTCAACGTAAATATATGCTTAATAAATTCTGTTCCTCACTCTAGTAAAGCACACACTGTTTGCGGTTTTTATTTTGACCCTAGAGATCGCTCCACATGGCTAAATTATCAATAATCAAGTGTCTCCCGATATAATCTAGATGTGTTAATAATTAGAACATTCTGATATAGTGAGTACATTTCTTAGCACTCACAGTAACAAATGCTTCAATAAAAATGGAAACATTTTTCATTGAACTGTCCTAAATATAATCGACTGTGTATTTAGTACAGATAGCATGGCGCGAAAATAGAACTCAATAAATTTGAAAAACAAAATATCGAACCTCTTTAAGGGCGTACATTGTTGTTGAACCTCGTTGAGCTACGCGATAAACAGAACCGAAGGCACCTGATCCTAAACATTCGTAAACTCCATAATCTCGAATAAATCGTGTTGGATCTTGCTTTGGATTAATCGATTGGAGGCGTTCATTTTTTATCCTTGTTAATTCATCAATATTAATGGAATTCCAAGCATTCGTTATATCATTGTATGTATGAGGTTCCCGTTGAAAATTACCAATGCCAACAAACAATTCAAATATTTGTGTAGGAAATAATCGCTTGAATTGATATTGATCATTTTTTTTATTTAATGAAAATAGAAATCTTAATGTTTTAAACACATTACGCTATATCGGAAAAGAAACACTTTTGAATAAACAGTTTTTCTTTTTGGTTCTATTTACTTGTAAATGATTATATTTTTCTAATCGTAGAGACTCTTCATTCTCGGGGAAAAGAAGCATTGCTAATATGTAAATACCATTTCGTTCAATTATTATTTGGCCATTTGTATAATCACAGGAAAGTTCAGCAAGACAATTACAACAAGCAGATTGCATATCAAATAATTGATCGAATTGAGAAACAACCTGTTAAGTTTAAATAATGAATGATATTTATATTTTATATGTAGGGATTGACACTATTGCTCTTTTTAGATCAATTCAAATTGATTAAAATATTATCTTATCTAAGTGGTCATGTTCTCTCTCATAATCAACATATTCGAATACTATGCTACTATAAACCAGTGCCGGAGTCAGGATTTGGGCTGGGGGGAGGGGGGGGGGCTCAGCCCCTGAGAGGTGTCGCGAACATCCAAAAATTGGGGCGAGGGGCCACTTTTAAAAGCGTGCTTTAGGAACAGTTTTGGCAGATGTTTCGGATTTTGACAATTCTTCTGGATTTTTCTCAGATTTTAAAAGTCTTTTTGCAGTTTTTTAGGGATTTTGAAAATTTTATCGGATTTTTTGAGAATTTTGAAAGCTCTTCTGGATTTCTTTGGGGAATTTAAAATATTTTGCTGGATTGTTTCCGGATTTTATGGTGATTTTGAAATGTTTTTTTGATTTTTTCTGGGATTCTAAAAGTTTTTCTCGCTTTTTTCGAATCTCTGAACTTTGGTCGACAGTAAAAATGTCGACCGTAAAAATGTCGACAGTAAAATGTCGAAAAAACGAAAAAGTAAAAATATCGAAAACTGAGTAGGTATTCATGAAAAATGTCGT